TTTTTTGCATGCCTTATAATTTTTGTTGAAAACTGAACATTGTGACGATTATATGGCAACTCTGGAAATCATATTCTCCCCTGTCCCCAGGGTGGTTGTTCTGCTTGTTCTGTTATTGGTTTAGTGACCTTTCTGAAATAATTTTGTAAAAGCTTGTATTATTTTTTGTGTGGCCATTGAAGTCTGTCCCATTAGCTTAGTTGTCAGCTAGTTCTTTTCTTTTTTTTTTAATTTATTTATTTTTAATTAATTTAGTTTTGGCTGCATTGGGTCTTTGTTGCTGCACGCAGGCTTTCTCTAGTTGCAGCGAGCAGGGGCTATTCTTCATTGCAGTGCGCAGGCTTCTCATTGCAGTGGCTTCTCTTGTGGAGCACAGGCTCTAGGTGTGCGGGCTTCAGTAGTTGTGGCTTGCAGGCTTTAGAGCACAGGCTCAGTAGTTGTGGTGCACGGCTTAGTTGCTCCGCGGCAAGTGGGATCTTCCCGGACCAGAGATCAAACCCGTGTCCCCTGCATTGGCAGACATATTCTTAACCACTGTGCCACCAGGGAAGTCCCAGCTAGTTATTTTCAAGAGATGTCCTTTAATACCCCTAAGCAAAAAATAAAGCTCTCCCAGTCTTGGCAGATGGGTTTTTGTGTATGCCGAGGTACACCTTTAACACTTGGGCAGCTTACAGCTCTTTCTTAACCTTCGTTTTATGTGCAGAGCCTGACGCCTGAAAAGTGTAGGGACTTGTTAGTTCTTTTCTGAGCGTGCTGCCAGCACTGGGCATGCCCATGGCCTTTTAGGTTTCCCAGAATATGCAGGAGCTTTTCAAAGCCTTTATTCCCAAAGCATCTCCTTCACCAGCCTTTCCTCCAAGGCTTTTTGCCCCAACTGTTATTCTTTGCAGGCATTGGCTACTACATTTGCCTTTAACTGCTTTTGACAAATGCCAATTTAAAATTGTAAATTTTATGGTATTTGAACTATATACTCAATTTTTTAAAATAGCAAAACACACGACTAAAGAGTGTGGTCTAAGAAGGATCAAGAACAGGTCATAGAAGAAAATTTAAAATCTGATACCTTTTATTAGAACACCTTGTACTCAGTAATTGTAGGTCTGTCAGCATTCTGAAAGTAAATGATCCTTACCCCTCTGGCTTTTCACTTGGCTAGCTGTATCAGAAATCTGGTCAGCAGTTGTTCCTTCCTCAGCTATCTTAAGGTTTAAGATTAGTGCCCAGGCTCCAGTTGATTTTTACTGGTTCCAATTATGATTTGTTTCCCAAATATTACTTGACAGCGAAATTTCATTTACTGTCCTTCATAGACTCTTTCACTGGGATCTATACCAAAGCCACGGGTTGTTTGATGAGGTGATAATCGGCAAAAAGCTGACCTAGAGACATGTCAAATGCAGGGATTGGGCCCTTTAGGCTAAGCACTGTTTATATTTTATTTGTTACTGGTTGGCATCAAACAAGCAGGGAGGGAGTCCCTTGAGATTCTCAGACTATAGAATTTGCTGATGCAGATTTTTCATTGTTTCATTGTTATGCTCGTGAAATGTATGGAGAACACTTTTTTCTTTTAAAAAAATTGCGTTTATATATAGATAATACTTTAGTCACCAGAAGCACATTCAAACACAAGTTAGTAGTATTTCTAGTACATGTCTCACACGTATAATTGCTACTTAACTATTCAATTCTACTTGAATATCCTGTACTCTGTGCTAAACATGATTTTTATTTGCTGTTTTTAACTAAAGATATAAGTCACTTATTAATATTGTGGTCTTCTGAAACGTAGGATTTAATGGGCACGAGTTGGGATAGGACACATGTTGGGAAAATAATGTAAAGCTGTTATAAATTGGGGTGTCTTTGAATATAGTTTAATGATCAGTTCATATGCAGAGTAAACAAAGTTCCATCCAGTTGCAAAGCAGAATTGACCCCCTGCTTTTCATAATAGTTGAGTCTAATCTAAAATGTAATTTGTTTAAAGATGAGCATATAAATGTTTGGTAGCCTTGACATATAAGAATGAGTAATTTTCTAAAAAAAAAAAGTAATCTTTAGAGGAACTGATTGCTCTCTAGTCAAAACTTGTTATCAAAATAAGGGGGTTTATTTAATCCAAGATTAATGATAAATAAAAATATCAAAGATATCCATCATCTGTTTTCTGTCATGTCTGCTTTCACAGTGCTACACTTTCTTAACCCACATCATGTTTTCTTTCTACCCACAGCCTAGCACATAAATTTCAGTCTGTCTCTGCCTTTCTTTCATATACATACAACAATGAATAAGTAAGGCAGAAGTTCTCAGTAATTTTTAATTCAGGACTTCCTAACAATTGAAAATGCTACCACCATGATGACTGTTCTCATTAGTATTCAGTCTTGGGGGAAATGCATATGTGTGCCAGGATAGGACCCCCTACCACAGCTTAGAGACTAAATTCATGTTATATGAACAGCTATAAGTTTTATTATCCTTAGGTTTTCCTAAGGATAAGTACATAAAATGAATGTAAAGGGCCAGGCAACATACCTAGAGCAAGTCTTTCCCTGAACCTTACCCAAAGAAAAAAACTATTTCTAGTAGGAGATTTTAGTTTTAGTGTTTTATTTGATTATAAGTTTAAGAAGGCCTGAAGAAGGTTTTTTTTTAACTCTATTAGGTATGCTATTTCCTTCCTTTGGCACAAGTCACACTAATGTTTGGATTTATGTACAAGTGACTCTTGCTTTATGTAAACCCATTTTTTAGCAATTTTAGAGTCAGTGAATTGGTAGACTATTGTAGAATCTGATACTTTATGCTTCGAACTTTTAGCCTGCAACATATCAGCTAGGTTAGATCATGTTATCACCTGTTGAGTAGAGTATAAGAAACCAGATCTACTGTATGAGATCCAGACATGGAGGAACTCAACATGGACCCAAAGATAAAGCAAATAGAGAATGGGCTATGAAGTCGAGAGAGCCAGAGCTATACCTCGCGACTAAGGAAATAGGAGTTATTAAAAGTTTGTTAGTTTTCACTTCCAGTCTCTGGGCTTTTTAATAACAATTTTAAAAAGTAGAATTTGCTTTTCATAAAGTCTCTTGATGACTTAAGTCTTCCAAACCATGCTTGTTTTATAGAGCACAGAATATCCAATTTAAAAAAAATTGGATGGTTTGGGGATTCCATTTAAGCAATTGATTGCCTTTGTTTACTGTTATTAGAAAACATTAGATGAATCTAGGCTATTCTCAGCTATTTCTTAAACATTAAAATCATTTAGGAGAAAAACAAAGCTTTCCAATTGCTGTGTTTATCATGTGCATTAATATATCATGTACATCTAATACCTAATCATTGATGGCTGGTAATAATAGATGCTCACTAAGAACTGAAAGAATGACTGACTAGATTAACTGTATTGTTGTTCTTTTAAGGTTAAAAACTATATCTAACACCAACCATGAAAGATCCAAGTCGCAGCAGTACTAGCCCAAGCATCATCAATGAAGATGTGATTATTAACGGTCATTCTCATGAAGATGACAATCCATTTGCAGAGTACATGTGGATGGAAAATGAAGAGGAATTCAACAGACAAGTTAGTTTTGTGTATAAACATGCTCTTTTATTGTAGCCTATGACAGCTGTCATATAATATAAATGTACTTTTCCCTGAAATGCATTTTTCACCTGGTCCCTTATATATGAAATACATGGATTTATGTGCCACCACTCCTATTTTAGTTGGATGCTGATTACTACCAGGTTTAACTGCTCATTGAAATAACCTAAGGAGCTTTTTTCGGGGTCCCACCCAGAGATTCTGATTCAGAAGGATTTAGGGTGGAGCCTGGGAAACGTGTTTTTTAAAAGCTCCCAGGTGGTTCCAGTGAGCAATTAGGTTTGGAAACCACTACCTTACACCAGTCAGATTGTTCTACTGCAGTGAAAGTCAAGAGAGCTGGAATCAGGAGCAAATAGGCACAGGTACTGGGGTACAGATTGTACTGTTTTTCGTGTAAGGTTCTCATTCTGATCAGCCTCAAAATCTGACACCACTGTTTTTTTTAGAGAACTCTCATACATTGATAGATGTCTTTTATTCCCATATTTCTGGTACCTGTTTCTACCTTTCATCTAGTTTCTCTCTGATCCTGGCTTTGATAATTAGTAGCCAGCTTGATTTCACCATATCCAGTTATATATATTCAAGAGTAAAGCAATGTAGTCTTATTTCAGTGAGAATGTTTAGTTGCTGACCCTACCCTCCAAATAATTTTATTTTATTTTTTTAAATTTTGGCTGTGTTGGGTCTTCGTTGCTGCATGAGGGCTTTTTCTAGTTGTGGTGAGCGGGGGCTACTCTTTGTTGCGGTGCACGGGCTTCTCATTGAGGTGGCTTCTCCTGTTGCGGAGCACAGGCTCTAGGTGTGCGGACGTCAGTAGTTGTGGTGCGAGGGCTCAGTAGTTGTGGCTCACGTGCTCTAGAGTGCAGGCTTAGTAGTTGTGGCACACAGGCTTAGTTGCTCCGTGGCACATGGGATCTTCCCGGACCAGGGCTCAAACCCATGTCCCCTGCATTGGCAGGTGGATTCTTAACCACTGTGCCACCAGGGAAGTCCTACCCAAAGATTTTTTTTTCCAGTCATTTTTGAGTGGGTTTAGGGTTTGTATAGTTTTAGAAGTATCATAGGTAATTCTGATACACATTCCTCCATGAGAACACTTCTTTGTTACTTCTTCCCCGCCACCCTCAGTGGAAAAAAAGAATATTCTGCTGTGACAAGTAAAGACATAGCAAAACCCTAAACAGATCTTTCCAGGTCTTATGGAAAAGATTTTTTTTTCCTTAGCACAGAAGCAAAGGAGGAAGGTATGACGTTATGTTTTTAAATGGTTTAGTTCAAGATTCTTTAAGCCTTTTCTAGTGATTTCATCTTACCAAGTATGCTATAAATTACCCTTTATTTATTATAAATCCAGATAGAAGAGGAGTTATGGGAAGAAGAATTTATTGAACGCTGTTTCCAAGAAATGCTGGAAGAAGAAGAGGAACATGAGTGGTTTATTCCAGCTCGAGATCTCCCACAAACTATGGACCAAATCCAAGACCAATTTAATGACCTTGTTATCAGTGATGGCTCTTCCCTGGAAGATCTTGTGGTAAAGAGTTATTTTTTCATCTTTTTAAAACCTAGCTCATCTCTCCCATAAGTGGAAAAGCTAGCAGCCATCTGTTTAAGAAGAGTTCTACATCTCTTCCCCTTCAGAAATTCTGCTGCTTCTTACTATGGAAGCAGAGGCCTCCTGGTCTTACTTATGATAAGGAGTGACTTCTGACAACACTCTGGAGCTAGCCTGAGACTACTAACAGACTTCTTGCCACTGCTTTTAGATAATGATAACTATGTTGCCCTAGGAAATGTCTTAAAGCATTAATTCAAAAGGGAGTACACAGGATGTTCATGTGACTTGCCTATGCAAAAGTAGCTTGATGGAGAGGTTTTGCTCTTTAATTGTCTTAAATATTTGGTGAAATTACAAATTTTTTCTGAAAGATAAAATTTGAGATTTTTTTTCCTGACCCAGGATTTTCATTGAGCTACCCTAACTCCATTTGGAACTATGATAAGGACTTTTACATGCTCTTGGCAGAAAAGGAACACAAATCTTTTTATATTTTTAGTTATTCTCAGTGTCTCATTGCTGATGGTTTATTTGTAGTGAAAAGTTTTTTCACGAATTTTGATAACTAAGTATCAGTACTAGAGTAAAACCTAATGATTCCTTTGCTAAAATTAAGATAAAATAATTTAAAGTCAGAATGCTAAACTTTCTTTCCATATGGACAATCTGTCTAGTTGCTTCTACAAGATGGTTCTCTGGAATTTATCCCTAGACTCTGAAGTAATTTTTGCAGTTGTCTTCTGTTCACTGTGCAGTGATTTCCTAACCTGGCTGTACGTCATAATTACCTATGAAGCATTACAAAAATTTTCTCAGCAACATCCCAGACCTGCAGAATCAGTCCTCTAGGCATGTTAATTTTTTAAAAGCACTCCCAGAGGATACCGCCAGCCTGCCCTGTCAGGCATTTGGAAACCATTTTTCTAAAGGGCTGTATAGAGAACACTGAAATTTACTTGTGATATAGCTTTTGTTGCAGTAAATGACACTAACCCAGTTAAGCAGATACATGATCTGAATAGTCTGTTGGGATATGCTTGCTTATGGCTACACATTAGGCACTCCACAAATAACCCTGGTTGCTCTGTGGAGGAAAGCCCTTTGCTGGGCATAATGTATAACTTTAACTGGACCCAGTATCTTTCCGTTGTCTAGAAACTGGTTTGTTTGACTCAGTCTATTTTAGGTTAATTCCTTCTCATTCTTTTGTAGCTGCCAAAAGATTGGACATTCAAGAACACTGCTTTTTAAATTTAAACCTCAGACTTTTAAAGTTATATTTCCCTTGAGAGAAGGGAATGGTTGTATATAAATTATGAAACTTAAATTATTGCTCCAACGTGTTGTTTAATATGCTTTGGTCTTAAAGTAAGTGATATTGGGGGCTCAGATTCAATCTAAAATCCTGCCAGCATGCCTACCATTTCAGGCCCTGGAATCGTCCTGGTTTCTTTTTTTCTTGATCAACTTGCATTCAGAGATGTGGTAGAGGAAAATTTCCAGCTATTCCCTATATGCTGACACATCTGCTTAGGAAAGTAAAGATTTAGAAATACAAAATAATGGTGGTACAAGTCTCTCATGCTCTTAGAGGCTTTGGCCCAGTCTTCCCCTAACTGATGCAAAAATGAAGTCCCAGAGAGTGACTTATCCAGGCCTATATAAGAAGTTAGTTAGCAGAGCTGGGATTCCAACGTAGGTCTTCTGACTCCCCATGCAGTTTTCTTTTCCTCTTATATACCATGCTACCTGTGGGAATTAGAATACAGCAGTTGTAGAAAGACAACTCCATATTTTCAAGGAGCATCATAAAGTAAAATTAATCTGTAAATCATTCCCCAATCACTTTTATCATCATTACAACACTTGTTTAGTATTTTTGCATAGTATGAAACTGTTTAAATGGCAAGGCAAGTATCATAGTTAAACGAACAGAACTCCGTGTTCTGAGACACTCCTTTAGTTGACATGAAGTGAGTGAGTTTCTGATTACACTTAAGCAAATTTAATTTCAATTTCTACTTTCTCTTTAGAAAGTTGATAAAATTTGGTATAATATACGTAGCTTACATCTGGTTCCTCCTTTCCCTGCTGTGGATTTTATTTTTTTTTTACTTAAGTTTGACCTTACAATCTGAATTCTTGCCTTTGTCTTATATTTTTGGAAGATGTTTTTGCATGTGGATCTGGGTTGAATGCTTCTGAGTATCTGAAGCTAATCTGTTAATGAACTTGCTTTTTTATGTACTTATTTTCCAGGTCAAGAGCAATCTGAATCCAAATGCAAAGGAGTTTGTTCCTGGGGTGAAGTACTGAAATATTTGAGTAGACGGGGCCCTCTTTTGGTGGATGTAGCACAATTTCCACACTGTGAAGGCAGTATTAGAAGACTTAATTGTAAAAGCTCTCTCTTGTCACTGTGTTACACTTATGCATTGCCAAAGTTTTGTTAGTCTTGCATGCTTAATAAAAGTGCTGAGACTGTTATTAAGTAAAAAGCTGTCAAACATTTACTGAAAATAGAATTGGCCCCATGGCTTGATGTGAAGACAGTGAGGAAAGAAGCACCAGTCAAGTTGTGTCAAAGCACCAAATTAAATGACCTCTAAATCTTAGTGAATTGTCCTTTTTGAGACTAAACTGGTCCCTTAAGGTTAACTAATACTTGTTAATGTCTAAATTTTTTTAAATGAGTAAATTTAAGCTCTAGTAGTTAATTTCTTAGTTCAGACTTAAATTTGCATTTGTCCCCATCAGAAAGAATCTCCTTTTTCTGATGAAGGCTTGTTAGTTAATTTGAAATAATTTTTTATAAACAAGTATGTCTTAGGTTCACTACCTTGTAACCTTAGTAACCAAAGTCCTGGCTCTTATGGTATGTTATCATGTAAGAAATATTGAATTCTCCTAATGTTACATCTGAGAAAGTATGTGATTTGAGAACTGCATCCTCTTCTAAGGAGTCATTGCATCAAAGCTATACCTGTGTAAAGTCTAACATTTGACCAACCCATAATCCAATTGAACAAAGAAATTGTAACCTGTGATTTGAGTGGTGCTTTTCCTTGCTTTGTTAACCATCACTACAATAGTCTGCAGCACAACTTTTCTTTTAACAAAGCTAGAACAGTTTTGGCTTCTTAAACTTCTTATTTGGGTAGGTTAAGCTGCCATACGTGTTCAGTGTGAATAGTGTTTAAGTTGAAAATATTGTAAAAAAATTATATTTTTTCAAAAATATTTAAAAAAATAAATAATAGTAGAACTGAGCAGATGGTTGTGTTTATTGGTGCTGGAATACAGACTCTCCAGTGGTGATACTTCTTCCTTCAGCGTGGGCTCAGTCCCTCAGGACAGCCCTGCTGGCAAGATTTGCTGAGAGAGCAGGCTTTATTATTATATTCCATAGTGTCGAGTATGTTGTTATATAAGTGTCTGTCCAAAATACAGCAGTAAAATAAATCCCATAGCCCCTTCCGTAGCCCACCTTGATCACCTCAGGCTGCAGTGTCAAGGCAATTAAATATATCCATGTTAAGAAACTTTCTGGCTGGCCAGTATAATGGTAACCTTACTGTAGTCTAACCTTCATTGAGTTTTGCCCTTCACAAACCATTGCTGTTCTGATTGGACTGGTTTGCTATTTTGATTCACCTGGACCTTCCCCTTTTTCACCCTCACAAGCTAATTAATAATAGGTTTGTGGCTAATATTTATTTGGGGTAGGCTGTCAAACCAACTAGCAATTTCCTGGTTCCACATACAATTCTGCCCCACGGCCCTACTCAGTCGTTGATAATGTCCTCTGTGTTCTTCTTGAGCTTGGAGGGCTCAAGATTAGGAAGGCCATCTAGTCAGTTCTGGGTCACATTCTTCCTAGGGTCCTTTGGTGTGCGTACCTGTGCCTGGTGTTTTTTAATAGCTACCTTACTAAGCTAATAAACAGGTTTTTTAAGATGCTGAAGCAGACGATCCTGCTTGGCTCTCATTCTTTTTGGAGCCATAATACCACCAGTCCCCTCTGTTCTCTAACAGCTCAGTACCACACGTGGCACAGCAGGCTGCCAAGTATATGAGGGTTACAGATCACTTCTCTCAGCCTGGACGGGGGCAAATGAGTTCATTTCCACATACTGCCGAATTATCATCATGCAGTATAATTAGAGGTTATAAACTTGAATTAGAGAGGCATTGTACCCTAATGTTTAGGAGCAAGGACTAGCCTATCTCAGGATTGTGTGATTAGTTAATACACATCAAGTACTTAAGACAATCCCTGGTACATAGAAAGTTCTATTTAAGTGACTTATTACAATTAAGGAGTTATCTAAGCTAAGCTCTCACTTCGTTGGAACTTGTCTGAGGCAATGTGCACATTAAAACTACTTTGATTTTTTTTTTAAGGGCTTGAAACACATTATTACCCCATCTGGGCCTATGTGGCATAGTTTTAGGGTAACTGAAGTCATTCTGTTTCGTAGGAGTTTTATTTTATTACAACTATTTAAACAAGGCACCTTATGTGAGAGGATTTTTCCTATTCTTGTGCTATGTCGGTTACTTCTCAACCTTTTCTATGTCATAAAGTGTAATTTATCATACTGGAGTGTAAGGATGAGGCTGCCTGTAGCTAGAGTTTATAGCTCATGGGCTCCAGTTGACCCAGTATCAGCCCAGATAACCAAAGGCCAAAGGGATCAATACTTCAGTATACTTGTAACCTCCTACAAGGTTACTGGCCCACACCTGTTGGGAAGTTCCACTGTCACTATAAAATGGCTAAGGAGTTCCACATATGTATATTGACTTCTTACCCAGTATGCCTTCTGATTGAAAATATTCAAATAGGTCACAGAAATGGAAACTGAGTACTTTGTTTTCTCTTTGGTTAAAGCATAAGAATGTTGTGATTTTTCAACCCTCCCACAAAAGCCATAGACTAACAGACATCCTACCTTTCCTGGGCGCAGTTTTTCAGACCTTGGTGCACACAGACCCAGTTTCTGTATTTTGTGGGGTACCTTCTGGAACTGGAAGCTGGTCTTTTGACCTTGAGGAAAATCCTTTGAAGACTGGGCAGATAGGAATGTATTTCAGAAAGGCAATTCTTTTTACCATGCTCATCCCGATGGGAAAGTCATAGCTCTTCAGGCTGGTAGACATCTCACTGTTGGCATGGGCCCCAGCTTTCCACTGTATCAGACCTCGTTCCTCTGGGCTTCCTGGAAGAGGACAGTGGGGTCACTTACCAGAGCCAGCAATCCTCTGCTACCTCCCCTTCCCATAACCTAGTCATAAGGTAGACTTCTGGAGTTGTCTTGATTCTCAATTCTCTGGTCCTGAAAAGTTGAATCTGTGATATCTCAGCTCTTAACTTGGCTAGAGCTCTAGGGAACCCTAAGGGATACTGGTTATACGTAATTAGTATTTATTGTGTATCTACAGTGTGCTATGGTCTGTGCTAAGTGCTTTTATTTCATTATCTAATTTCTTTGAAACATTGGTGGGAGGTGTATAGGCACTATTACACAAAATTTTATGATCAAGGAGGCAGGCAGACGGTTAAGTAACTGTCGGCCTGCATCTCGAGTATGGGGCTGGTGTCTGCTGGGCCAGTGGGGACCAAATAATGCTCAGACTGCTGTGAGGGCAGGAAGTTATATTTTGAAACACTGTAATCAGTATTAATATTCCATATTACGATTCCATATTTGGAAAATAAACTCTTGTTTTTATAATACAAACTTCAGAAAGTCAAGCTAAGTAAAATCTTTGTTGGTGGTAGGGATACGCAAGAGAGATTTTTTACAACTAGGGGAAATCTCCTTTAGGAGGTATGGGAGGGATGTGTGAATTCTCTGAGGTTTTCACAAGAGGGCTGGGGTTGACCGAAGACTGTGAGACAGTGTAAATCTAGTGCAAAGATTTCCACGCGTTGGCAGCCCAGACTGAAAAGCCCCATGAATAGAGAAACCAAATGTGTCCCAAAGTCTCAGAGGAGAGGGCACTGAGGAAGGGCGGGCGTCCTTAGAGAAGACCACTTGGAGGAGGTACTGTTTGAGCTGGGCCTGACTGCACAAAGAGCACAGGTGGGCAGAGTGGAGGGAGAAGAGCTGCAGCTGTGGCACAGGACTGAGGTGACTGATGGCCCCACTCCTCACCACTGCTGGGACACAAGAGCCAGCCCGGCACTCCCTCGCCTCCCCTCCACATCCCTACCTGTGTTGCCGTCTCCGGTGCTTCTCCAAGTCCTAATCTTCTTGGCCCCACCCAGAATCATCCAGGAAGCCCTCCAGATGACTCCAGCCCAGGCTTATTCACCTCATTGCTCTAAATTGCTTTAAACCCAGTTTTCCTTCCTATCTTGTTGACTTAATGTTTTTTACCCTTAAGTATCTAACTCGGGGCCGTGCTTGCTCCAGTAGCACTTGCTGAACTAAACTTACTGCCCCTCTAAGGTTGGTCTGTGGGTAGGTAAAGAGCAAGAGCAAATGCAAAGTGGTCTATCAGCAAAATGTACCCATCCTACAGAATAAAGCTCTGTAATTCCATTGTTGAGGACAAGGTTCTGAGCCAGCCAGACCTGGGCTTGAAACCAGGTTGTGTGACCTTAGGCAAGTGATTTAACCACTCTGAGCTTCAGAATCCTCATCATGCACATTGAAGGACTGTTGAAGATTATGTAGCATAATACATGTATTGATCATTGGCAGAGATGGTTGCTGATGGGCAGCTGGGTTGAAGGATAGAGATGTGAGGAACTCAGGCACTCTGAGGCTGTTAACAACTGGGTGGCTTAATCCAGCTGCCCAAATCACAGACCCCTCTGTACAGCTGCCCACCCAGACGGCCTCTATCTCCGTGGATTCCCTAGGCATTGAGGTTGCCACTTCCCTGTCTCATGTCCGCAGGATGAGCTTCTCCAGGTCCCACCTCAGCTTCCTCTGGTGGGCGAGGGGGGTACCATGGTCAGGTATCACCCATCCATCCAAGTGATAGCTGCTACCAAAAGCTCCCTCATCTGATGCTATCTAAAATCCCTGAAAGTGCCAGGGAGTCCTGGCCCTTCCCTCCCCAAACTCTAACCCACCAGCTGTGCATAGCCAGCCGCTGATTCCTGTGCTCTGAATAGACACTTGTGTCTTCAGAGAGGGGAAAGCAAGTGGGGTCAGCTATGTTTAGGCTGTTAAGTCGCAGAAGATGGAGAGCTATCCTCCATCTGTCATCTCTGTGGACTGATGCGATCTAGCCCGTCTCTACGGAGCTTTCCTTGATCTTACACTTCCCCTGAAACTCTCTAGCAGAGGCACTGTGGTGGAGTGGCTGGGACACAGGCCTTGGACTAACTGCATCAGATGGACTTGTTTAAATCCCAAATTTGCAGCGTTTTAAATCAGCAAGTTTTGTGACCTTCGGTGAGTCACCTAACCTCCGATTCTTTTTTCTCATATAAAGTGGTGTTGATAGTCTCTGCCTCACAGGATAGTTTGTGAGGATGAAAGGAGACATTTAGCTCCATGCCTGACCCATAAGTGTTTGGTAAATGCTAACTATTCTTATTAATAGTTAGAGCACCTGGTGACATTTAGTTTTTATATATTTCCTGGGCACATAAACATGGGTCAGGAGGATTCTCAGGGACCCCACAAAGTATCTTCCATGATCCCTGTAAAAAGCCCTGATACCAAAGAGAAACGTTAGGGGCTCTTCTAGTAGCCAGCATAAGTCACTGGCATATTTGGAGTGAATTTTGCCAACATACTGATGCTACATTTCCATCTGTCCTACTCTAAGAAAGCAAAAGCAACCCTCAACCCAGTGGCAACAAAGAAATGGAAAAGAAACAATTTACAGGGCCCGGGAATGACTCTCCTAGCCACACCCTCTTCAAGACTAAGAGGGAAGCCTGTGCCTCTATCAGGCTGGTGGTCTCTTCCTCCGGCCCATCCGTTCCTGCTTCTCCCTGCAGGGCCTGAGGCATTGCATCTGACCTGGCCACAGCTCCAGCTCAGGAGACATCTGCTGGACTGCCTCTGAGTCCAGCCTAGTTCTCTGTTCCCCTCTCAGGGCTGACCCATACCTGGCACTGTGTTGTCCAGTATGAAAGCGAGGCACCCACCCACAAACATCTCCGTGGTCAGCAGCACAGTCAGAATCTGGTCCACTTCAGGAATGCCTGTGGAATAGGCCAAAGGCTAATGGGTGTCACGGCCCCATCTGGAGAACAGAGCTCAGATACTTTCTCCCCACTGGTGCAGCCTGCTGACTTCCTTGAGCAAGCACAGAGATGGAACAGTACAAAACCTTGACTTTCAAGATTATACACCTCTGCCTCTCCCATCCTTGGATTCAAATCCCAGTTTTGCTGGTTGCTACTTGTCTTGCAACAAATCATTTAACCCATCTGAACCTCACTTTTCTCACCTGTAACATGAAGATGGTAATAGTATTTGTCTCATGGAGCTGTTGTGAAAATTAAATGAGCATATGTAAAGCTCATACCTGTCCACAGAAGGTGTCTTAGTAAAGAACAGCTGTTAATTAGCCTCAGCTGCTAACATCCAGAGATGGGCAGGATTTGTGGCTCTGGCTGTGTGGAGCCTTTGAGGGAAGAGGCTATGCTCAGAGTCGAGCCCACCACACCTCCCCCACCCTGAGACAGGTAAGACAGGTGGAGGCACCTGTGTTGATGGCATCCGGGTTGGAGTCCAGGTAATTGGGCAGCGTGAGCCCGAAGAACATGGAAAATCCAAGCACGAAGAGGTTGCGGGAGGAGTTCATGTCCACGAACTGCAGGTTAGACAGCCCCACAGCTGTAATCATGCCTGAGAGCACAAAAGAACCGCTGGAGGCTCCTCGCAGGCTGGGTAGGCTCCACCACACGGCGACCACGCCCCAAAAGCACGCACAACACTCACCAAAAAGGGTGCAGAACATCCCCCCTAGGATGGGGTCAGGGAGCGAGGCGAAGAGGGCTGTGAATTTGCCAATGGTGCCCAGGACCAGCATGATACCCGCACCATACTGCACCACGCGCCGGCTACCCACCTGCCAGTGAGCCAAGGGGTGGGGCTAGACCCAGGGGGTGAAGTTGTGCGGGGTTAGTTGTGGGAGGGGAGGGGCACGGTGGGTGGGCGGGGCCTGTTATAAGAGCAAGGTACATATGGGTCAGAGCATGATGCAAGGGAGGCCTGTCAAAGGCAGGGTGGGGCTAGGCCAAAGTAGGGACAGGTTTGGGGCGGGGCCTGCGGCACATGGAATTGGGGCGCGGCTTTGTGCTGCTCTGGCTAGTTGTGGCACCTTGGTAATCCCCAGGACACCAATGTTGGGGCTGGACGAGGTGGACCCGTTGCCCGTGCCCAGCAGCCCTGCGATAATGCAACAGATGCCTTCGGTGAAGATACCCCTGTAAGAAAAGGGCAAGTGGGGGCCTTGGTCCATGCTCTAGCCTGGTCTGTGTCCTCCCATTGCCCTGGCCAGGCTGGCCAGAGTCTCTAGGGCTGTGTGAGCTGCAACTGTCTGTCCGTAGTACTCCCCCCTCCGGGCCAGAGGTGGGTCTGGGAGCCAGGAGCCCAGGTCTGAATGCTAGTCCCACTGCCCTGGCAATTAATCCTTAGGTGATTCTGGGCTTCAATTTCCTCATCTGTCAGATGGGGATATTAAGAGTACCTGTCTTACAGAGCCATTAGTGGATTGCATAAGAACGCACATCAAGAGCTAGACACATGGGGACTTCCCTGGTAGTCCAGCAGTGAAGACTCCGCACTCCCAATGCAGGGGGGCCCCAGTTCCACCCCTGGTCAGAGAACTAGATCTCACATGCTTCAACTAAGAGCCCGCATGCCGCAACTAAAAAGATCCCATGTGCTGCAACTAAGAGCCGGTGCAGCCAAATAAATAAAGAGAGAAAGAAAGAGCTAGACACGTGGAAGGCTGTCGGTGGCGGTAGCTTCCCTTAGACTCGTTGTCTCCTCCGCTGTTCGCAACACAGAGTGATGAGAGCGCCTCCACTTCATAAGTGAGGAGAACCTAGAGAGTTAGTGACTTGCCCAACTCCTTGTCCCCCACCTCTGGGATTCAGTTCTGTCCGGACGTTTGCTTCCTGAGTGACCCTTGAGGGGATGAGATACAGGGGAGGGCAGGTCGGCATACCTGTTGATAGCGTGCACTGGAGGGGGTGGTGCGCCAGCCAGGCGGGCACAAGCATAGTAATCTCCGATGGACTCAATGATGCCTGCTAATGTGGCACTAAACATTCCCAGCACAGCAGCCGCAGTCACTGTGGGAAGCCCCCACTGACCTGTATCAACAGGGAGATGGGAGGTTGGATGCAATGAGTGTTCCTAGGTGGGTCAGGGCGTGGACTAAGCAGTACTTGGGTGGAGCAGGGGAAGGGGTAAAGAGATCTCAAGCTGGGGTGGGAGCTATACAGTTGTGGGAGCTTATTTGGGGTCACTTAGAGTCATAAAGCTGGAGTGAGACTTTGGGTACACCACCACTCTGCCTGGCACGCTATAAATGTGCAGCTAATACTTGTTATGTCATCAGCTGGACTGGGGTCACCAGGGGCCTCACTGACGGTCTCAGTTGGAGGCAGAGGGGCCCAGATAGAGTTGCTCACAGGGGTAGGGGATGCGGATCCAGGGAGCAATAGCCACGATGTCCCCTCGGGCATCTGTTCGTGCCTGGAAGCCATAGGCTGTGGGGTCTGAGGGCAGCACGTCCGTCAGGGTCAGTATATAGCAGAGCAGCCACACGGTCATGATGGCTAGCACGATCTGAAGTGGGGGTGGGGGGTGAGGGTTGCACTGAGGGCCCAGGAGGTCTTGGTCCAGGCTAACCAGCTCCTACCTTAGCCCTAGCCCCAGCCCGAGCCTGTGCCCCAGCCCCAGCTCAGACCCCAGCCCCCATCCCTGGCTAGGACCTCAACTCTGCCTCTAGCTCCCCTGCTGCCCCTGCCCTTTCCCCTGCCCTTGGCCCTAGACATAGGTCCAGCCCTTGCCCTAGTCCCACCCCGAACCGCCTGTCAGCTCCTCACGGGAAACATCTTGAAGATCTGGATGCGGAAGAGAGTGAGGCCCTTTCCCCAGCAGTAGACAGGCAGCAAGAAGGTGAGATTTCGCAGGTACTGGGAGAAGAGGACAATCAGGAGAATGGAGCTGGGGACAGAAGCACAAAGAGAAAACGGCTGGTAGGCCGGGCTGGGGGCAAGAGCCAAGGCTAAGGGGGCAGGAAACGAAGGGGTTGAGGGACTGGGGCTGGGCAAGGATCAGGCCTGGTGCCCACTCACCAAGCTGAGATACCCCAGTGGGAGCCAGCTCGGTCACCAGCAGCTTGGAAGACAGAGAGACCAATGAGGGAGACAGTGGGGGTGACTGTAAGAGGCCCGATGTAACTGAGCAGGGCCCCAGGCAGCCCCATCAGTCCAATCACCACCTCTACCATACTGGACACCATGATTGCACCCTGGACCTGGAAAAGCAAAGATCAGCTATAAGTCACCATGTAGAAGCCATGACCTCTATGTTAAAAAAATGTTCCTGGACCACATCCTCATATCCCCCAATTCAGCAGTGGCCTTCCCTCCCATCTAGTCCCACCCTCAAGTACAGGTCTCTTCTACCCCACATGCAAACCCACCTCTCGTATCCGTGGGTGCCAAATATGAGAGGTATTCAGGGGCAGACTCCAGTTACCGTAGATCTCCTCTGGGGGCATAGACAGGAACGCACACATACACGTGCACGGGGAACAGAGAGAGAAAGTAAAGATGTTGCCCTGAAGGCACCTTGGGGTATGGACATGGAACAGTCGCCCAGACCTCCGGGCTCCTGGGGCTCCCCTCTCCAGTGCAGCCCCCAGAAATGTGCCCACCTTCTGGAGGACATTTCCATCTCTCCAGGGCCAGGATGGCTTTGGCTGGGACCAGAAATGCAAAGGCGCTGGCCTGGAACAGTGGCAGCCTGGAAAGAGAGGCACAGAGCAGCAGGGACAGGGTGGGAGGTGGGGAGGCAGGAACACAGAGACAGGGGAGATGGGGAGGGAGGGGCACAGAGCGAGGCACAGGGAGAATCACACACAGAGACAGAGACACAGAGGAACAAGGGCAAGGGCAGAACAGAGGGAAGTCACTGAGGCCCCAGGCAGGACTCTAACATTTTGGGGGCCTAAGAAAGAAAACAGATGGAGCCCCTGGCTCACAACCTGCTCCCTTTCCTTCTCAGCACCAGCTCCTGCACTGTGAGGGGCCACGTGCACGGAAGTGGACAGCTCAGCTCCTGCATGCAAGCTCCACTCACAACCTTCCTTCATCTTCCCACCATACAAATGACCATCCTTAGGCCACCCAGGCCTAGGACTGTGCACGCGGGGGCAGGGGGCCCCCAGGAGGACGGACCACTGAAGAGGCCCACACAAGCCCTGGCAGCAGGGGAGTGAGTGGTCCCAATTACCCAGAGTAAGGCTTAACGGAGGAGAGCCCAGCTAGGGCACGTTCCCTTTCCTTGAGGGACACCAGGGGTCCAGGGTGGGACCCCAGCCGCCTAGCTCTAAGGCTAGCCTGGAAGCAGAAGCAGCAGGTGGGGGCAGATAGCAGTTTTTCTTGTCCCACAAGAGTCCTCTGAGACTGCTCCTGCTGTGTGGATCACTGCGTGTGTGTCTACGTGGGGTGGGGTAGGGGTGGGAGTGGGGCAGCTCACCGGATGCCCAGTGTGGTCTGGATGAGGGTGGTGATGCCCACACAGGTGAAGATGGTACCAATGAGCTGGCTGACCATGTACTGGTCACGGCCCACACACAGCGCCTCAGCCAGGAGGAAGGGCACAGCGATGGTGCCACTGAAGCAGGTCAGGTAATGCTAGGGGTGTGGGGAGAGTACATGAGGCAGGGCCCACGGAGCTCACAGGGAGGCAGGGGAACCCTCACAGTCCTCACGCCTGCCTCAGTGGGCCTGAGCCCGTGCCGCCCCTGCCAGTGTGCCCACCCAGGACTGATACTCCCATAAGGCATTCCCACAGAGAGACTGCTCACCTCTCTGGGGGTTACTAATCTGCCCCCAAGTTATTCCTGCAGCTTCTGTGGAGTGGGCCCCCTTTCCTGTCACCGGCACTCCACCTGGCAGGTGATACCTTGTCCCTTTCAGGCCCCATCAAGCCTCTTCCCCACCCCTGCTTGGTGACAGTCACTGCTTCTGACTTTAGGTTTCTCTTCCTGTTACCCAAGATGACCTCTTTGGCCAGGGAGGGGTCTGGGGAGCAGGCAGGGCGGGAGTGGGAAGGCCCTGGGGAGATGCCCACCTGGAAGCCCAGCAGGACGCACAGGTACCAGGGCGGCACATCCTCGATCTTGTACAACATGTCAGACTTGGGCTCTGTGCACAGGGCCGTCGGGGGGTCCTTCGTGGAGGTCCCTGCTGAGCCCAGGGACTCATGCTGGGGGCAGCAGAGAGAAGTAACTCAGCGTGGAGTGATGGGGACCAGAAAAGCCCATTCTGCTTCAGAATCAATTAGGTAGCCCAAGTGGCCTGTCAGCTCCTCAGAATGGGGTCCCCACCCTTCCTCAATGCTCATGCACCCAGCTACCCCTTGGCCTGGCTACACGTGGCTCCCACCTCACATTGCTTTGTGCAGGGATGAGTCCGCTGTACTGGCTCCTGGAGCCCTCAGAACCTGGGCCTTCTAGCCAAGGGAACGGGCCCATACGTCAGAAGGCCGGGGTCACCAGGAGAGGAGGCAAAGAGGGCTGGAGACTGTGACAGGCCCTCTTGGACGTACTCTGGTCCCCCCTCTGTCCCTTAGAGGTCCTTGGGGTGTCACTAATGGGGCGGTAGGCTGGGCCCCTGCCGGCCCCCAAGCTGGGGTGAGCCAGTCCCAAAGCAGAAGTCTCCTTCACCCCACTGCCACCCCACCCCTCCCCCAACTGTCACATTCCGCCTGGGACAGTCACTCTTGATCCAGTTCATCAGAACCTTTGTCTCTGCCCTCCCAGGGAGCAAGGACTGCTCAGGCCCCCAGCCCCACCCTGCCCCCACCCGCTCCCCTCATTCCCCAGCACCTGTGTCTGGCCCTCAGGGTCCTCCTGGGCCCTCATCTTTGGGGCACAGGTGTGAGCAGTTCCTGAGGAGAAGAAGGGATTGCTTATACGAAGGCCAAGGAGGACTTTAATCCGCATAGCCGACATTGTTCAAAGTAAATCTGTAACCAGATCTCCAACACTGATTGCGAAAGGAGGGCCCAGGCCCAGGTAACGTATTAACTCCGGCCACAGTGGAAAAGGCTGCCCAAGCCTCTGCCACATTTACCTCCCGAGCACACTCTTCCTTGCCCGCACCTGAGCCTGGGCACGGGACAGGTATTTTCCGAGAGAGGGCCGGAGGGGGGGTGAGGAGCAGACGGCCTTGGAAGTTTACCAGGTCCTGGGTGAGGTGAGAGGAAAGGGAGTGAAAATGGGCACATATTACGGTACACTCTGAATGAGGCTCTTCCCTGCTTATTACTCAAAAGTTAACCATTAACATCATCATAACCCATCTCGTTATTTAGGAACAACTGCGTGCCAAGCAACATCTATGTGCTGTCATGTTTAACCCCAGGTGCTGGGTGCCATTAACCTCTTTTACAGCTGAGGAAACAGATTTAGGAGATGTGATCTGACCAAGGCCACACAGGTAGCAAGGTTTTAGAAAGCCATTCCAAAAATTCAGGTTGGCCTGAACTACTGAGCCCACGCTGTTATTTATACATTAAATGTCAGACGGGGCTGCCCTCTCCACCACCTCCACTCGCCCCTCAGGGTCCCTGAGGCACAGAACAGATGGGCCTCCGGAGAAGGAGCTGCCGAGGCTAGCCCGATCTTTTCTGTCCTCTGTGTCAGGACAAGGATTCCTTCCCTTCCCCTCCCAGTCAGGACCAGCTACATAATCTGTGGGACCCAGTGCAAAATGAAAATCTGGTGCCCCTGTTGCAAAAGTATTATAAATTTAAAAACAGCAACAGCAGAGCATTGAACTGATTTGTGGGGCCTTTCTAAGCACCGGGCCCTGCGTGACTGCCACGCAGCCGCTGAAGCCGGCCTGGGCCCGGCCTATCTTCCCCTCCTGGGGGCTGGGGAGAGCCCAGGGGCTGAGGGCCCTGATTCTGCTCCCTTCTGCGCTGCCCCAACCCCATTAGGGTCCACCTACTTCTGGGTCGCTGTGCCCATGGCCAGGCCCTGCCCCAAGGCCTCCCCCGCAGCACCACTGTCCAGCTGGGTAGCAGCTTCATGTCACAGCCCCGAATCTGAATCCGACGGCCTGTCCAGCCTCCAGCCCGTTCCTCTGTCCACCTGTCCTCTCCTCTCAAATTCTGGCTTCTGTTCCCAGGTTCCCAAAGTCATCTGACCAGTTCGAAGCCTCTACTCCTCGACACTCTCCTCCCCGCCCTCTCCTCCCCGGTACTTCCCAGGGGCTGGGGAGACAGCCCTACCCCTTCCACACATTGTCCGTTGGACCCTCAAATCAACCCAAACCACATACCACACACATGGAGACAAAGCCGGGAAGTTGCACATGGTCTCAGATACACAATCACACAAATGGACCTGGAGCACCTAGACTCTGACGCAAAGTGTCTCTAAATCACTCCACAAAAACACAGGGCCACGCAGGTGCACGTCATGGGCTCCCGGCTCCACACCTGATACTACTGACTGCTCAGCCAATTCCTTGGGCCCTGGCTCTCCTGGTGCTTAAGAGTTCTCTCCTGAGGGCCAGGAGGAGGGGCCTCAGGAAGATGGGGAACAGGTGATGGAATGTAGGGGGCTGGGGTGCAGAGTGGTAAGGGCCTGCCTGGGACACCACCATTCCTTCAGCCCTAACCTTCCCCCACTACCCAAATTTGAATCCCCTCCTAGCCCTGCCACTGCTCAGCCTGGGACTCTGCCGGAGCCTCTTTTGTTGTCTGAGCCCCAGTTTCTGCACCTGTCAACAGGGGATTAGAGTGTCTGTTCTGTCCACTTTCCAGGGCTTTGGAGGATCAGAGACACAAATGAATCTGTAAGCTGTAGCACCACTGACCCCAGATACCCAGACCCAGGTGTGAACCAGGTGGAGCTCTTTTCTCCGTTTCTAAGAAAAGGGCCCCAGGTGAGAATTTCTGGGGAGAGCAGGACGTAGAGCCAAGATACTGAATCCAGCCTGTTCCAGGGCCCCTGCCCTGCCCTGCCCTGCCCTGTCCCAGGTGAGCACCGAGGGCTCAACCATGCCAGCTGGGGCCAGAGCAGAGTCTAGAAAGTGAGCAGCTGCTGGTGTAGACCCAGGACGACTAGTGTCCTGGGAGGGGCACAGTAGCACGCAGTGGTTGCAGTGGGTGTGTCCACAGGCAGCCTGCTTATGGAGTTTGCCTTGGCTTCTCTTTTCTCTCCTGAGGGATCTGGGGTTTCAACCGTTCAGATAACTGGTTCCATATGCCTTTGACGGCTCACTCATATTTCCAGCCATGACAGATCTCACTTACCTCTGGGAAATTGTGGGGGATGTGTACCTGGCCCTCTCTAGGAGGGACGTCAGCAGAAACACCAATGTCTATCCTCCCAGCCCCCCAAGCACCTTTTGCAGAGAGAAGGAATCGAGGTCACTGGTTTTATTTGAGTCCAGAGGGGAAGGCCTTGGCCGCCCCCCAGGCCCCAGGGTCCAGAAGCTGGAGGAGGGAGGGAGAGTGGCAGCACAGAAGAACAAGGCCTCCCCGCCCTCCAGGCAGCCTGCAGAAAGGAGGGGACAGATCCAGAGGAAGCCCAGCTCCCTTTAGGGGCTGACCAGGAAGGGGAAAGAGGAGCTGGACTAGAGCTCTGCCCTTGTGACTGGTGCCTCCTCTGAGCAGGCCCCCCGGTGGCCTCCACACAGCAATGCCTCCAGGGCCCCTTGACCTTGTTGGTGGGCTTCATAGATCTGGTCTTCTCCAAACTCCCCCAGGTAGTGAAAGCATGTCTTGGAGAGCCTAGGGGAGCCCAGGAGGAGCCTCAGACTCTGCCCGGCCCGCAGTGGGGCAGACCAAGGCTCCATCCCACCCCAATCCTCCAGTCATGACCTCGTGGGCCACGGCGCCCCCATGATGATCACACTGATGCTCGGCTCCGGCCCCTTCCTAAGTCCTGGGCCCATGAGACGTTTCACCTGGTCCACTTCTCCAACTCCGTAGCTGGAGGCAGTGGGAGGAGAGGGAGACAGCATTAGTGGAGCCCATCAGCACATGAATGAAGCTGGGCACGCTGGGCATCTGCCGAGTTTAGTGCCCAGATTCTGATCCTCCTTGCTGAAAAACTAAGGACCAGAAAGGGGAAACTCCGGACCCAAAGTCACACAGCAACCTTGTCTCCTGGCCACCTTACTCTTCTACTTGCTCCCAGCTCCAGAGCTCAGACTCTGTCCCAGCCAGTCCACACCCTTGGGCCAGAGCCCTAGTGGAGTGTGTGTGGTGTGTGAGTGGGAGAATGAGAAGCCCCACTTATCAGCCTGCCCCTGGAGGAGGGGGGGCAGGGGCCAGATTTTCAACTCACCCCTGCCAGGTCTGGGAGCAGCTCTGGTCCAGGACGTCTGTGTATACCGACTCGCTCAGCTTGCCACGGCCCCCGGAGTCCAGGGTGTGAAGCTTGGCCTCTGCCCTTGTCAGATGCTGCCACATCTGGACCAAGGAGGGGTTGAGAACCAGGGCTTCAGAACTGCTCAGCGTGAAAGGAGGGGTGATTGGGCTGGGGGCGGGGACAGAAGCCTGTGTCTCTGAGGAAGAACGAGGCAATGGAGCCTTTTGAGCAGGAAGCACCTGTGAGGCAGGCTTCACGGCCCTCCCCCAGGTCCAGAAAGCTGGGACCACGCCAGCTGAGGCAAGATCCGCTGCCTTGGGATGGGAGGTGGGTGGGAAACACTGAGGTGGAGAATTAGGCCTGGGCATTGGAGCCCCTCCCCCAGGTAACACCTGCCCATCAGCACACACTATTTGAAACCACAAGAACAAGGAAAGAAAAACAACCTCCCAGTCTTCAGTGACACGTGTACTCATAGCCCCCGTGTGCGTGCGCGTGCACACAGTCACACAGACACACACAAGTACTCAGGCACGCGTGACAGGTTTGTATGTGAACTCAAGACACACACATGCTCATGGACTCATGGGACTGACAAACATGCACACGTGTACACATACACCAATGCTCCCCAGTCATGCTTTGGGAAGGAGTCCAGACTTAAGGGTGGTTCTAGAAAGGGAGGAGTCCGAGAGGACAAGCTAGTGACTCCCTGGTGTCCCAGAGATCGCCTGCTCTTTGTTGGGCAGACAGATAGGTAAACTGAGGCAGGCCAGTGCCAGTGAGGTGAAGATGGCAATATCATGGAAGGCTGAGTCTAGCTCGATGCCTTGCGGGGGGGCGGGTTTTGGGGATCCAAGGCCAGCGGTGGAATCTGAGGTAGATGGAGGGGTCTGGCTTGGGTGGGGGCCTGGGTAGGGGCAGGATAACTGCTCGCGGGCGGCGAGGGGGTGGGGGGCTCACCTGGTAGGCCACTACCCTGCAGGCGTCACAGCGCAGGTGAGCAGGCATGTGTGCTGAGAACTTCTCTTCATCATCCAGCTCAGGGGCGGTGGCTGTGAGCGGGGCCCTGTCCCCAAGGCCCCCTGGGATGGTCCAGGCCCCCAGCAGCAGCAGCAACAGCGGCGACAGCCTCATGGTCTGTGGAGCTGGCTCAGCGAGCAGGGACTGTGGTTGGGGTGCAGGGGTGCAGGTGTGTACGCGCAGTGGGGGTTGCTGCAGAGAGCCTGCCCCAGACCAATGGGAAACCGACACCTCACCCTCCCGTTCTCTCCCTTCCCCCAGGGCCCTGCAGACACTGCGCGCACTTCCTCTTGTGGGACCCCGTGGTTCCAGCCAATGAGGCAAGGAGAGGGGCTGGGCCTGGGCGAGGACACATGGGGGCTGATACCTCTCATGTCCTGGGACCTGAGCACATGGCAGGCACTACGTTGAGCCCCTCAGGGAAGGAGGTGGCTTGTTACTGTTATCTTAAATCTACCCCTGAGGACACAAAGGTTCATAGAAAAGTGACAAATCCAAGGCCACACAGCTAGAAGGGCTATGCTGAGATTGGAACCCAAGCCTGGTTGACCCCAAGGCACACTGGCCACTCAGCCACCAGGAGGAATGAGGCCACAGGCGTGGTTGCCAGCCAAGGCTCCCTCCCTGAGAGGCAAGTTCGCTGAGGCAGGGATGCCACAGTGTATGAAAGACACACATGGTCCCCTCCCGCAGGCCACACGCAGGCACGGAAGGGCACTCTGGGGTGCTAAGGGGCCGCAGCAGGAAATCAGACACCTTACACCAGTTGTTCCAGCCATCGTGGCCATGGGGTCAGCAATTTATTGCACACCGCGATGCAGTGAGGGGGAGTGGCCCAGGGCCCTCCTTGCCATCAGGACCAGCATCTCCAGCCACAGAAAGATGTCCAGGTTATTCTGACTCATAGTTCTCTCAGTCAGCTTCCAGTTCAAGGCAAGGGGGCAGTGACTCCAAGGGATCCAGGCCCCCCGGAGGCCTGGAACTTAAGGAAGGCATTGATCTCCATCCCTGACACTGCTTCTAATGGTAACTGTTCTTCCCCAAACTCATCACATCACATACCAGTCCCACAAGGCCCAGCCACTTCACTCAGAACTCTACACAGACCCCCACGCAGAGCACCTCCCACACCATGCATCTCCCTCTGCTCTCCTCAGAAGCTCCTGGAATCTCAAGGCAATTGGAACACAGGCCCTGGGTCCCGTCCCTTCCTATGCTGTGATGAACCTGAAGAGCCAGCCCCTCCCTGGGCATGTTTGCCACACCTGTTACCAGGGCAGTGGAACCAGATGAGGGCTCCTCACAGGGGCATCCCTTCTTTTGCCAGCCCTAACCCACCCTCCACCCCACCCAGAGAGATCAAGAGTCTCCTCTGGGACAACAGCTCAACCATCCTCCGTGCTTTTAAGTCTTTCCTGACGACACACTCATCTGTCCCCCACCCTCGGTGGGAATGGCTGGAACCTCCACTCCTAACCCCAGGACCAGCCAGTTCAGCTCTGAGGGCTTAGACAAGCCAAGTCAGAGGCTGGGGTTGAGGGGAGAATGAGGGGCGGTACTCCCAGCTGGAGACTACAGTCACCTCCCCACCTCCCCACCTTCCCCACAGCACCCCCACCCCAAGTCCCGGGATGACCCTCCACGGCCCCTCCCGTATTACTTCCCTCTCCACCTCCACCACCTGACCCCGCAGCTCTCTCTCTCAGATGAGACTCACCTAGGGCCTGCACTAGCCACCCTCCCCCGCAGCCTCCCAGGCCAAGGCTCAGATCCTCTTGCAAAGAATAACAGATTTGATAGCCAGTGTCTTTCTCTCCTCATCCCATCAGTGCTCACTAGCCTGCTCCACCTCTGCTGGGCCCACCTTCAGGGAGACACAGACAGCTCACTACCTCTGGGGGCAGCCCTGTCCCCTGCAGTTCCCATTTCCTGCTGCCCCTGAGGAACCCCATCACCCCCTCAGGTCGGCATCTGGGGCCATGTCCTGGGATTTCTCATGCTACCAACTAAAAATTGTCACTTGCCAGCTGCCTCTACAAGGATGAAATCACTAGCCAGTGCAATCGCTGACCTTCAGTACACCCTGAAAGGACTTCTGGGCAGAGATCAGGAATGAGGCCCTCTGTGCTCTGGGAAAAACTAGCAGAAAAGGCCTTTAGATAGTCAGATATTTTCAGAAGATTTCATGAGCCCAATTTCTTGCATCTTCTCCTAACTAGAAAAGCACTAAAATCATTAATGGACATCTGCTCCTTGTGACTAGCAGCGACCTTCTGCCAAAATGTGTGCTTGATTGCCTGTATCCTCCTTCACCAAAGCCACATCTATACTGACTTCCCCCACTTACCTCTTCAGAGCAGTTCCTCAGTGCTGAGAGGCTGTCTCCCAGGCTTATAGTTTGCATTTTGCCCCAAATAAAACCTAACTCACAACTCTCACGCTCTGCATTTTTTTCATCCCACAACACACACACACACAGCCCCCCAACACACCACACTCTGGGAATGCTTGGGAAAGGGGTATACGATTCTGTCGGGGGAGGAAACAGGCAGCCACTTCCTGAGCTCCAGCTCCATCAGCGCTGGGGGTCTCAGATAAGCACTCTGAAGGTAACTTCTGGTCTGAAGACTGCATGAGATGGGTAAAAGAAAGAGGTGATAGAAGGAAAAGAGGGCACAGGACTGGATGCCAGAACTTCCAAGGCCATTAACGGGCCCCAACACCATGGGGATCAGGCCCTGGGGCCTCACACGGGGAACAAGGAGCCCTTGCTCGGCTGGGCGGGACCCAAGCTGGAGGGTGGAGCACAGAGGAGCAGAGGAGGCGCGGGGCTGGGGGTCCCGCTCACTGGCAAGTAGTACATCCCGTCCAGGGGCCCCGCCTCGGAGGCCCAGGGTAGCTGGGGGCCGCTGAAGGCCGGCGGGCCCGGGGATGGTGGCAGTGAGAGGCCAGGGATAGGCCCATAGGCCGGCGGGTAGAGGCCGGGGCCCAGGGCCAGCGGGGTGTAGACGCGGCGGGGTGGCACCGAGGGCGAGGGTGGCAGCAGCACCTCCACATACTGCCCGCTTTCGGGGTCGAAGAGCAGCCGCAGCCGAGGCTGCCTCGGCGCCTCCACAAAGTAGTAGCGGCCGCTCTCTGGGTCCACCAGGACCTTCCCCGGGTGCGCGGCCCCGGGCGGCCTGCGCGCCCCCTGGGAGGGGCCTTCCGGGGACCGGTCCATGGGAGGCGCCGAGGCGGCGCGGGCCTGGGGCGGGGCCGCTCTGCCAGCGGACGCTTGGGGCTCCCGCGGGAGGGGCGACTGGACCGCAACCGCGGGCTCAGGGGCCATAGGTGGCGTCTCCTGTTTCGGTGCTATTCCAGGGCTCGAGCTAGGGTACGCCTGCGGGGAGCTAGGGCGGGGCGGTCCGGGAGGTTGGGTCCCTGCCGGCCCTATCGGCGACTTCTGGGGTGAGGTGCGAGCGCCGCCTAGAGGGCTGGTACGACCCTTGTCGTCGGGGACCAGGAGCTGGGGCTCTGCATCCCTGTTCTTTCCGCCAGGACCGCGCACCACGACTCCCTGGGTTCCCTCCGGCCGGCGGCCTAAGGCCAAGGCACCAGGCAGGCGGATCTCAGTGCGCGCGAAGGGTTTCGCCGTGCTGTTCTCTGCCCTCCGCCGCAGGACCCCGTTGGGCTGCGTAACGTCCCGGGGAACTGTGTCTGTGGTTGGTTCTGGGGTCTCGTAGGGGTGTGACACGACCGGCAGAAAGTCCTTGAGAAAAACGGAAGTGTAGTGAGCTGGGGCGGGGGCCCCCAACGCCTGAAGCTCTTGTGTCTTGGATGCGCCGCCTTCCTCCCCGCGGGGTTCCGCAGGAGGCGCAGGGAGCCCTGAGCCTGGGGTGCTTGCCGGGAAGCTTGGCGCGTATGTGGTCTTCACCATCTTGCGCACGTCGCGAGGCCGCGGAATGGCTACGCGCGGGCGTCCCGAGGCCGCTTCTCCAGAGCCCAAGGCTTCCGGGCGCGCATCCAGGGTACCCACGAGGCGACTGAGGGGCAGCTGGGGTGCAGCCACCGCTGGCGACAGCTGGCTGCCTGGGAAGGCAAGATCCGGCATCTCCCGCGTGGACGGACTCTGCGCCTCTGTTAGCTCTGGAGTCCCGGGTGCAGATGGCGTGGGTGGCACCAGTTCCTCCTGGTCTACGCCATTCATAGCTCCCCGCGTAGAAACTACCGCTGAGCTCTGCACTATGGAGTCCCACGTCTCTTGGGGCGATGGGCTCCACGTCCCAGTAGGACGATCTGGAGTCTCCCATGAGGACAAGTTTGGCGGGGACGGGCTCCTACTCCCCTCAACTGTATCCCCACCTGCCGGATGCGGAACCTCCCACGAGGAAGGAGCTTCGGGGGATGGGCTTCTTGCACTGGCAACACCCCGATTCCACTGGGAAAGGGTCGGAGGGGAAGGGCTCTTTCTGCTGACAGTTTCCGTGACAGCAGCATCCTGATTTCCCCATGCGGAGGATGCCTCGGGGAGCGACGGGCCACTCACCTTCCGGATAGCCCTATTCCACGGGGACAGGTTCTGGGGCGAGGGGCAGCGAGGACCCCGCACGGTCCCATTTGGGGCTTGCCACAGCGGGGATGGGCTCCTCGGTCTCACGGCCTTACTCGAAACCTCCCGGGGGGCCCTAGACTGGGAAGACGGACTCTGTGCCCTCAGGGCGGTTCGATCCGGAGTCTCTTGCGGGAACCGAGTCTTGGGTTCCTGGTGGTGCGCCTCCTGGATCTTCTCCCCAGACTGCAGGAAGATGCTGGAACTAACTGGACCTAGAGGCTCGGTCCCGGGCGCGGGCTTGTCGCGCCGAATTGCGCGCTCACGGAGGCTAGGCCACGGTCGTGGGGCCCTGGCGGGGGCTGAACTATAATGCACACGAGGTGGCCGAGACCTGGCCTCCTTCAGAGCCACTCGAGTACTGCGGGGCGTTTCCGGGGCCGCAGGCTCTGGCGGTACCGTGGGTCCGAAGGTGGCGCTGCTTGGGGCAGGGGTCGCGGGGCTCAGTTTTCTGGCCAGCGCCGTCTGCACGAGGTCCGCGGCAGCCTGCAGGCGGCCCAGAGACTCGTCCAGGGAGCCGGTGCGCAGGAACAGTCGCGGGGGCGGCGCGCTGGCCTCCCGCGGGGGACTCCGGGGCCGGGAGCGCAGCTCGATCTGACGTTTGGGCACCGTCCGGGGCCTGGCAGGCGCGGCACGCTCCTCCAGCGCCACCTCCACACACTCGAACTGCGCTGGGGTGGCAGGACTCGGCCCGCGGGGTCGCAGCTGCAGGTAGGTGGCCCAGCGGGAGGCACCGTCGGGGCCCTGGGGCTGCGGTTCGGCAGAGATGGGAGACGCGGAGCCGGGCGGAGAGAGGCTGCGGAAGGCCTGCGTCGTGAGCTGTTGCACCTCGCTATCCTCTGCGTCAGAACGGCTGAACAGGGGCCCGGCACCGAAGATGACTTCCATCTCCCCCGACGGCAGCATGCGCAGCTGGGGCTGGGGTGGCCGCGGGCCCGAGGCCGGGCCTCGCGGGAAACCCGAGCCGGGCCCGAGCTGCTGGCGGCTATTCTGGGCACTGACGGACAGGCGAGGCTGCGCGCCCTCCCCCAGCACAGGGGCCACCGTGGGCCAATTCGTCCTGCCCTCCGCGTCCGGCCCAACGTCCGGGGGCTCTGGAGAACCCGGAGCCGTGTGGTAGGAGCCTGACGAACTGGAGGAGTCCTGGCGCCGCGCGGGGGCCGCGGGCAGCCGCCCTGGGACCCCGGGCAGGGTTGGCAGGGCGAACGCGGTCAGCATGCTGAGGCCGGACGCCGCGCACTCTCTCCCTCGCGTTCGCCTCTGCTGGTGCCGCGGACGCCAGCACTGTCCCCGCCCCGCCCGCGGGTGCCGTGGGGTCACCGCGCCTTAAAGTGGCCGCGTCCGCTCCCGAGACGGCGGCCGGTCCCGAGATAGGCAGCCGGAAAGACCTGGGCCCTGGGTCCTACCCTCCCAGACCCCTTCTCTGGCGCGGCCGGAGAGCCTGGGGTGGCATTCCAGGCTTTGGTGAGGGGAGGGCAGGCATCCAACTTGTACGCAGGAGCTAGGCCCAGCTCCACTCATCCATCACAGGTGACGGAACGGAGGCTAAGCAGGGACCTGCCTGAGATCAAGCACTACGGCATGTGGATCAGAGTGTGAGCCAGGAGACCAGACAACTAAGGTCTTGCTAACAATTTCATCTTTATGTCAGCTCCCCGCGTCTTCCCATCACTGCAGTGCACCCCTCCTCCCTGGCCCTCCCATAGTCTGTCGCTAGAGCTCATAAGGGTGCATCCCCCCTCACCTTTGACAGAGGAGCATGGCTTGGAGGGCTCCCCCCGACTCCAAAAGTTGTACTGGGGCCTCAAAAAACTGCTGTCCCTGGCTGGACCCACTGCCCTTAGTGGAAACCTAGGCTGGAGGGGACAGTTCTAGCTTTTCAGGCTTCCAGAACAAGGCCCGGATGCTGATGTGGCATCTCTTAGGAACCTCTGGGGTAGCTGTCGTCCCTTCTCTAAAGCCCCTCTGAGGCAAGAATAGCTCTGTGCTCCCCCATACACTCACAAGGCCCTCATTCCAGCCCCTGCCACCTTAGGACTTGCCCTGGGGACAAGTGCTGATGGGGAAGCAGCCACCACCTGTCACTCTCCTGGGACAATGACAATGGGCACCACTTGCCCTTAAACTTCTGGCTTCAAGGTCCTGCTATGACTCAGGCCCCAGCTGGCCCTGGAGCAAGAGCACTGGCCCCTCCTACGCATTCATTCTCACACTGAGCCAGGAAAGGCTAGACTTGACAAATCTGACTCAGCCTCCCTTGAGTGGGACCCCTGCCTGGTGTGTCCCCTTTATCACCTACGGCACATTAGTTATGGCTTCTGAGAGGATCCAACCTGTCCATCACATCCAGCCCTGCGTATGCAACTTGAGCACGTCATAGCCCCTTCACACACTGTTACCCCACCTTAAAAATAGACATAGCAGAAGAAAAACACACACACACACACACACACAACACAGCATTGTCCTTTCCCCTTCCTCCATTTGTGCAGACTAATAAGCTTCTAAGTTTGGGAGAAGTGTAAGAAGGTGCAAATGTGATTCACAGGTACAGCGTTATTGTTATGTGATGGAAACTGATTTCCCAAATTCACTGTGGTCCTGGAACCCACCATCTTTGAACTCTCCAGTCGGGGTTTCTCATAGACACATACACAACACATACACAGATAGCCCTTCAAGTTGGGAGAGTTATATTTACCAGGGCACTGGGGTAACCAGGGTTGTTTATATAGGAAGGAATTTAATACCAAGAGTAAGAAGGGACAGTGCCTACTAGACAACCAAGTAGTCCTTCCCTAGGCTACAACCCCATACCCCCATGGGCCCCCACTACTACCCAAAGGAGGGAGGGAGGGGAGTAGCAGGGGCTGGAGACTCGAGGAGCATCCATTCTGAACACAGCAGTGGCCTGGCAGGTGGTGGTCCAAAAGGCAGGCAGGGAAGAAGGAAAGAGTGTCTTTTGCCTTTCGCCCTACCTCTTCCCTGGGGTCCAGGCCACTGTGAGGCCTGAGGGAGGTACCCACAGGGATCGGAAGGGTCAGGATGGGGACCACCACAGCAGAGAAGGCAGAGGTTGGGCATTACAGCCAGATAACAGGAAGGAGACGCCCATTTTATTTTTCCCTGGAACACTGGCGGCTCCAGGTCTGACGCATCCCCGAGGCTTTCTTATGCTTCTGGTCCAGCACCTGGGCCATGTAGTTCTCCTGCTGCTTCTGGATCCGAAAGTCAGACATGTGATTCCTGCAACGGAGCCGGCTGGGCATGGGCTGGGGACAGCCCAAGGGTAGGGACCAGAGGTCTGGCTCCCCACTTCCATCAACAATCCCCAGCCTGGCCCGGACCCCTCACCTGAAGATCTCTTTCTGCTGGCTGATAACTTGCTGCAACTCCTTAATCTCATTCTCTTTGCCATTAAGTATATCTTCTTGCTTTATAACGTGAGACTCAATTTCTATGGGGGAGAGAGGCAGGGAGGAGGAGTGGTTCCCATCCCATGAGCTCCTTCCTGAAATAAGGTATTCCCTCAGGGGTCTCTTCAGAACTTGGCTCCCCCAACCCAGGGGTTGTCCAACAGTAGTTGCTAATACCTTCGTAAGAATGAGTTTATTATGGAGTCATGATGGCGTGGAAGTGGAGGGCACAACATCTTGATGAATGTGTCAGTGACTTTACAGCTCTATTCTGGACCAGGTAGCTCACATGAGGGCAGGCAAGGGCCCTTGGAGAGAGATGGTCAGCCCTGCCCAAAAGCAGGAGGATGAATGGCTCCTGCCCTCAACTCCTGCAGCTCTTTACAGATATCACCTCCTTGGCGAGACCCTTCCTAGTCTAAAATCACAACCCTTCCCAATACTTCCTATCCCCTTTTCCTGCTTTATTTTCCTTCTTAGCACTTATATCTCACAGACCATACATTTTGCTCATTTGTCTTTTCCTCTACTAGGATATAAGGTCCACGAGGACAAGGATTTTTTGTTTTATTCACGGCTTTAACCCTAAGGCCTAAAATAGTACCTGGCACGTACTAGATGTACAATACTTTTACTTGTGGAATGAACAGGATGTCCCCTGGGCCTTTAGGTCTTAGCAACATCACCTAGTTCAGTCATTTCAATCCAACCAGAACTACTGAGGACCAGCTGGATGCCCAGCCCTGTGTTAGGGCCTCAGGGGAGAAGACAGGATCCCTATTCCACAGGGCAGGTGGGGAAGACCCAGGGAGATAGTGGTGGCAAAGATTAAGTGCTCATTAGAAGCAAGCGTAAGTTTTGTGTCTTGGGTTAAAATCCAGTGAGGCTGTAGGGATCTCGGGTTGCTTCATTTACATAATGTCCCTCAGGGAGTCCTGGAAAATTCTGATCCTCAAAGGAAGAAAATCCTACTGCTTTTAAAGGCTGGACAAAGATTAACTAGAACATAACATAAGCTCTGAAAATGCAGATATACTGAAGCAGTGAAGGTTTCAAAAGAGAAGATCTGATAAAAAGTTAAGGCACATGTTACAGAGAGACATGGGTGAAGGAAAAGAATGAAAACATGGGCTCACTGGGTCACAGGACCAGGACTACTGAACCTCCTTCCCCAGGTCATCCAGTGAATCCAAACTGATTGCTTGTGAAGTTCTTAGGGGAAAAAAGTAACATAGGGCTTCCCTGGTGGTGCAGTGGTTGGGAGTTTGCCTGCCGGTGCGGCGGACGCGGGTTCGTGCCCTGGCCCGGGACGCAAAAAAAAAGTATCATAAATGTGTTTGATTCTTTTAAAATAAATGAGAGCTAAATTTAGAATAAACAGCACCCAATGAGAGAATGGTTAGAAAAGCCTTTTGAGAATAAGAAACTATGTAAGAGTAAAACTGGAACCATGCAAAGGGAGGTAGGGGGGGTGGGAGACAGGCCAGGGGGTAGCTCAGGTCACCAGATCTCCTCATGTGAGGGCTTATGCCCTACTGGAGGAGTTCAGGACATTCTTGGGGGAGGCAGCCAGGCTCCTCCCCTTGACTCACACACCTTCCACAAGCAGTTGCAGAGCCCCGAGGCCCTGGCTGATCTCTAGGAAACGTCCTAGAGGAAGGGCCTCTAGCAGCACCAGGAAAGAACCCTAGGTTCCTTTTAGGGAAGTGGGGGGATGTCCAGGGAAAGGGGAAGGACTAGGAGACCAACATCCTTGGGTATGGAGGCACTGACTGCCTGTTGGGCTCCAGGAGGTCCTAACAGGAGCTCTTTTTTAAAATTTATTTATTTTATTTATTTTATTTTTGGCTGCATTGGGTCTTCGTCGCTGCGCGCGGGCTTTTCTCTAGTTGCGGTGAGCGGGGTCTACTCTTTGTTGCGGTGCGCGGGCTTCTCATTGTGAAGCACGGGCTCTAGGCACGCGGGCTCAGTAGTTGTGGCTTGTGGGCTCTAGAGCTCAGGCTCAGTAGTTGTGGCGCACAGGCTTAGTTGCTCTGCGGCATGTGGGATCTTCCCGGACCAGGACTTGAACCTGTGTCCTCTGCATTGGCAGGCGGATTCTTAACCACTGCACCACCAGGGAAGCCCTAACAGGAGCTCTTGATCAAACAACCATGAGGCTTGTTAGTCCACTTGGCCAGATTAAGATGGCAGCCTGCTGGCATCTTTCCAGTGACAAGACTCACCAGGGGAGACAGAAGGCTGCATTGGTGGGTAGGGGGTGCCCAAGGCTCCAGGTGGGGGCCCATCAGGAGAGACACTGAACCTCTTTTGGGCTTGAATTCTGGCCTACTCAAAATGAATGCTGCAGTGAATGAAGGAAATGTTGTATATGGAATTCACATCTACTTCTTTTTTTTTTTTTTTTTTGCGGTACGCGGGCCTCTCACTGTTGTGGCGTCTCCCGTTGTGGAGCACAGGCTCCGGATGCGCAGGCTCAGCGGCCATGGCTCACGGGCCCAGCCACTCCGCGGCATGTGGGATCTTCCCAGACCGGGGCACGAACCTGTGTCGCCTGCATCGGCAGGCGGACTCTCAACCACTGCACCACCAGGGAAGCCCCACATCTACTTCTTAAACTAGGTAAGGGGAGTTTAGCATTCTGGGAAAATGAAAGGGGGTCCTAAGGTCTCAGGACACTGGGTAGCTCACTGAAAGTGCCCCACAACTCAGAGCACCGAGTCAACAAGTGGCCACAGGCATCTGCATAGAGCAGAGTTGAAACCTAATGGCCCACAGACATATTTTCCTTGGCCCATACAATACTTTAAAAATTTCTAAATCAGTTGCCAACCCTAAAAAGTCAGAAAAGCTTCCATTAAAATGTGGTTTCCAGTTTCTTTTTTAAAGATCTGACAGTACTGGGCCCCTATTCCCACGGCAGAGGCTCTAGGCCCTTGAGAGGGGGCATGGTTCTCCACATTACCACAGTCCCCACTCCTCCTATTGGGTCCTCAACACAGAAACTAAGGGTCAGATTCCACACAGCACTGTGATTGCCCCGTTGTTCCTCTGGTAACAGAGTTATAAGTCAAGTACACTATTTCTAATAGTCACCAAAAGTGGGAAAACAAAAAGGTAGACTAAGAAGGTCATATGTTTCAAGAAAAATGGGAGCGAGCCCATTCCTTTATGGCCATGAAGAATACTGTACACCAACTACTTCCCTCATTTCCGTGGCCTGCCTGGTCCCTGAAGGCCTTTGCGAAGGTGTGGCCCACCTGGGCTTGCCTTTATCCTCAGCCAGGGGCAGAAGTTGGGGTGAAACCCTGCTCTGAACACAGGCACTGGGCTGTGAGGGAAGAGCCCACGTATGTAAGCATGGGAGGGAGCGTGGGCCTCCCGCCTAACATTGCACTTGGTGATTAGCTGGTCCTTCTTGCTGGACTCCTGCAGGGCTCTGCTCTTGACACTGGAGAGCCTGAGTGGAGAAGATAAGAAAGGGTGGGAAGGCTGATGGGCAGATGGGACCCCCAACCGTTCCCCCACTACCAAGGCCCACTCACGCCTTTTCAAAGGCCAGCTTCTCTTTCTCCAGCTGTTTAGACAGCACCTCTACCTCTCCGAGGGCAAACTGCAACTTCTCCTCTTCCGTGGCCAGGAGAACCTTGGTCTTGGCATGGGCAGCTTTCTCTTCCTGCAGGGGCAGCAGCAGTGACCTCATTATCCCAAGCCACGTTGGGTCTCCTAGGCTCCCTTAACCAGCCCCCTTTCTCAGAATGGCACATAGAAGCCAGGATACAGGAAGATTCTGTCCTTACTATTGGGGCTGGAGGCTCTCAGAGGCTAATACTCAATGACTCTACCCAATCACAGGGATCCTGGGAAATGGGGGAAGCTTAGAAGCTGACAGAGGCCATCACTTACCACCAGCTTTTTCTCCACTGCCTGGAACTCTTCTTTACTGACAAAATTTTCATCCTGGAGAACCATCTGCAACAGAGGCTGGCTCAGGGAGGGGCTGGGGTGGTAGGGGTTTCTCTCGGGACCAGGACTGAGGATAGATAATGGGATGCCCGGGGCACCTAGGATGACACTGGGGCCCAGGAAAGGGAGAGTTCATTCCACAAGATTCACTGATGCTCAGCTCTATGTCCTGCCCTCAAGTAGCAAGAAGTCTCATGGAGAAGACAGCCCACGGCCACCACTTCTAACATGGTGTGTGCTGTGATGGAGGTTCCCAGAGGAGGCCCCTGACCCGGCCTGGGGAAGGGTCAGAACAGCTTGAAGCGAAGGGAATGTCAACCTGATATCTGACTGCTAAATAGGGGTGGGCCAGAAGAAGAGGATGGAAAAGAAAAGTGTTCCAGACGGTGAGAACACACATGCAAAGGCCAGCTGCCAACAGAAAGACCTGGGTACCTAAAGGTATGCAGGTAATTCAGTGTCCAGAGCTGCATACTACCGTTAAAGAAATAGATGTGAAGTCAGTTTTATGTATCCCCACCTTCTTACCCAGATAAAAAACAAAACAGAAAAACCATGAACTCCAGTTGGCCAGCATTTTACCATGCCTGTCCATGTAATCTGTGGCTCCAATGCTTTGCACACATGAACGGGGGTTTGACCAAAAAAGCAAAAGCAAAGGGACATAAAGGGGTTGGAAGCCTTTAAGTCAACATATGAAGAGCCAATTCTGTGCTTACTGCACTCATCATGGGGAGGGGATTCCATAATAGGAACGATGTTATAGTTACTCTGCACACAAGGGCCTTGGCAAGTCAGTGAAGTCATCTTCAATTAGAAATGAGGAAATTGGGAATTCCCTGTCGGTCCAGTGGTTAGGACTCCAGCTTTCACTGCGAGAGGCCGGGGTTGGATCCCTGGTCGGGGAACTAAGATCCCTCAAGCCACGTGGCGAGGCCAAAAAAAAAGAAATGGGGAAACTAAAGCTCAGTGAATAGATGGGCATATCTATCAGGCCCTGCACAACCAGTCAAAGAGAGTAGGAAACAACTTGGCGTTGACTAAAATTCCCCGGTAAATATTCACGAGACACTGCCCCCTTTTGGCTCCACCTCTACCAGCCGGAACACATCTGGGCCCCGCCTCCTCGTGATGACGCCATTGGCAATGTGCTCGCGGCCCGCCCCTGGCATCGGGACAGCGTCTGGCCCCGCCCCCACCACTTAGGCGTCCAGTCCGGCATCCCCCAGCTCTTCTGGTTGCGTACCACGTTCCTCAGCTGGTGGATCAGTTCCTCCTGAGCCTCAATCACGTCCCGCAGTTGATCGAAGGCGAGACACACTGATCCTGAACCCCCCTGCGACCACCCGACGGGCGTCGCCATCTTTCGCCCCCGCCAGCTCGTTGGAAATGGCTGCCGCGGCGTGCCTCCCCGCTGACGCCCACCAATGAAAATGAGACGCCACAAAGCACCCTGGCAACCAGGGGCGGGGACTTCCTTTGTTAGCAGGGATGGGGCCCGCCTCTTAAAGGAGCCGCTCTCTTAGCGGAGCCGCCTGGGGAAGAGAACCTCCAACACCGTTAGTAATTTAAGTTTATAGGGAATTTGCACATCTATTATATGATATGTTTCTCACGCAGTCCTGTGGAGCGGGCAGGGCCCGGCTTATACTTACTGTAAGGGCTGAGGGGCAGGCAACACTCAGACACCAGCCCTCACCCTTCTCCCAGGGACCAAGACCCTGAAGCAAGGGTCAGCTGAGACAACCCCTGCATATTTAGCTTCACATGTCTCTTTATTCCACTCTAATCTCTAAATTTCCCCCATAGTATGAGACTCCAGCCTCCTGTGATCTTTATTCCTCCTAGGAACACACTTAGTACTTAGGGGGCCTGAGCCTAAGCAATGAAGGGAAGCTCAAGAATAGAGAAGGAGAGTGGCTTCACCCAAGATAAGAGTCCTCACATTCTGGTACCAGGCTCTGGACAGCCTGAAGAGCCTGAAGATATTAAAACTGAAGTCAGGCATGAAGGAGACTTGCAAAATGGAGGCAGGGAAGGATAAGGTGATCACACATCCCCACCAATCCTCATTGAGGGCTTGTTTGTTTTTTTTTTCCGGTACGCGGGCCTCTCACTGCTGCGGCCTCTCCCGTTGCGGAGCACAGGCTCCGGACGCGCAGACTCCGCGGCCATGGCCCACGGGCCCAGCCGCTTCGCGGCATGTGGGATCCTTCTGGACCGGAGCACGAACCCGGGTCCCCTGCATCAGCAGGCGGACTCTCAACCACTGCGCCACCAGGGAAGCCCTGAGGGCTTGTTTTGAAACCCAAATAAGATTACGCTCAGGCTATTAGATATTAGCTATTACCAGAGCTAATGTTTATCGAGTATTCACTATTTCATGACACCATTATGCCTTATTAGTGTTATTTCATGTGATCCTCACAATAACCTTGTGAAGTAGGTTCTAACGTCCACATTTTACAGGTGAGAAAATGCAGGTTCTATGAGAATGAATAACCCAATAAGCCAAGGTCACCCAAGCTAGTGAGCCTTGGAACAGGGTTTTGACAGAGGCAGTCTGATTCCAGAGTCCATGTTCTTAACCGTGATGCTGTGATGCATTTTGGTTGAACATAATGGATTCTGAAGTTATGGAATTTGAAACCCCCAAGTAGGAAATGACTATATTAAGAAGGAGTTTGGAAAAAATGTTGTCGATGACCACAAAGGGAAGTTGAAATTTCAGGTAAGCCACTTAGGCTGCTCTCCTTAGCTGCTTAGGTGCCTCTTTTTGGCTGGAGGTTGTGACCTAACAAACATGGCCATTCCTGTGGCTCTCCCAGTGGTAGCCCTTGTTTTATCTTTCCTTTTTTATTGTGTCTGTTCTCATGTCCTTGAAGGCAAGGCCACCTCTGTTGATCAGTTTTTAAGGGCCTAGAGCCGTAGAGTCCAACAGAATTTCTCTGATGGAAATGTTCTGCACCGTCCAGTACCAGCAGCCAGTAGCCTCACGTGGCTCAGCAGTACTTGAAATGTAGCTCAGGTGACTGAGGAATTGCTTTTTAAATTTTTTAAAATTCCAATTAAAATTTAAATAGCCAGAGACTTCCCTGGTGGCGCAAAGGTTAAGAATCCACCTGCCAATGCAGGGGACACGGGTTCGAACACTGGTCCGGGAAGATCCCACATGCATGGAGCAACTAAGCCCGTGCACCACAACTACTGAGCCTGGGCTCTAGAGCCCGTGAGCCACAATGGCTCACGTGCTGCAACTACTGAAGCCTGTGTGCCTAGAGCCCATGCTCCTCAAGGAAGAGTAGCCCCCGCTCACTGCAACTAGAGAAAGCCCAGGCACACCAATAAAGACCAAACGCAGTCAAAAGTAAATAAATAAATAAATAATAAATAAATTTAAATAGTCATATTTGGCTAGTGGCTACTGTATTGGATATCATGGGACTATAGGGTGCTCTGTGGTTTATGTGCCTCAGGACAGAGACCTCTAGGAACTTTGTCTTTCAAATGTGAATGCTCCTTTGAATTACCCTGGACAAAGCTGCACATTGCTCTGGGGCAGCGATCACTGAATCTCCCCATGGACTCTGTCCCCTCTCTAGGGTCTTTTAGGAGGTGCTGCTTGATGTTCCCTTGCCACTCAACATTCACCTCCACCAGCTGTGCTCCACATTTAGGGCAAAACCCTAAAAGGCTCCAGCAGCCATTTCCTGAGGATGGGAAGTTATGAGCAAAGAGAGAACCCTGGATCCAGGTCCGCACCCTGCATACTAGCATGGACATGAGGGACGGTAACCCTGGTTGGGGATTGCCACGGACTCCCACTCTATGTCAACAAAAACTACAGGTTCTTAGCCAGCTGGGGCTCAGCAAAGCTCAGAATAACATGACATCACAGATAGCTTTGTGATCCTGCCCTGGGAAGTGCTGCCTTTCTGCACAGGCTTGTCATACTGGTTGATGTTCTGGTTATCTACTGCTGTATTAACAAATCACCCAAAATTTACAGCTTAAGAAAGAAAATCACTTTGCTCAGGAATCTTCACTTTGGGCAGGGTTCAATAGTGAAAGCTTATTTCTGCTCTATGCCTGGGATGGTTAGTGGGGTGGGGGGTGAGGGTATGAGAAGTTCCACTTCCAGGACGGCTCACTCGCATAACTGGCAAGTTGGTGCTGTCAGCTGGGAGCTCATCTAAGACTCAGGACCAAGGTTCTTGGTTCCTCACCATGCGCCACTTGGGCTTTCTCATAGCATGGTGATTGGGTTTAAAAGAAAGCATCCAAAGTGATGAAACAGAGGGAATACCCTAGTAGTCCAGTGGTTAGGACTCTGTGCTTCCACTGCCGGGAGCCCGGGTTCCAAAAACAAAAACAAAACACAAAGTGACGAAATGAGAGATGCCAGTTTTCTTAAGGCCTGGGCCTAAAAACTGGCATAGTGTCATTTCTGCCCAACCCTATTCGTCAAGGAACCACAGAGTCCGTATTCAAGCAGTGGGGACACGTCCTACCTTTTTTTTTTTTTTTTTTTTCTTTGCGGCACATGGGCCTCTCACCTCCGTGGCCTTTCCCCCCGCGGAGCACAGGCTCCGGACCCGCAGGCCCAGCGGCCATGGCCCATGGACCCAGCCGCTCCACGGCACGCAGGATCCTCCCGGACCGGGGCACGAACCTGCGTCCCCTGCACCGGCAGGCGGACTCCCAACCACTGCGCCACCAGGGAAGCCCCATCCTACCTTTTGACAGGAGTAGTTTCAAAGAATTTGAGCTGTACTTCCAGAGGAAGTCCTGACAGGTGACATGTCATTTTCTTCAAGGTTCAGTTCAGATAATACCAGACTGGAACTTAGTCTAATGGGGGAGACAGATAATAATCAAATAAACACCCAAATAAATCCCAGTTTAAGTCACTATTCAAGTAAATAGCATTATAGCTATGAGAGGTACAAGAAAGAGAGGAATGAGAATAATTTAAAAGGAGATTTAGCCCAGCCTGGGGTGTCAGGTGTGAGGAAGAGATGTTTGAGCTGAATGAAACCTATTAAGGTAACCAGGAGGCACTTTGCAAAGGGGGCAGGGGCAAGTGAATGGGAAAGGCTTCCAGGAAGAGTGAACAGTATATACAAAGTCCCTCGGGCAAAAGGGTTGGCATAGTGTAGTAACTAAAAGGCTAGTATGGCAGAAAAGAAAAAGATGTACAGGACAAGCAGAGGTAGCGGCCAGAAACTTGGTAGAGCCTTGTTAAGTATTAGGCCATACTGAAGACTTTGCTGATTTTTATTACAGGGGCAAAAGAAAGGTACTGAAGTATTTTAAACAAGAGGGTGATATGCTATAATTTATGCTTTGAAAAGATCTCTCTGGTTGCAGCAAGGTGTACAGATTGGAGATGGCCCTAAGTAAATGCAGAGACTACTTAGGCAGCTACTGCAGTGGTTTCTGTCAGAGAAAGTGGATGGTATTTGGGAGTCAGATGGTATCAGAGGAGATGAAGAGAGAAGATGGATTTAGGATGTTCTGGAGGTAGAATTTATAGGACTTAATGATGGAGGGGATATGGGAAAAAGGGAGTCGAGGTATTTGGTTATCTACTGCTGCAGACTACCACAAAATGTAATGGCTTAAAACAGTAGCCAGGGGACTTCCCTGGTGGTCCAGTGGTTAAGACTCTGCGCTTCCAATGCAGGGGCCGCGGGTTCAATCCCTGGTCGGGGAACTAAGATCCCACATACCGCTCGGCGTGGCCAAAAAAAAAAAAGAAACAAACATTAGCCAGTGTATTATTTGCTCATGGTTCTGCAGTTTGAACCAGGCTTGGCAGGGCAGCTAATTTCTGCTGTGATCATCAGCGTGGGTGGCAACCAGTTTGGCTCAGATTGTGTCTGAGTTCAGTTCTTGCTGCCAGCTCAGTTGTTTGGTTCTCCTCTGCATGGCTTCTCCATGTGGTTAGCTTGGTGGTCTCAGGGTGGTGGGACTTAAATGGAAGCTGGTTTCCCCTAAGTGCAAAAATGCAAGCTGCTGGTTTTGCCACATTCTATTGATTAAAGATCAAGGCCAGCCCAGGTCAGAAAGGGGACTACACAAGGTCATGAATATTAGGTGTGGTCCACTGGAGGACACCAAATTAAGTCTACCACACAAAGTCTCCCAGGTTTCTGACTTCGTATTTGGATGGATGGTGGTGCTATTTGTGGAAATGGGAGCACTCCAATGGTGTTGCTTCTAACCCCATTCAAAAAAAAATCACTGTACTCTGTATGAAGGTTGATTACATTTCAAATCTCTTTTCCTCAGAATTGCTTTCACTGATCCTCCATCCTGGATTAAATCCCATTGTTATAGATTCCCAAGCTTCCTTTGGTCTCCCCTTTGACATACATCCCACTGGGGAGCATTGTCTAATTGGCTCCCCCATTAGATGTGAACTCCAGGAGCCATGGTACTGGGTCTCACTTGTTTCCTGACCCCCATCCCAAAAGTTCAGCCCACCTGGTACATAGTAAGTTCTCCATCTTTGCTGAATTGAATATCATCTTAATATTTCTTCACATGAAATGTATTATTATTACATTAACAATGTCCTGTATTCCTGAACCAAGACTACCCTAACTGAGGACCGTTAGGAACAAAGCCAGCAAGGAACTGGGATAACACCTGATGTTCAGATGCTAAGCAGATCTGATGTGTACGTTGGCTGTAATACGCTGCAGCTGCTGACATCTGACGGAAAACAAATATTGAACTGGTGAGGCCACCAATGCTATCTATTATGCTAAACACCAATAATTCCATTGATGTATGAGGGAACACTGGAGCAGAGGTCAACAGCCTGTCTAGTCCTAAGTGGCTCCAAGGAGTCAGGCAATATGCAGTACCTACGGGTGCCATGGGCAAAGGTAAAAGAACAAAGGAAAAATATAAAGCCATTCTTTTTATATAAAACCATTTAATTTATTTCTGTTAAAATACACTCAGTCCAGATGTAATGGATCAGGTGACCAGATTTTTCAGGATTCTTACTCCACCAGGAGCTGATTCCATCTGGGTCAATCCTGGCTCTGGTCACAGAACATTCACATCTTTAATTCCAAATACTGAATGTGATGCAAAAGATGTAATCAATACGTAACACACAGGTATATAGTTACTTGGTGGTCACTGCACGAGGTTATCAACAATGCAGGCTCAAAAAATAAGATGTATAATAAGTTGGTCCTTTCCAAAAATAAATACATTAGGACACTAAGCTTATACCTTAAAGGAATCCAAAATAAATACTAATTAAGCGCTAGCTCCTGTGAGGAACAGTGCATGCAGACAATGAACCCGCGTGTGTGGCTATTCGTAACAGAAAGCTCTGGAATCCCAACAGTGCCTCCTCACAAAGCCAGTCCTGAGTGTGAGGATGTAAATGAGAGTAACACATAGCTTGACTAGGCTGCTGGATTCCACGTTCCAGTGGGGTTTGGAGTTCGGCGTAATTTCTAATAGTTTCCAACAGAAAGAACAGCAATGGCATTTTCTTGCTGGTCACTTCTCCCAAGCTGTGAGGCCTGGAGCTGATCAAGGAAGTTCAGAAGTCTTCTAGTTTGAGCAGATGAACCCCAGGGTTGCTAATCTGGGGACACGGATTCCTTTAAACTGCAGTGCCCCTTGTGATGAGAAGGGTTTTCATCCCACCTTCCTCACTGTTGATCATTTAGTGCAGAGGGCACTTCCATTCTTACGAGAGCTTCGCTTTCTGCTCGAGCCTCAAGCCCTATTTCTTAGCCCCACTCCCATCACGCATCTCCAGTCTGCATTTGTGCTCACAGAAATAGTCTAGAGTTGCATGCCAAGTTCTGAGAGCAAGAATACGCCATGCCTAGAGAGTTTATATATGATAAAAACTTTCCAAATGATGTAGGCAAGAGGAAAATGCTTATTTTACCACCATGCAGACAACCCATCTAAAATGCAACCCAGGAAATTATAGTTTAACAATATTCTGGACAGTACCAAATAGATTAAACTATCCTTCAACCCAAAGCAAATACCATTCCCTTCAGGAAAACCAGATGTGAGTGTTGCAGTCTATTAGGTAATAAATAAAACAGTACCATCAGTGCTATAAAAACAGACAACAGACCTGACATTTAATGAAGTGAGTTAGTATTGCCTCTATTTAGTATCATCACAGATAACTCATCTCTGCCATGAAATCCAGGTGTGACTACACTATTCACGGGCATCTAGAGCAGAGTCTTGTACCTTGTCAAGTCAGTTTAATTATGGCCCATTTTCTAGCAGAGATTGGGGTTGGGGACAGGGGAGCTTTGATTTTTGTGTGTACAGGAAAACAACTTTCTATAGCTCATTTGGCCCACAGGCACATTTTACCATGTAAATCCCTTCAGTCACTCAGAGGGGATCAAGGAAGCCCCCCAAAACCCAGGAGGATAGACTTCATTGGGTGACAAAATCTGACTATCTCTGGAGCTGCTCTCCCTCCCTACAGCTGAGCAGGTGCCCCTACCAGCCACCAAAGTCCCACTCTTTACCTCTGGACTCATCTCCTGACCCTGTGGGATGCCCACACGTGGGACAATACTAGATACATCTGCCTAAATCACGGCTATGCATCTGAAAGGAGAAACTCTACTTTGGAAACAAGTTTTAATGTAGACTCTCCTTCCAACAGGAACTTTTCTTCCATCCTGAAGAAAACATGGAGTGTAGACTACATTTACCTACTGATCCTTCCAGGTTCAGATTCATGATATAATCTGGGCAGCTCAATCCTGGTAGCTCACCTCCACAGGAAGGCCCAGAACCACACAGTCCAGGCAACAACTTCCGTCCTCCTTGTCACCAGTGGGAAAAGCTGCCTGCTTTTGTTTTGTATACAGAAGTGGTGTAGAGAGGTGTCCTGAGTGGATGTAGCACTGCCATAGAAAGGATACAGGATCCCAGGGTGGGGGGAGGAGCATCCTTGGGAAAGATTCGCTTTAACCAATATGGCTAGAATTACCTGAGCAATGGGGATGATCACACACTTCCTACTTGAGAGTTGGCCTACCATCTAGCTCTGTCACAACAAGTTGTGTGACCCAGTTCAACCATGCATCCTCTCTGGGCCAATGTTCTCATTCCATACCAGGCACTCAACAAATGTTGACTACATGAAAAAGCATCTCCTATCACAAACTACAGGGCACTGGGTTAAACAAAGTGACTGCTGGGGCCAACGCCAGATCCCCATAGCCTCAGACTGAGGGTCTTTCCCCTCTATCTCTAGGCTTGAGCAAACAGCCCAGCGGGCTGGCAGTGCCTCCTCTTAGGTCTGACCACTGTACCTCTGTGGGGTGTAGGGACTCAGCTCAAGTATGATGCTGCAAGGGGAAATGTCAAAAAGAACATTCTCTGGGTTCTGCACTGAGCAGCTGAGACTTAGTCTTGCATTTTACCTTCGCCCCTGGCCCCTGCTTCCATGTCCATTGAACTGTTTCACTCAATAACTTAATTTCTGGGCTCTCTACAAGACAGAGGGTTAAGGAAGTAAAAAAAACTCAAATTAGGCAGTTTTCTAATGCTAGTAACAAATAGAAAACTGTGGACTAAAACAGTTTACATTTCTCCACATTTCCCTTAGAAAATGGAAAGTTGAGTTGTTCCAACAGCTGAATCTGGTGGGGAGACAATGACTCTAATGAAGGGAGAGGTATAATTCTCAGTGCACATTGTAAACAACCAATATTAAGCTGCTTTGGCTAAGCCTAGGAATGACTGGCTATTGAGACTTCACTGAAGGGAAGAAGAAAGAAAATATGAGTCTGCTCGGGGGTGCCCTGAACTACCTTTCTAGAGGCAGGGTAGGCGCAGAGCAGGGGGCTGAATCTAATGCTTTGCCATTAATTCAATTTAGATGACCTGCTCCTGGCCCCCGGAGCCAATCCCCAGGAAGGAGTCTGTGATGACAAGTCTGGCTCCATGCTGAAGCACCTCCAACTCTGCCCACCAAACAAAGTTAGCAAATTGTAAAATGTTCATCATTTCCTAATTTTGTATTATACAATGGAATTAGGAACATAAACAGTAACACATAGCAAAACCCCGAGCCTGCATAGGACTACCATCCTCTCAGCCACCTCTGCGTAGGCCAATCAGTTTGGAAAGTTTTTCACAGTTTTCAAGTTTCAGCGACTCTGCCTTCTGTTTCAATCGTTCATCTCTGTATAATCCTGCCAAATTGGTCAACTCCGACTCTGAAAGATAAAAGAGGTAACAATTCATCAAGAAAGTTGAGCTCCTCTGTTTCACTTCAATACTTCTGGAAGCAAAGCTCCTTTTACTTTAATGCTTTTTCTTTCAATTAAACTTAAGAAACACTCATTTACTCAAGAAACACATATCAGGCAGCTACGCTACACCAGGTGCTGAGGATTAAGGGACACCTGTGATCCTGGAGTCCAACAGTATCTGTGCTCTATTACAAAAGCACTGGACTTAGTTCTTATCAATAGAACATTTGGCACCAGACTTAGGAAACCTGCACGCGTGTGGTAAAAGGAGACCCTGTTTCAGGGCTTTCCTACGAATGGTATTCAGATGGCAGTTGGGAGAGAATGGAGTCCAATCGCCTGTTCCTGTCATCTGAAACAAAGACAGCTGCTTCATCCTTCCCTCTGCATTGCTGGATCATAACTCATATATGCGGACTGACACAGAGCCCTCCACCGGCAGGCACGCCTCTATAGAAGGCCAGGTTGCTGGCGGCGTTCTTCATTCCCTCACCACATGTGGGGCCCCTAACTCAAAGGCCAAAGGCAGCTGGGCTCTTTTAAAAGTGAAATCATCTGGATCCGGTGACCTCTGTCTCCTTGAAGAAATGTATTTCATTTTCTCTTCATGGTGGAGAAAGTCATTCTATTTTTAACCAGAATATAATCTCTGCTGTCCTCCCGGACTCAACAGTGGTTTGGCTGCCTCTCTTTTTTATTCTTTTGTATAGTTTCAGAGACATTCGTAGGAAGGAATACCTGAAAAGCAACTCCAGAGACGTGTTGTGTATTAACATGATGGCATGCTTCGAGGGCCTGCGTGGCTTCTGAAAGCCTCAAATAGCAGGCAGCTACTCAATGTTTATAGGACCACACTTGTGAAAATGCTATTTTAGTCATTCTGAAATATGTCTATTCATTCTTAGTCATCTTGCTGACAGATTTTGTTTTTCTTGGTGGAACAAGAGGCACCTGTCTGATTAATCAGCAAACTGCCTGGAAACAGGACTTAATAGCTAGCCAGAGGGAACAATGCGCAGTGGTTTCTGAGTAAGTCTCTATCAACCAAAATACAGGCATTTCTGCTCACAATGGTTCTGTTCACACCAAGTAAGGCCCAAAGTGCAGTTAAGTGCAGGACTCCAGGGTGAGGGGTGGGTATGCATGAAAACCCACCCTCTGCGATGGGGGTTCAGAGGTTGAGCCCTGGCCCAGCAGCTGCTTGGCAAACAGGGGGTCTCCTAGACTCTAGAACAATGTGCTCTCACCCCGCGGCGTGGGGCCTGCAGTGCGCGCCAGCCAGAGCTTGCCCCCTGCACAGGCATCCTCGCAGGTGATGTGGCTTCATGGCGGATCATGCACCGCACCCAAATGAAAGCCCTCTGCTCCTTCGTTCTGCCCAGAGCTAGGCACTGACTCCATCTGTCTGGCTTCTTTGGCATGTGGGAAACCTGTTCAAGAGGGCTCTGTGAAATCAGGCTGTCCCTTTGGTCCTCTGAGTCACAGTTACACCAGTATATAGAGCAGATCCTATGGCTTAGCTTTTCCTTGAAATGATTTCCTTAGGTTTTTTGTTACTGACCTTATCCAAATGTCTCATTGCCTGAAATCTCATTCCAGAAAACATTAAGGGCTAGTGATTCTTACTGTTTTATACACTGACAACTACTGTAATAAGCTGATGAAAGAGAACTGCACATATATGAATGCTTTTCTCAAAACATGACATTGCTTTTTTAAAGTTCATTGGAACCAGTTTTCAATGCTCCAGAGATTGAGAGCAATGACCTTGCACAAGGGCAGTGTTTCAAGGAATTATGTCCCACACCCCCATGACCATGCTTGGAAAAACTTCTCTCCAAACTGCCAGTGAATCCTTTTGCACTTCAATGAACAAAAGGTCAACTCAATGAATATGTTACTTTTCACAAGTTCTGTTAATATTCAATAACTTCTAAGAAAAAACAAAATCTTTGGCAGGGGCAGGATCAAGAGAACACCTTTTCTTCTCTGCAAAATGTTTCCCGTGCCCTGAATGCCAGTGTAATAGATGGACAGAGCATTGCACCTTCAACGTAAGCTGACTCAGGCAAATTGCCAAGAGAGGCAAGTCCCAAAGCCTCTCTCAAAAACACTCTGCATGCATGGGCTTCCCTGGTGGCGCAGTGGTTGAGAGTCTGCCTGCCGATGCAGGGGACGCGGGTTCGTGCCCCGGTCCACGAAGATCCCACATGCCGCAGAGCAGCTGGGCCCGTGAGCCATGGCCGCTGAGCCTGCACGTCCAGAGCCTGTGCTCCGCAACAGGAGAGGCCACAACAGTGAGAGGCCCGCGTACCGCAAAAAAACAAAAAACAAAAAACTCTGCATGACAGCCCAGATCAGAGTCCTGACAGCTGGAAGACCCTGACAGATCCCAACGACCATCATGATCCAGCCTCATAAGACAGTGCTGCATCCAGTCAAGCAAGGCCAAGCAAGGTCTGGATTCGGTCAGGATCCAAACACTTACTATATGCCAGACACCATGCTAAGCGTTATACTCATACCATCTTCTATAATCCATACAACCTCCTTGGGAGGAAGAAAGCAGAGAAAAGAAATTAACAAAAGATTTTAAAAGACAGTGGCTAACTTTGCTAAAAACAGTTTCCATTAGGTATTTTGCCAAGAGTGAACTTTGTTCTCAAGCGGGTTTATTTTTACAACCTCCATGTGCTAAATTTAACCATGCTGGCTGCACTTGCTGCTGGATCCGGAGGGCAGATGCTGCTTGTTCTCAAATGGCACTTGGGTTGTGTGGAGGCTCCGGATGGCCACCATCCTTAAATGCCAGAAATAGATTTTTAAGGGGTGTGTGCTGATAACCCCCGGGTTGGAACTTGTGGGTACACGCATCATGCTCACCCACTGGATCTGTTTATACCTGGAGAGTGCCAAAGCCCAGAAAGTAGGCCTCATGAGGATGGCGACAAAAGCCTAGAAGCCACCTTAGGTGTAATCCTTACCATGAGCCCTCTGCATAATTTCAAAACCCTCTCAGAGTCTAAAATAATGGAGACTCTTAGGACATACGCTGTGGCCTTCACCTGATTTGGATACACGTTTATAATGCCTTTAAGTGTAAGGCCTCTATCTTGCTCCAAAATTCTTTCCTGATTTTTGAAACTTGCAAAACCTAATTTAACAGTGGGTAGGGGTACTTCCTGACCCCTCAGTTTTTTCAATAAAAAAGCAACTTCCTCCTCCTGCTGAATTCCCCCTTACATCCAAGTCATTGCCTACCAAGCTCCTAATGCACCTGAGAGGTCAGGTGGGCTCTGCCCTACAGGAGTAGACAGCAGAGATAAGGTCCTTCAGGGGCAGGGTTAGGACACTAGCCCTGCTCAGTGACTCCTAGTCCTCAGCAGTTTCACTGTCTTCCAGTCCTGAGAATCCTCTTTTCAAAAGACATTTGTGGAGCATCTGTTCTGAAGCAAAGGCTGTGCCAAGGGCCTGGGACACAAAATTAGTAAGACATGGTTTTTGCCCTCAGAGAGCCCAGAGTCCAGCAGGGAGACTGTCATGTACCTACAGAACATGTTAACATGGTGAGGGTGGCACTGCCTTAGCAGGATGAGCAAAGTGCTTTAAAAACACAGAGGAAGGAGAGACTAACTTGGGGTGGGGTTGGGATGCATGATGGGTCAGCGAGGGCTTAGCAGCACTGTGACTGAGGATCTAAATTTATCAGGCACTGTTAGATGTTTAACAATACCCAGTGACAGACAAGGTTTTAAAAAATGAGTTAGTTTGCTTTTTAAAAATTAACCAAAGCCAAGTTTTATAAGATACAATTACTAATGGATATGTATGTGTGTGTGTGTGTGTGTGTGTGTGTGTGTGTGTGTGTGCACTCCCCATGAACACTCACTGGGGTTGGAAGCCAACACTGTCACCCCCATTGTCTCCAGGGAAACAGTGTGGAAGGCCTGCTCCTGGGAGAGTCGCTTTTATTCTGTGTGGTCACAGCTGATTGGAGGGGAAGAGAAGGGGCACCAAACTCAAAAACAACAACCTATAAAACTTTGGTTAGGTTGGATCAATCAGATTTCCCTCTGGGAAATGTGAAATTAGGAAACCATGGACCAAACCAGTGAGCTACTTAAACAGGAAGCTTGTGATGTAGAAAGGGGCCAATGACTTGTGGGGTTGGGGAAGTTGGGAGAGTGAATAGGAGGGTAGCAACCAAAATAAGCCACGGCAAATTAAGGCTGTGAAGGAGGAGAGCCTGAAAAAGCAAAGAAGTTGGTAGAGAGAGGAGAGAGGGCAGATAGGCAGAGAGATGTAGAGACTCAGAGACAGACAGACAGATAGGCAACTAGTACTGCCGAAGTTCCTAAGATTTCCCAGTCCTGGCCACATGTATCCTGTCAATAAACTTCCCTTTTTTGGTAATATCCTGAATGGGCCTCTGTCCTATCCCTGTTCACGTAAACATGAGTAGCTCAAACAAGGAGAGAGAAGGGATCAGGAAGCTGGGGATGCCTCAGGTTGGAAGCATGGCACCAGCTGAAGCCCCTTTTAGAGCATCTTACTTTGTTGTTTCTCCTTCCAACAACTTGTCTGGATGTAATCAATGTAATCCTTTTCTATCGTCTTCTCCAGGTCACGCAGAGATGCTCCTCTGTAGGCCTTGTCAAAGTTTTTATCCACAAAGTAAGGCACCTGTAGGTTCTGGGTTTCTCTAGAAATGGTGTAGCCCAAGGTCCTGAAACAAGGAGAGAGAGGCTCAGGTATGCTTGTCATACTTGGCAATATCACTTTTAGCACTGGCCTCACAGAGATCATTCACACAATCACCTCTTCATGGGGCAGATGCAGATATCATTTTCTAATACATCTAACATTTATTATTTCCCAAGCAAAGCAGTAAGTGTAATGTCATCATTGTTGCTATTATGTGAGCATATTCAAATGGATTCAGTCTCAACATATTTATTTCCTTAAAGGATTCACCTCCCTCTCTTCTCTCTCTCTCTTTTTTTTTTTTTTTTTTCGGTACGTGGGCCTCTCCCTTCTGTGGCCTCTCCCGTTGCGGAGCACAGGCTCCGGACGCGCAGGCTCAGCGGCCATGGCTCACGGGCCCAGCCGCTCCGCAGCATGTGGGAGCCTCCCGGACCAGGGCACGAACCCGTGTCCCCTGCATCGGCAGGCGGACTCTCAACCACTGCGCCACCAGGGAAGCCCTCTCTCTCTTTTTAAATTTAAAACATATATCATGAAGGTTTGTCTTACATAATTATGAAATGATTACCACAATAGGTTCATCTTCTCATATAGATACAATAAAAAGAAAAGAAAGAAGACAAGAATAAAGGAAAAAAAACCTTTCTCCTTGTGATGAGAACTCTCAGGATTTACTTTCTTAACTTTCCTATCATTTCCTATCATACAGCAGCGTTACTACTGTAACACTGTGTTGTACCTGACATACCTTGTACTTACTTAACTTATAACTGTTAGTTTGTACCTTTGACCATCTTCCTTCAATTCCCCTTCCCTCTCTCCTCCACCTTCGGTAACCAGAAGTCTGATCTCTTTTTCTGAGTTTGTTTGTTTGTTTGTTTTTAGATTCCACATATAAGTGAGATCATACAGTATTTGTCTTTCTCTGACTTATTTCGTTTAGCATAATGCCTTCAAGGTCCCTCAATATTGTCACAAATGGTAGGGTTTCCTCATTTTTTATGGCTGAATAATACTCCATAGTGTGTGTGTGTGTGTGTGTGTGTGTGTGTGTGTGTGTTCAGGTTGTCTCCATGTCTTGGCTACTGTAAATAATGCTGCTGTGAATATGGGGGTGCAGCTATCTGGATTGACCTCTCTTAGACTGCTTTCTATGTTAAAAGTAGAATGCTGAATGCTTAAAAAACAATTTCTATATTGTATAGGACCTAGCATGGCACCTGGCGCAGAGTGGCTATTGGTAAATGTTGGTTGAATGAAATGACTGTTACTATAAACTATTTAAAAATAACCAGACAGCTTATACCAACTTAGTTCTAATTTTTAGGACATGATAAAAAGTACTTTACACATAGCCATTAGGTGAGAACTGCAAAAACTAAGACAAAAGATTTCAATGATACCTCCAGGCTAACTCTCAGTGGGTCTAAGATATCCAAAGGTGTCTGGTGCTCAGAAACTTTAACAGGTCTGGGTTAATTGAAGTCTAACCATAAGAAAGTACAGAAGGGAGTTCAAATTCAAGTTAAAACAATGTGATGGCAATGTGCAAAATCCAAGCTGATTTTGTCCAAATTGGACAAAGTCCATCTTAAAGGAGTTATATTTGACCTTTTCCTAGCCTTTTCCTTTGATCTCTCAACTTATGGATCTTGCTGGATGTCTAAGAGCCATGACTGCTCTTGCCTCCCTCTGGGAAGCTGTTATCAGGGTAGGTTCCTGTCTGTCCCACTGGCCTGACAAGAAAGGAGGTAGCAGTAGCATATGGAGAAATATGGGAAGTCAGGAAATAAGAGGGAATCAGGCCATTGTGTCCTGACAGCAATAACCTCTCTCTGAGTCTCAGTTTTCCTCTCTGTAAAATGAAGATATTGATATAGAATGATAGTCTTTAGTCTACAGTGATCACCAACAAGAGCTCTTCCTGTTAGGTACGGTTCCATGGAGTCCACATTTTGAAAGGTTTTTGTCTGCTAAACTATAATAGTAATGACTCATTTCTCATTATTAATTTAAAAAAATAATCCAGTGATTCTCAGACTTTAGTATGGACCAGAATTATCTGGAGGGCTTGTTAAAACTCATATTGCTGGTTCTCACCCCTAGAGTTTCTGACTCAGTAGATATGGAGTAAGGCCTAAGAGTCTGCATTTCTAACAGGTTGGCAAGTTAATGCTGATGATGCTGGTCTAGGGATCAAATTAAGAACTGATTTAACTGAAATAATTAATTGAAGAAATTAAAAAATTCCTATCAGAGCTCAAATTTTCCATGCAATACAAACTTTATAATGATTTCTATATTTTTAGCAAAAGCAAAGAAATGAGATACTATGGTTTGACTGTATAGCCTTATGAATAAATGTACTATTCTTGCAATTTCTTAAATTGGAAATAATCACTAGATCTTAGTTACTATGTTCTCAGACTCACAGGGGTCCAGCGATACTATCACAAGCTCAGTAAGGTCCTTTTTAACTCTAAAGTGGAATGTTAAGGATTTAATCTGAACCTGGAGTTCATCTATTAATCCTTCAGAAACCAGCCATTGCTATTCTGTAGCTGACCAGATGATGTCGCTGTAGAACAAAACAATCCAGGTCCTGAGTGCCTGGGAAACTGCCTAAAGAACAATATTTTTGAGTCTCTGCCTTATTACTATCCAGCTGTTCCTTTAAACACAAAATCAGTGTTTTCTACAACAAAAGGTGAAATGGAATGTTAGTAGTGTACCAGCTCGTTGTTAAGAAATATTTATAAAGATTTGACTTACGATTTATAGAATAGACTATATGGGGGATTAGCAGCTAGCAGCTGAGTAATCACAGATATAATCACAATCACCAGAACTGGAAGTAACTGAATAAATGCAGAATATGTAGTCTGAAAAAGAAAAAGCATTTGGTGTAAGTGCTCTTCATCAATATAAAGCTTATTGAAAAGAGAACAGTTTTCCCAAAGAAAATATGAATTACTGATGTACTGCACATAGCCCAAGGCTTTTCTGGGAAGGTTGTACTTTCTGCTGAGAGGTACCAAACAGCCCCATTCTGTCTGCTGAAAAGGCTGAACAAGGCCCACCTACAATCTGGATTGACACTCAGTAATCCTTCTGCAGCCCCCTTTTCTAAGACCAATGAAGCAGACACCTGTGCGGGAGCTTGCCCAGACTGTGACTCTCAGGAGGTCATGTTATTATGCAACTCTGTTGCCTTGGCCTCAGCTGAACGGACTGTGGGACATCTGGGGGACATCAAACCGTAGCAGGGATGATCACATTCTCCCTCATAAGCGTCTGGGATTGAGATCCATCACCATTCACTGCTAGGCAGTCACTTGAAGAAAGGACACATACTCTGAGGCACTGTAGACTGGACATTTGCAAGGGGAAGCAGAAAAGCCAGGCTGCTTAGAGAGGACAAAACAGATGCAGGCAGGCAGGAAAACTGGAGACAGTCTGGCCCCAAGAGTCATGGAGAGCACAGCTGCATGGGGGCCTGACAGCACCCCACTTCCTGGTTCCCATCTGACATAAGGCCCAGCAAGCTTCCTGCCCTTAAGCTTCATGAGACTCCCTTGATCCCTTACCTTAAACTCCCTTTAGTATTGAATATTTTGAAGGGGGTTCCTATTCTCTGCAGTCAAGAAAACATTTTTCAAGACAGCCCCATAGGTGAACAGATTTCTAGGGACAGTCACCAAAGAATGGATGGGGGAGGAGGTACTATTCTGGCTTATTTGGGCCAATTATCCAGCTCTTCTTGCCAGGCTTCTGCTTTCCTAAAGCACATTTTAGCAACATATCTCAAGTTGAACTTCGAAAACCTGATCATACTACATAAAGGTCAGCTCAGTACAAGTGTTTATGGGCAGCTCTTGTCCTGTCCTCCCCAGGTACCTGAGGCTTATCTTCTTCCTCTTCCTTCCGTGTCTGCATCCTCTCGTGTCGGTGCCGCCGGTGGTAATAGTGGGAGTCATCTGTCACGTTTGAAAACATATGAATGTTTCCTGGAAAAGAAAGAAAAATACTTAGTATGCAATATGGCAAACACCCCTTCCTTGCCTTTTCCAAGGTCCTTGCTTCCAACTAGGTTCTCTGAGGGTAGAGTATTGTCCCATTTTACTCAGTAGAAAAATACAACAGTAGGTATGTCAAGTGAACCAGCTGGAAATGGGACATGCTTAGCTCTCTCGCCCTTATTTAAATAATCCTTTGTAACCAGTGAGTGAGAGAACCCCAAGAGGCTAAGAAAGAAAGCACTTGGGCCACGAATCCTGTCTGACATGCTCACGTCTGCCTCCTTGCCCAATATCAGATTATGTCACTAGTATCTTTAATAGCACCTAACAAAATCCAATTTACTTGGGCTTCCCTGGTGGCACAGTGGTTGAGTCCACCTGCCGATGCAGGGGACACGGGTTCGTGCCCCGGTCCAGGAAGATCCCACATGCCGCGGAGCAGCTGGGCCCGTGAGCCATGGCCGCTAAGCCTGCGTGTCTGGAGCCTGTGCTCCGCAACGGGAGAGGCCACAACAGTGAGAGGCCCGCGTACCGCAAAAAAACAAAAACAAACAAACAAAAAACCTCAATTTACTTCCCAGGCATTTAATTAACCCAACTACCAACTCTCTGGGGGTACTTTTCTAACCTTTATCTTTATATAAATGCTATTTTGCAATAATGATAATACAGGCATTTTGCTTCTAATTTATAAAACACTTAAAAAAATATCCAATCCTCACAGCAGCCTTGTGAAGTTGGTATTATCAACCCCATTTTTAGGTAAGGAAACAAGATCAGATGGACTAAGTCAAAAGCATGCATAGTTGGAGGGTGGAGACATGCCTTCAACCCCAGATTATCTGATTCCAAAGTTTGCTGTTGCCACCATACCACGGTCCCTCTATTCAGATCCTCAAACAGATCCTCAAAATATATATGAATTTTTTTTTTTTTGGCCACGCCGAGCAGCATGTGGGATCTTAGTTCCCCAGCCAGGGATCGAACCTGCACCCCCTGCAGTGGAAGCATGGAGTCTTAACCACTGGACTGCCAGGAAGTCCCTATGACTTCTTAAACAATAATTTTGGGATACTAACCTGTAGGAAAATGTCCTCCAAAGAAGACGTTGAACAGCTCTTCTGGAGTGATGTCGGCTTCAAAGTCCCTGTAATAATTATAAGGTCTGGCTCGAGGGGTAGTGAAAGTCACCTGTTCATCTCCATATTCATCATAGCGGAGTCTCTTGTCAGGATTGCTCAGGACTGCAAAGGCATTTCCTATTGCTGCAACAAAACCAAAAAGCATCTGAGTACATAGTCTTTGCTGTAGCTGAGGGTGATCATAGTAGTAGCAATGAAGAGCCCGGAGTTGATTGGTGCTGGACAACTTCACAGTGACCCAAGGAGAGGTGCTTGGGCCTAGAAAGTTCACCAAAGTGCTTGCCCTTGAAATCTTCCATGGTCTAGTCTGATAAGCCTGAAACAACACTGGACTCAAGATGAACTAAGAAGTACTGTTCTCCGTCATCAAAAATGTTTTATTTCACTTGAGAGCAGTTGTTTATGGTTGGAAACAGCTCCTACATAAGTAGTGGTATTCTAACATGAAGTCACATACAATCTCCTGAATAAAATAATCAGTAAAAATCTTCCTGCTTGGCTAAAAGCAAAGTCCTCACTCATCAGTCTTATTTCAGCTTACTTTTTTTTTTTTTTGGCTGTGTTGGGTCTTCGTTGCTGTGAGCGGGGGCTATTCTTCATTGGGGTGCATGGGCTTCTCATTGCAGTGGCTTCTCTTATTGTGGAGCACAGGCTCTAGGCACGCGGACTCAGTAGCTGTGGCACACGGGCTTACTTGCTTCGCAGCATGTGGGGTCTTCCTGGACCAGGGATTGAACCTGTGTCCCCTGCATTGGCAGGTGGATTCTTAACCACTGTGCCTCCAGGGAAGTCCCTCAGCTTACTTTTAAAAATGGTTTTTAGGGCTTCCCTGGTGGCGCAGTGGTTGAGAGTCCGCCTGCCGATACAGGGGACACGGGTTCATGCCCCGGTCCGGGAAGATCCCACATGCCACAGAGCGGCTGGGCCCGTGAGCCATGGCCGCTGAGCCTGCGCGTCGGGAGCCAGTGCTCCGCAACGGGAGAGGCCACAACAGTGAGAGGCCTGCGTACCGCAGAAAAAAAAAAAAAAAGCAAACAAAAACAAACAAACAAAAATGGTCTTTAGAAATTAAGAAATGTATCTCCAGGGAATTTCCTGGCGGTCCAGTGGTTAGGACTCTGTGCTTTCACTGTCGAGGGCCTGGGTTCAATCCCTGGTCAGGGAACAAAACAAAAAAAAAACAACGTATCTCCAATGTCTCAAAGAGGGATCAAAGACTGAATAGATTACATATGCATACCATCACTTCTCCTCCCTATGCACAAATGTGCAAGCTTTTTCCAATTTCATTTAAACATACAATCAGTACCAACAATCAAAGAAATCTTGAAAAAAAATTTTAAGACATTCCTACCCGCCTACCTTTAATTCAGTCAACACTATCAGAAACATAGTCAGAAAGAGCATTTCCTTATGATTCTTCTAGCTAGGGAATTGTATTAAATATTTATAGCAAGGGCTTCCCTGGTGGCGCAGTGGTTGAGAGTCCGCCTGCCAATGCAGGGGACACAGGTTCGTGCCCTGGTCTGGGAAGATCCCACATGCTGTGGAGCGGCTGGGCCCATGAGCCATGGCCGCTGAGCCTGTACGTCCCAAGCCTGTGCTCCGCAACGGGAGAGGCCACAACAGTGAGAGGCCCTCATGCCACCAAAAAAAAAAAAAAAAAAAAAAATTTATAGCAATAAAACTGCTAAGCAGAAAAAACAAACAGAAAAGCCTAAACAGAGTTGCTTAAACAGTCACATCCCTTGAAATCTGGCAGATTTCTCAGAGAAATGGCATTAGTCTGTGAGGTACCTCACATGAAGGTGTGAGGAAATTGTGGGTTATCTGTTTCCTTGTAGAAACTGTGGGGAGAACTAGATTCACAATGGCACATCAACAAGGGTAGCTTGCCTGCTGAGGTAAAAGCTGACTTTAAAAAATGTCTCAGATCTATCATTTTTTACTTTTTCTTTTGAAAAATTTCAAATCTCCAGAAAAGATGAAAAAATAGTACAATAAAAACCTTTTACATTTATTCATCAATTGTTAGCATTTTACCACATTGCTTTCCTCAACTCTCTACACATACACATATAATATGTATTCATTTTTTTTGCTGAACCATTTGAAAGTAGGCTGCAGATATTATGACACTTCACCCCTAAATATTTTAGCTATGTCTCCGGAGAAGAAAGATATTCTCCTACATGATCACAACATCATATCATAGCTAAAAAAATTAACATCAATTCATTATCACCCAGTGAATCCATGCAAGGTTCATGAGTTACATTTGGTTTCATGTCTCTTCAGTTACTTTTAATCTAGAACAGTCTCCCCACCTTTTTTGTTTTTCATTATATTGAATTTTTTTAAGAGTAGTTCAGTGTTCTTTGTAGAATGTCCCATATTTTGATTGCTTCTTTATTAGGTTCAGGTCAAACATTTTGGCAAGAATACCACATGGTATTACAACATGTAATGTTAGGTTGTTCTAGTATTGGTGATGATAAGTTGGATCACTTGGTTAAAGTGGTGACAGCTAGCTATCTCCGTTATAAAGGAAAATTTCCCCTGTGTAATCAATAAGTATTCTGTGGGTGATTATTTGACAGTATGTGAACATCCTATGCAACAACAACCTATCACCCAATGGTTTTGGCATCCACTGATAATCCTTGCCTTAATCAATGACATTCCTGAGGGTGAAGCTCTTAAGTAAGATTTTTATTTATGTGTTGGATCCAAAATATTTTTGAAGAATATATCACTGGGGCTTCCCTGGTGGCGTAGCGATTGAGAGTCCACCTGCCGATGCAGGGGACATGGGTTTGTGCCACGGTCCGGGAAGATCCCACATGCCGCGGAGCGGCTGGGCCCGTGAGCCATGGCCACTGAGCCTGCGCGTCCAGAGCCTGTGCTCCGCAACGGGAGAGGCCACAACAGTGAGAGGCCTGTGCACCGCAAAAAAAAAAAAGAATATATCACTAAAAGTATCACGGAAATCAATGGAAAAAAGATTCGATCTATAACCATGTTTTTGCTCTTTACAAAGCTGTATAAAGTTTTTTCATACATGTTAATAACAGAGGTTTCATGAACAAATATTTTGATGGTCAAAGAAGTTTGGAAATGCTGTCTAGGCCCTACTTGCAAGTGGCCACCAACCTATAAGTTCCACAAGAGGAATCATATCTGTTTTACTCACCATGGCACCTGGCACATAGATCTTCAATAAAGATTTGCTGAATCAATGAATGAAAGGTTCCAAAAGGTGTCACAGAGAAACCAAATATTTTTTCCAAAAGAAATTAAGATAAGTGAATGAGGACAGGGGAGAGCTATGCTAATAATCACTATCTAAGAGGTGTGGCAGGAAAAAACAAAACCCTGCTTGTGGCCTTATAAAACAATTACAGGGGAGGCTGAAAACAACTTGCTGTGACCAAACAACATAAGAAGGGCAGAATTAAGCATTAGTTTAAGATCAGACCTTTGAAAGCATCTGTTGCTCCAGGAGCACAGTTCTTGTCAGGATGAAATTTCAGGGCGAGTTTTCGGTAAGCTTTCTTAAGCTCTTCATCACTGGCATTTCGTGAAACCCCCAGAATTTCATAGTAATTTCTGCATTTCTTGATCCTAAAAATACAAATCAGAAATATTTTTTGGTATGTCTACAAAGGCCCCTTTTGTACAATTAACTGCAAAATAGTAAATCAATCCTCTCTCCAATCTGTGAGCCCCAAAACAAACCTAAAAGAAAACTGGTGAACACATTAATGAAACATACAATTCACTAACAATGTCCTCCTCCCAGTGAGAGCTTAATTCCTTTCAAAGTATTTTTACATCTAATATTTTTTTCTTTCTATATCCCTGCAAGTGGATAGAACAAGTATACTAACCCTTATAATATTAAGGCCCAAGCTAAGTCCTCAGAGTTGAACCACTGGACAGCAAAGTCAGAAGAAATACCCTAACCATCCTTTTTTTTTTTTTTTTTAAATCTACCTTTTTTTCTCCTTATGGCTATCTGTTTAAACTTTGTTTTAGAAAGTTAACATATTCACATGGTAGAAGAAAAATATCCAATAGTACTAAACTATATACAGTGAAAAATCTTCCTGCTTCCCCATTCCCTGTCCTCCAATCTCCTACCCTAAGAACAACCACAGTTAGAAGTTTTTTGTGGGGCGTTCCCTGGTTGCCTAATGGTTAGGGTTCTGGGCTTTCACTGCCATGGCCCAGGTTCAATCCGTGGTCAGGGAACTGAGACCCTACAAGCTGTGTGGCACAGGAAAAAAAAAAAAAAGTTTTCTCTGATTCCTATGTACAGAGAGAGTACCTGTATAGAGACTTCCCCATTTTTTTTTTACATAAATGGAAGTATATTATAATCACCCTCTATATCTCATTTTTTTTTAAACTAACAATTTATCTTGGGAATTGATCCATAACTTATAGAGATGAAAAGTACAGGGATAACAGTTTAGACCACCAGGGTGTTGGTTCTGAACTTTCTGATCTAAGAAGTCTTTTATAAAATGATATAATGGCATGTTACACAGCCTCTCAAAAATTCCACTGTATAATCATGAAGGAATGAGAGTGAAAAAGGCAAATAATATGTTTGTATTATCATGAAGATAGTTTTAAACTTGCAGACCCCTCCCCAAAAGGGTCTTGGGGTTCCCAAACCACACCTTGAGAGTGGGTGGACTACAGCATGAACTCTGGAGTAAAAATGCCTTGGTTGGCATCTGATCTTGCTGTGGACTTAACTCTGTGCCTTTGTGTTATCTTCTGAAATGGGCTGATAATTATACCTATATTTCATAGCTGTTATAATTAAATGAAGTATTCATTAAAATGCTTGATAGCATCTGACATGACATAAATATTGGCTATTATTACAAATCTACCACATTCTACAGATGGTCAACAGGCACTTGAAAAGATGCTCAACATTGCTAATTATTAGAGAAATGCAAATCAAAACTACAATGAGGTATCACCTCACACTGGTCAGAATGGCCATCATCAAAAAGTCTACAAATAGTAAATGCTGGCGAGGGTGTGGAGAAAAACCCTCCTACACTGTTGGTGGGAATGTACATTGGTACAGCCACTATGGAGAACAGTATGGAGGTTCCTTAAAAAACTAAAAATAGAACTACCATATGATCCTGCAATCCCACTCCTGGGCATACATCTGGAAAAGATGAAAACTCTAATCTGAAAAGACACATGCATCCCAATGTTCATAGCAGCACTATTTACAATAGCCAAGACATGGAAGCAACCTAAGTGTTCATCGACAGATGAATGGATACAGAAGATGCAGTATATATATACAATGGAATATTACTCAGCCATTAAAAAGGAATGAAATGCCATTTGCAGCAACATGGATGGACATACAGATTATCATACTAAGTGAAGTCAGACAAAGACAAATATGATATGATGTCACTTATATGTGGAATCTAAAAAAATAACACAGATGAACTTATTTACCAAACAGATACAGACTCACAGACATAGAAAACAAATTTATGGTTACTAAAGGGGAAAGCAGGGGTGGGGGTGGAGAGGAGGGGGATAAATTAAATCAGGAGTTTATAATTAACAGATACACACTACTTTATATAAAATAGATAAACAAGGTCCTACTGTATAGCACAGGGAACTATACTAGTATCTTGTAATAACCTATAGTGGAAAAGAATCTGGAAAAGAACATATATATATATTCAGTTACATATAACACTGCTGCACACCAGAAACTAACACAACATTGTAAATCAACTATATACTTTAAAATAAAAACCTACCACATTCTTTTAAAAAGCTGCATATTCTTGCATTTTATGGATATATGTACATTCCCTACTGATGGGCATTTAAAGTATCTCCATTTTTTTGCTACCACACAATTCAGTTAGGCAGGCAGAGACCCAGAGCCTTGTTGAAGAGTTCATAGTAAGTCAGTAACACAGTTGGGACTATAATGCAGGGTCTGGAATGTCGGTCAGGGCCCTTCCCCAAGAGCTGCCCATGAGGATCCTATGGATTCCCCACCCTAGTTTCTGATCCCTCCTTCCATGGCAGATCCTCCCCTGCCTTTCTCTTTCCCTCTCTCCCTTATCAGACATATAATTTGAAAATATTTTTTCCTGTTTTGTGGGTTGATTTTTCACATTCTTGATGGTATCTTTTGAAGTACAAAAGTTTTTAATTTTGATGAAGTCCAATTTGCCTATTTTTTCTTTTATCCCTTGGGCTTTGGGTGTCAACAAGAAATCATTGCCTAATCCATATGTCACAAAGCTTTACATTTGTTTTCTTCTAAGACTTTTATGGTTTTAGCTCTTACATTTAGGTCTTCGAATTAATTTTTGTATTTGTGTGAGGAAGGGGTCCAAGTTCATTTTTTTGCATGTGGATATCCAGTTGTCCCAACAACATTTGTTGAAGACTATTCTTTCCCCCATTAAATTGTCTTGGCACTCTTGTCAAAAACCAATTAACCATAAATATAAGCGTTTATCTCTGGAGTCTCAATTCTATTCCATTGATCTACATGCCTATCCTATGCTGGTGCACACTGTCTTCATTACTGAAGCTTTGTAGTAGGTTTTGAAATTGGGAAGTGTGAGTCTTCCAACTTTGTACTTCTTTTTCAAGACTGTTTTGGCTACTCTGGGTCCTTTGCATTTTCATATGAATTTTAGGATCAGGTTGTCAATTTCTGCAAAAAAGGGTAGCAGGGAATTTGATAGGGATTGTGTTAAATCTGTGGATCAATTTGAGGACTATTACCATATTACCAATATTAAGCCTTCCAATTCATGAATACAGACAATCTTCCCATTTATTTAGGTCTTCTTTAATTTCTTTTAATAAAGTTTGTCGTTTACAATGTAAAATCTTACATTTCTCTCATTAAATTTATTCCTAAGCATTTTATTCTTTTTGATGCTGTTATAAATGAAATTGTTTTCATTTTCAGGTTGTTCATTCTTAGCATATAGAAAAATAATAATTTTTGTATATTGATCTTATACTGAACTTTGCCGAAGTAATTTATTAGTCCTAATAGTTTGTGTGTGTGTGGGTATTGCTTAAAATTTTCTATACTAGATCATATAATTTGTGAATATACTTTTATTTCTTCTTTCCAATTTGAATGGCTTCTACTTCTTTTTTTTTTTTTTACTTCTTTTTTTTGCTTAACTGCCCTGGCTTGAACTCCTAGCACAATGTTGAATAGAAATGGCTAGAATCTTGTTCCTGTCCTGTTCTTGATCTTGGAAAGCATCAAATTACTCACCATTAAGTATGATGTTAGCTGTGGATTTTTTTTTTTTAATTTAAGGAGTTTTTTTTTTTTTTAAATTTTTATTTATTTGGCTGTGCCAGGTCTTAGTTGAGGCATGCAGGATCTTCATTGTGGTATGCGGGATCTTTAGTTGCGGCATGCGGGATCGAGTTCCCTGACCAGGGATTGAACTTGGCTCCCTGCATTGGGAGTGCAGAGTCTTAACCACTGGACTACCAGGGAAGTCCCAGCTGTGGATTTTTTGAACATGACCTTTATCAGGTTGAGGAAGTTCCCCTCTATTCTTGGTGTGTTGAATACTGTTATCATGAAAGAGTGCAGGGTTTTGTCAAAAGCTTTTTCTGTACCTATTGAAACAATCATGTGACTTTTGTCTTTTATTCTATTAATATGGTGTATTACATTATTTGATTTTCATGTGTTAAACAACCTTGGATTCCTACGATAAATCTCACTTGGTCAAGATATATAATCCTTTTTATATGTTTTATATGTTGCAGAAATCTGTATCCATCTTGTGATGACTTTGTCTGTTTTTGGTTACAGGGTAATAATACTGGTCTCATAGAATGACTTGGGAAGAATTCCCTTCTTTGGTGTTTTCTAAAATAGTTAATGAAGGATTAGTTAATTTGTCTTCAGACATTTGGTAGAATTCACCAGTGAAGTCACCTGGGCCTGGGCTTTTCTTTTGGAAAATCGAATTTAACCATTTCATTCAAGTTATCTAATTTGTTGACATATAATTGTTCACAGTATTCTCTTACATAATCATTATTTTGTAAGATTGGTAGTGATATCCCCTATTTCACTCCTGATTTTAGTTATTTGAGTCTTCTCCCTTTTTTTGCTTGGTCAGTCTAGCTAAAAGTCTGTCAATTTTGTTGATAATTTCAAAAAACCAACTTTTGGTTTTGTAGATCTCTATTGTTTTGCTATCCTCTATTTCATTTACTTCCACTCTATATTATTTCCTTCATTCTGCTTGTTTGAACTTAGTTTGTTCTTCTTTTTTTAGAAGATTAGGTTATTGATTTGAGATTTTTTTTTAAATATAAACATTTATAGCTATAAATTTCCTTCTAAGTATTGCCTTAGCTGCATCCTATATGTTTTGGTATGTTGTATTTTCATTTTTTTAATTAATTTTTATTGGAGTGTAGTTGCTTTATAAGTGTTTTCATTTTCATTCATCTCAAAGTATTTTCTAATTTTCCTTGTGATTTCTTCTGTGACCTATTTGTTATTTAGGAAATGTTAATTGTCACATATTTGTGAATTACCCAAATTTTCTTCTGTTGTCAATTTCCAAGAACATACAGTGTTTGATTTTAATCCTTTTAAATTTATTAAGGCTTGTTTTATGGCCTAACGTATGGTCTATCCCGGATAATGTTCCATGTATACTTGAGAAGAATGTGCGTTCCGCTGTTGTTGGGTAGAATGTTGTACAGGTGTCTCTTATGTCAAGCTCGTTTCCCCTGTCTCTCTTACAGTAGAAGCAGGGCAGTTACTTCAGATTATACCCTAACACTCCACTTCCACCTAGCCTTGCCTCAAGGTCAAGAAGCTATTGTGCTTCAATAACAGTAATAAAAATAATAATAGCAGTCAATACTTACATAACACATCATCTGTGCCAGGCACTGTACATAAAATCACTCATTCAATCCCACCACAGGCTCACCTTTGTACTCCAAGCAGCTGCTCCTCAGTATAAGTGGCACTCCCCTCACCCTGTCGGGTCTGATTCCACTCATGCTCAGACTTCTTTTCCTTTTGTGCCTTCCTGCAGTTACAGCAACCACAGGGGTCATGACTTTCAGGAGGTCTGTCTTCTGGGTATTTGTTTCTTCTAACTGCATCAATGTAAGCTGCAAAGCAACGAACCTCCATGAGGCTTCAGTCTGACCTGCAAATCAACTTTGCTACCGGCCTTAGCTATCTGGGAGGCTGCCTGTAGGCAAATGAGTGTGAGGCCCAGGTTACTGACATCATGCTGACTTCTAAACACCCATACAAAGCTGAAGAAACATCTTCCTTGAGAAAACAATACAGAAAATACAGAGGCAACCATGAAAAACTTTTAATGCCAGAAACATGAAGCATAATAATGTCCACCATACCTACAGTCATCAGTCAGCAAATAATCTTCACTCAGAGCCAGTAAAGGGGCTCAAGAGGCATCTGCCCAATACCTTGGCTTTAGGGCAGCACAGGGGAAGCCTATTTCTCTGTGGTCCATGGTCAGAAGTGAATTGATCATAGCACATTATTTTTTGTCACAATGCCTCCCACCACTAAGATTTAAAGTAGAAATGAGTTCAATTTTTTAACTGACAGTTATAAAACTAATATGTACAATACATTTGGCTAGATAGATCAAGGAGATGTATGCATAAGACCTACTCCTGACCACAAGGAGGATATAGTTTAAAGGAGAGGATTTAATTAATCATAATGCCTGCAGAGTACAAAGAGGGCCATAGCAATATAGTCAAAGAGGGCAAAGTGCTCGTGTCCTGTATGGAGGATCTGGGTAAGATTTAAAAAAACCCTTTCTCCTGCTTAACATCTCTTACTGACTACCCACTGCTCGGTGTCCAAATTTCTTATCATGGGCCCAGCCTGTCTCTCCAGCCTCAAATCTCAACACAAGTTCCTTTGTATTCTATGCTCTAGCCACACCAAGCTCCCTTCAGACCATCAATGCTTTCTCTTTTCTCTGTGCCTTTGCACATGCTGTTCCCTCTGCCTGCAAAACTATTCTCTAAGTAGGTCTGGCTAACTCCAACGCATCCTTCATGTCATCATGTGTAACACTTTCTTCATGAGGCCTCTGACACCCAGGCCACGCTGAGTGCCTAGTCAGTATGCCCCTCAAACCTACGACCTTGCTGTGTAGCCCAGGACATTCTGGCCCTGTTTTGTAACTGACTGTTTACCTGTCAAACTTCCTCAGTAGACTTAGAGTTCTGTGGGCTCCGGGGCCCATGTCTGTCAAATCCCGCTGCAGGATCAGCATAATGCAGAGTACATAATAGGCACTGCCTCAGTACTCTTTGCCTGACTGTAGGATGGAAAAAGCTGGCCCATCCGTCCTGATGCTGGCTGCAGGGACAAGACCAAACCCAGGCCGAGGGTCAGGCAGCCCAGTTTGGAGGCGAGGATAAGGACCGGGTAAGCAAGCTGCGGGAAACCGCGTCACCCCGCTGACCCCGGCGCAGGCGGGCCTGACAGCTGCAGGCCCTGGGCGGGGCACGGGCCGGGGCGGGGCTGGGGGCCGGAGGCAACAAGTCGTCACGGGTGACTCTGGGTACCCGGCCGGGTCCTCAGCTTGAGCCAGCGCTCCTGGTTTCCGGATCCCGGCCCCCTGCCCTGGGAGGTCTCCCTCCTCACCAGGAACCCTATTCAGGCCCAGCATCTTCTCATAGACCTCCATCCTTCATCTCAGGCCCAGGATCTCAGCCCCTTCAGGCGCCGTCAGGAGCCCCATCCCTGATTTCTCCCTGACCCTGCCCTGTCCCACGCTCCGGCCAGGACCTGATACCTTCCGTCCAGCGCTCCCCGCTGCCCAGCGTCGCTGCCATACCGCTTCCCAGTCAGCAGGTCTGCCGAGCCTCCCCCGCGCCCGAGGCTGAAAGGGAAGGGGGCGCCAAAAAGCGCGGGGCATGCTGGTCATTGTAGTCCGATCCATAGTAGCTGAGGGTCATTGGACTACAATTCCCAGCAGGGATCGCGCCAGGGGTCGCAGATGCAGTGATGTGAAGGGGCGCGACCCTTGCTGCCAGTTGACTGCTTTATGGCTAGCGGCTCACAGTCTGCAACTGTGGCCACAGCGGGCCGCGCTTTTCCTCATTTGTAGAGTGGGGATAGTGGCTTTGGCCCCGCCTAACACTTCGGACGTTCAGGGAGACGCAATGAGATCCATCCTGGGAAAGGCATTGCAAACTATGGGCTAGAGGGTGGCATTATGACTATTTTTATCCTCAGGGATGTCCTTTTTAAATATAGCTGATGCCTGTTCTGTGCAAAGTGTATGTTCGGTCCTGGACAGGTTCTGGTGATGTCGAACCTAACCCTAGGGAGAACCAAGAAAATAAGCAAGTGAGAGATATATGTGGTTAGAGGGCGTCTCCTCTGGCATAGCTTCATTAGAGGGACCGATAGGAGTCAGGGGTAGAGAAAGAAGAAGAAGGCAGGTATTGGAGCTGGCATTAGATCCCCTATCTTTGCTGCTCCTTATCCTTCATTCATCCCATCCTACTCCAGGGCCCCTCCGAGACTTTTCTCCTCTCCTCCACCCTATTCGTTTCCTTGGCCCATTCCCTTCTTTTCTGAAGGACCAGGCCCTAGGAGATTAGTAAAAAGGAAATGAAGAAATATTCCTGCTTTTCCCCACCCAGGTTTGTATGGGGCCTAGCAAAGAATAAAAGGAATTCTTCATAGGTGGATAGGTCCGGTGTCACTGACTCATCCCTGCAGGTGAACTGGGATGGCCAAAAATCAGGTCTGCAAAAGCGAGAAATGATCATGCACATCCCCAAATAAAAAATTACCTGGAATTCATTGAGATCTTACTCAGGAAGACCAAATCAGTTATGTCAATTATGATATCAACCAAGAGTTACTTAGGTAGTTGGAGTGGAGTGGGGAGATGTACAGCCCTAGACACAAACTGAAAGGGTGAATGCCTTCAGTGGCATGCAGTTCCATCCCTTCCCTGCAGTCATGGCCCTGGGATATATGAGCATCACTGTGTTCCCAGAAGGCTGGGTCCTGAAGAAGCCACTTGTGCTCTTCAGACAAGGGGTCTGATCAGGGACATCCTTTAGGTGGTTGAATAAAAGAAGGAAGTGTATTTGGTTTAGGGAGGCTAGACAGACTGATCTAGTAGATGTACAGGGGAAGGTGGAATATGTCTTGAAGTCCAGGGGTATAGGGCTAAGGTCTGGAGGTACTCGAAGATGTCAGAGTACCATGAAGTCAGAGGTATCTGGTTGAGAGTGGGGGTACTAGAGCATTGTAGGGGAAATTGGATTGAGAAGGGGTGCTACAAATTATGGGGCTACTCAGGAGTAGAGTCCAGGTTCAAGAATGCTGGACAAGATTTGGGAAGCTGGGGCCTCTTGAAAATGTCTGGTACCTCAACAACCTTTCCCATCATCCTCTGAAACCTCACTTCCTCCTCTTCTAGATGGCTCATTTACTCCTAGATCAGTAAACAATGGTTTAGCTTGCAACCTTCTCAGGTGTTGCCATGCACAAATATCCTAGAGCTCATTTACCCCTCAGTTAACACCTCTGGATGAATTTTTCTATGACTATATCACCAGGACTAACTTAGAACTCCAAACCTCAACACTTAGAACACTTTTGTGCCAGTTTTTGCTTAAGCATGCCAACCACGCAACAAAAATAATTCCCACTGTCAAATTCAATCTCTGTGTTTGGTAAAAGAGGAAGCTGTGGGCTCAACAGCCTCCAGATAGAGGTGCCAGGGGAAAGCAATCAGCAGGAAGAGGGAGAGCACCTGGGAAGGAAATAAAGGACAAGAACTTGGCAGTTCTCAAAGAGAGGAAGGTAGGTGCAGAAAGAAGTTCAAAGAGGTAAGAAAGGACATCCACAGACCCAGGGGAAACTGCTGAGCAGAGGCACACAATGTTTTCCAGCAGATTCAAATAGAATTGAGTAGTACTAGCCTGGCTTTGGGAAACTGTGTTCTAGACCTAGGCTGGGGACCCTGCAGTGACTCTTTACCTGCTAAACCATTTTACCTAGAGCCAGCCTCGAATTTCTATCAGTTTTCTCTTCTTACTTTTAGAAAAACTTGTTGAACTGTAGTGAATTTTTTCTGGTGATACTGAGGTTTGCCATGTGCCCTATATGATTGAGTTGCTGCCCCATCCAGCCCTGGAAGAAAGATACTGAGTAAATGATCCCTCTATTCAACTGGGCCTGTGCTCCTGAGCTGGCTTGTTGGTTGCACCCCCCCGCATAGGATGAGGGGAGAAGCAAGGGAAGAACACACAGCAACCAGCCCACGCCTGCTACCCGTTCCTGCTTTGGGGCCCTTTAGTTCTGTGTTAGAATAGGGAGGAAGCTGTCTTCTAAATGGCCACCATCCTGTTGTCTAGACATAAAGGAAGAGATGTGGTCTCAGGGAAGCTGCAGGGAAAGGCTATATATACTTGGATTTCCTGTCAGAGGTGGGATCTTGTATTTACATAAGTAGTAGGATCCTCCAGCCGAACCCCGTCTAATATAATTTACTAGAGAGCGGAATTCAGCATTAAGTGAATTCATCCTCAACCCCTTCCCAGAGGGTAGTTACTTGGCAACGGGAAAATCAACATGGCTAATGTGGTATTGCAATGTCAGTTTCAGGGTAAAAGCCTTTCAATCTCATATTAATACAAGTTCACCCCATCTCTCCCATATATAAATACCTTAGGACTAACAGCTCATATTTGCAGGACACTGTCCAGAGTCAGGGGGAAGTTTGTAGCCTTATACTGAAGATGTAAACTTACTTAGAATGAAGTCCATGTCCTTGACCTAATTAGTCCAGCATGATAAGCAGCTGAACTAAGTACCCAGGGCAGTCAGAATGACAATAACAATTCAAACAGAATCCAGAACTTCTAGACATTGTTAGGTCACCTGCAGAGTTCTGTCCCAGTGATGGATTTTTGTGCTGGAACTAGCTTGGAAGTCATATGTTTTTTGCATTGTGGCTTAAATAAAATATATCTGAATTATTTTTTAAAATGCTATAGTCTTGCTGTCATAGGTTGGGTACTCCAGGAAATAGAGTCTCTGAGATTTGCATGCTGAAGGTTTATTGGTGAGTGCTCCTGGAACTACAGTTGTGAGGGATAAGGGAAGCAGGATTAAGCAGAGGGAGAAATTGAGGCAAGGGGTCCAGGTCTTCATCCCTACCTCCCCGCCCCATCAACTGGTCATCAGTCAGCTATGAGCCCTCAGCAGCCAACACTCCCAGCAATTCAAGATCAAGGGTCTTGATCCTGAAGTGGAACCTGGGTGGTGGTACTCCATGTTGTCTGCTGCAATTGCCAGCTAGTACTTTAACTTCCCAAGTGTCTCCACGTTTACTATTCCATTTTACCTACCAAGTAGCCTGTGAGAGAGACAGGGCCAGGTTGGGATCATTGTTCCACATTAATACACATGAACGTGCAGGAAAATCTAAGTCCAGAGAATCTAAGTCCCAGAGTCACCCAACACTTGTCTCTGGCTCCCACCCAGAGTGATCTCTACTTAAAAGATTGTGTTCATTTTTTCTTACATCTAGAGTTTATAGAACTGTAAAATATAAGAACCCCAAAAGATAGTGAAGGCCAGGTACCTCATTTTAAAAGTAAGAAAATAGGCTCAGAGATTGGGATGACTTCGCCAAAATCAAGCTACAAGTCTGTGGCAGAGCCCAGCCTTTTGACTAGATTTCCTGCACTCAAGATCCAGTTGTCATGACCTCTGATGTGCTGAGCACAGTGTACCACATAGGAGTTACAGACATGAGCAGGTTATAAAATCCTCTGCCCTAGACGATTTTAGAATCAAGTAGGTTTCTTCAGGCCACTTTAATAGTTTCACTGAGACAAGTAGAGTGAAACTTTCTGTTCTAAGCATTCTCTCTCCTTGCAGAGTCTAAATCCAGAAAAAATAGCATATGGTTCCTTCAGAATGGGTAATCTATGTTCTAAACCGCCATCAACCAGATGCCTGTAGCACTCCATGCAGACATACCCAGACGACTCTTCCATTGACTCTCCCCAACCAAGATTAATTTCCAAACCAGTGTCATGGTAGAGATGACTAAGGTAACTGCATTCTTATTCTCTTGAAACAAGTTTACAGTGTTTGTGAGACATCATTCTGTGTCTTGGACACAAAAATCATTGTTGTGTGGGGCAAAGGGAGTGGATTTGGGTTTACGAAGTCACAGATCTATCCTCGCTCCAAACCTTCCCAGTGCTATTCCCACAGCTAGGTAGGACCAAAATGAGGCAAATCTACCTGGGGCAGGCAGAGGACATTTGCCCTTATATTATTCAGCTCTCGTCACCGGAGTTTTCTTTTCTTTTTTGCTGCGGTACACGGGCCTCTCATTGTTGTGGCCTCTCACATTGCGGAGCACAGGCTCTGTGCAGGCCCAGCAGCCACGGCTCACAGGCCTAGCCACTCCGCGGCATGTGGGATCTTCCCGGACTGGGGCACGAATCCGTGTCCCCTGAATTGGCAGGCGGACTCTCAACCACTGCGCCACCAGGGAAACCCATTGTCACCGGAGTTTTCTAATCAGAATGCGTTGTGCGTCCCATGTTCTCACTCTCCAGACTTAAAACTTCTTTACTGGTGACAGTGATCACTGTTTACAGCTCCTTTTCTCTCCCTTCTATTGGAGTGGTTAGTCCTCGTCACTACTTAATAAACCAGGTGAAACAAGGCAGACCTGACAAAAAGTTCTCTCCACCTCCCAGGTTTCTCAGAGAGCTCCCCACGGGGGTAGAAACTTGCACACATGCCTTACCTACAAAAGGAGGCCCCAGAGCTGCTAGAACACTCTGTTAAGAAATACCCATGGGAACATAGACCTTAAAAGAAATTAGACTGCAGGCTAGAAAATAATTTTAATGCAAAATAGAAAGGACCAATCCACTGTCATTTTCCTTGCTCTGGCCCTATAGACTCCTCCTCCCTGTGACTTTGAGATGGTGGGAGGAGCATGCTGTGCTTCTAGGGTGACAGTCCCTGTGGGAAAGAGTCTCTCATGCTGGCAGCTTGCTCCCAGATCTGGAGGAATGCTAATGTCCTTTAGATCTGGGAGTAGATGTGAAACAATAAAATAACTTATATCTAGTTTATTGCCTCTACCCATCCCATCGCCTTCCTTCTTACAGTCACAGGGAAGCTGCATCATCGTCAGATCCACAGGGACCCAAGGTTGCTTTTAAAGAACCTGCAAAATAAATACATAATGAGGATGGATGAAGTTAACCGGGAGTGGTGGGGTAGGGAAGAGGAGAGAAGAGCCTGGATCTTTGAAAGTATCTCCTTTCTGGTTAAGGAAGTGGAGCCTGAAAGGAGGAGGAGGAGGGAGAAGGGAGGAAGGAACCAGGAAAAATGCACCTTCTCTGCTGAGGGGCATCCTTTGCTGTTATTCATGTTGATGTTCTTCATGGAGATGAGGGTGATGCTGTCTTTCTCTCCATTGGCTGTGGAGCAGCTGGGGAAGGAAGGGAACATGGGCTATAGACAGAAGGAGCCATAGGGCAATGGGGGTCAAGGAACTGGGGGGTTGTGAAACCTTTATTTTGGTGGTGGACTATAATGAAATGAGTGTGTGCTTTGAAGCCCCAAAGACTTGTGTTTAAATCTTAGTTTTGTGGGCTTCCCTGGTGGTGCAGTGGTTGAGAGTCCACCTGCCGATGCAAGGGACACGGGTTCGTGCCCCGGTCCGGGAGGATCCCGCATGCCGTGGAGCGGCTAGGCCCGTGAGCCATGGCCACTGAGCCTGCACGTCCGGAACCTGTGCTCTGCGGCGGGAGAGGCCACAGCGGTGAGAGGCCCGTGTACCGCAAAAAAAAAAAAAAAATCTTAGTTTTGCAAACTACCTACTACTTGTGTGACCTTGACCAAGTTACAACCTCTCCTAAGTCTTAATTTTTTAAATGTGTAAAATGCAGTAATATCTGCCTTGAAGAACTCCTCTAAGAATTTGAGATATTACAAAAATTTCTACCATAGTGCTTGGCACATATAAGGCGTTCAACAAGTGGTTCCTTAAATAAGTACCTTCTTGTTTAAGGAGTATATCAGAATCCGAATTCCTGCACTTTTCACGAAGGGGTTATAGAGACTTAGCCTTGGGGCTGAAGCGTTCCAGTCCATCACCTGCCCGAGCCCTGGTCTCGGTGAGGCTGTCAGGATTCTGTGTGTGGGTGTGGGTGTGTGTGTGTGTGTGTGTGTGTGTGAAGGCAGGAAGTGTTGGTCCCTCTTGGAATGGGGGAGTAAGAGGTCAGTAGATGATTCTTCCCTTATACCTCTGACAGTCTTACCTTTCAGAGAGCCCCGAACTCCCAGGTTTCTGGGGATCTGTAAAAATCCAAAGGCACAGATTGGAGGTCACAGGCTGTAACTCAGAAGCCGAAGCTGCCCCTCAAAGCCCACCCAGTGGACCCTCCCATTTCCCCTAGTGGTGCCATTCCTTCCCTCAACTCCAGGTTGGGTGTCAGTTCCAGAATCTAGCTCTGGGTCCCTCATCAAAGAGAGGCAAAGGGGGCCCTGAGGGTCAGGGCATGTACCTTCAGACTCCTTGTTCTTCCGACACTTAAACCTTAGACTGACCACACTGACCAGGACGATCACCACAACCACCAGGATGGCAATGAAGCTGATAACACCTGAATAGGGAAGAGGATGGGGTGAAGGAGAAGCAGAGGACAGGGCAGAAGAGGGCAGCAGGAGTCCAAATTCCCTTCCTAGCTAAGTGCTGTGTAGACAGGCTCTGGGAGGAAAGTTAATTCCCCTTCTCCGTTGAATGAATGAGCTCTCAGCCACCTTTTTCTGGCTCCACAGCCCTGCCCCACCCTCCCTTAAGAACATGGAGCCCATCGGAGTCCAGAAGAGCGGAGGGGAGGGCCAGCGGAGGCTCCTTCCCACCAGCATCTTCCTCATCAGCCAAACCCTCCTAAACCAAATGGACAAGATTTGAACTTGAGTGCTAGAGTCCACGTCAGCTCAGGCGTGAGGTCTCCTGCCACCCCCCACCTTCTCCTCCCTCTCACCGAATGCAGCCACAGTGAGCACCGTCTCTGACGTGGGGCTGGGCAGGATGGTCGAGTCTTCTCTCGTCCTCAAATTCATGGTGGGTAATTTGGACGTAACATTGTGAGAGGTGTCTAAAAGGGAGTAGGGATGGGGGTATCAGCGAAGGGACTGATGCGGTCTATATGAGAAAGCTGGTCCCCTCCCACTTCCCCCATTTAGAGGACTGCAGAGAGAACTCATGCCCTACCAAAAAGACTTCCTCCCACCCTTCAGAACTGGGTGATGTGGGATCACGTGAAGAGCATTGCTGGTTGCTCGTGTTCCTAGTTCCAGAGGACTTCAGAAAATTCAGGATGCTTCTCTCATTATGCTCTTCCCACCACACCCGTGGGGTCCAGAGGAAAGGGATTTATACTGCAGAGATAGGGAGCCAGACCGGGCAAGGGGGAGCCATCTGTGTTTTGCCAAAGGTTGAGGCGGAAGGAAGGAAGGGCATCAGATGTTTGTCCCCAGGCACTGACCTAACAAGCCAGGCTGCCAGTTAATGGGCACAAGTTTCTGGTGCTCTTAAAAAACGGTATGGTCGCCCATCTCTGCCCCGCTTCAACACATTTACTGCAGGCCTGATTGCTATTCCGCTTCCTTATCCTCACCCAACTCCTAAATAAGTCTGGAAGTGTAGAAAAGCCCCAGAGCCGAGGGCTGGGATGAGAGAAAGGGTCAGGGTGCTCTTCACTGTGAGCACAGACAGGACGTACCTCTGCTTGTACTGTCACTGCTCTTGCCGCTGCTTGGGACACCTGTGCCTGCACCATGAAACAGGAGGGCCCAGATGGAGGGTGTCCACCCCCTCCTAGTTTTCTCCCATGCTGCTGGGTGAAGGCCAACCTGCCCTGAGAAGCGTGTAGCCCTTTCCCGCCTTTTCTGCTTCCCTTTCCAACATTTTGGGTTCTCCTACCCTCGGCTTACCCGTTCTATGTCTTTATCAGTCCTGAGTCCAGGCTCCTTTAACCTTCACTGAGACCAGTTCCTGTCTCCACTTCCCCCCAACCCCAAGCCTCTCTACTTCTCTCCCAGAGCAGGGTACCACTGGTGTGGATCCTGGCCTTGAGAACCCTCACTGTGGGGCAGGACCTGGGCTTCCCGAGGCGGGAAGAAGGAACCCAGTCTGACATGACCCAGGGTTTTTCACCCCCAGTCCCAGGTACTCATGGAGTCCTAACGTGTGCTTCTGTGGCTGGGACCAAGTCAGTCCCAGCAAGGACAGGGGTGACTGGCCATGGTGCTTGAACTCAGAGTCATGGGTTTACTGGCTTCCATGGAGACCTGTGAGGGCTTCTCTGGAGCTGCTTCAGATTAGGAAGCATGCGTGGCTTGCTTAGGGCCTCAACCAGCATGTGCGCAGGGAAGCTCTTTAGCCCCAAATCTGCCTTCCGTTCCTCTGGGCTTTTACCTTTGCAGTTCCCTCTCCCTGGGATATGCCCTACCACCCTCCACCCCACAGTCTTCATCTGATTAACTCCTTTTTGGGCCTCAGCTTCAGAGATCACTCACTCTGGGATGTCTGGCCCCCAAGTCTGAAGTGGCTAATGTTGCCCGGGTTCCCATAGCACCTTCGGCTTACGCTCATCATGGCCCTTCTCACCCTGCTTTGTAACTGTCAATATGAGGTCCTATTTGCTTGTCTGGTCCTCCACTTATCTGTATTGTCCTTTAGAGCAGAAACTGTGTCTGCCTCCTCGCTGGACCCTCCCTGGATGGCATCTGTAATCTGAGTGGCAGAGTACCTGGGATGCTGGTGCTGGACAGAGGGCTGGAGTAGTTGGGCTCTGCGGAAGGACCGTCTCCTGCAAGTACAAGTGGAGGGCAGCTGGAGGTGGGGCAGGTTTGGTGACACCACACTCACTAGCCCACCCAAGAACCCTTGGGCTCCAAGCAGATCTAAAGGGCTGGGCAAGGGACAGGGCTTGGCCCCTAGGCAACCACACTCACTCACCTGTCTGGGGGGAAGTTGGCTCTGTGGTTGGACTATGACTGCTGAAGTTTCCTGAAACAGATCATCTGAGACTGAGGGTCCGCTGCCTCCTATTGCTCCATCTGCCTCTCTCCTTTGCTAAGCTGGTGTTTTCTAGTCTTTCTTCCTCCCCCACCCCACACCCCAACCTGTCATCTCTCTCCTCTCTCAAGGCATGTGAAAGATTAGTGCCAAACAGGCACTCTTTCCTGGAGCTCTTTCCACTTTTCCTCAGCTCCCAGGCCAGAATGCTGGAGTAGGCCCTGTGTCTTTGGTCTTACCCTGAGGGCTAGTTGTCGCAGGCTGGGAGTTGTGGCCTGCAAGAGAAAGCAGAACACGTAGACTAGCTTGGTGAGCCTCCCCGGAGAAGAACCCAGGCCTTTTGGCTTCCAGCCTCCCACGCAAGAAGGCAGACACCCTTGGCAGTAGGCTAGAGGATGTGACTCCAGCTCACGGCGCTGGCTTCCTCTGAGACTGTGACTCAATCACACCATCACCACCACCTCATCGTTCATTGTCCTGGAGTCCTTTCCTGTCTCTTCAGTCCCACATGGGTTATATACCAACCTGACACAACGGCAGGGGAAGGTTATTCCAAAGTAGTGATACGTCCAAGGACAGAGGGCCAGTGACCTGCCACGTCTAGACAAAGACCCAGAACTCCAGCTCTCTAGCTAATGTCCTCACTACACTACCATGGAGCCACCCCTTTTCTGTGAATACTGTCATCCTGGTCTTGCCCCAAGGGAAGGGGATGGAAAGATGTGGTGAATAAGATGAGGTGAGGGATTGGGGCTGGTACCTGGGCTGTCTCTCTGCCCCTCCAGCTGGAGGTAAGGGCCTACACAGGAAGCAAGTTCTGAGGTACATACAGGAGGCAAGGAAATTCTAGAACGAGCCACCAGTTTACTCTAACAGGTAGAGGCTACTTCAGAAATGGTCACTGTTAGCCAAACCCAGGGAAGAGGCAATTATCAGGAGGCCCCAGTCACAAGGCCTCGTTCTCCTTTGTGTGTGTGCATGAGTGTGCCTGCGGACCTCCAGGCAGATGTGCATGTGTGCTGTGTGTCCATATACGTGTCCCCTGTGTGTGTGGGATCTGAAAGGTCAGGTTGTGTTTGCTCATTTTCCACAATGAAATCATTCTTGAAACCTGTGAACAATGTGAAAGGAAAACAACGTGGGGAAGTGGAGCCGCCCAGCTGGGTTCCCATCCTCCACTAGTTGGGCTGGGGGCCCAGGCCCCGGTGAACAGAGGCTGCTGAGGACCAGGGACCTGCCCAGCCTGGGGCAGCCCACTAGTTTATTTTCTTCAGCCACTGCCTTCCTCCATGGTGCTATCACTTGGATAGTGTGGAATTAATTGCTTCCAAGCCCAAGCTTGCCCAAAGCCAGGGCTGTGTTTTTCCAGGTCACCATCTCTCATAGCCCCATTCCCTCCTTGGGCGGGGCCGTCAAGAGGGGAGTTAAAACCTCTAGGTGCCCCAGCGTAGAGAGAACTCTTCCCAGCTGGGGAATCACCCTGGGTGAACATTTTTCAATCTGAGGCATGTCTTAAAAAAAAAAAATCTATCAGTTATTGATCAAGTATATCTAAGGTACCATCTTTGTTCTATAAGGTGATAACTAGTTTTTGGTGGGAAGGCACAGTTCACTGCCTTCCTGCGTTTATCTAGAAGCAAAACTAGTGTCTTAGAAGGAGTTCCAAAGTCACAAGCTCTGAGTCCCAGTGGCCTGCTCTCTCTTTGTCTCCTGTCTCCCCTCCCCCTACCGGAACACTTTGTCAACAGTGGATTCCTCTGTGAGTAGAGGAGGGACTTGGGGAGCATCTGTTTCTATAGGCCGGTCTGCCTCTGACCACTAGGCACAGGGATATCTTACTTTCCCGTCTCCCCTCCCTAATCCCTACCTGCTTCACTCCCTGCCAGCCTCTCTCTTCGCCACCACAACACTGTTTCCCTCAGCAGCGTAGCTTAGTAGTTAAACTCATAGATTTAGGAGTCTGGCGGTCTTGAGTTCAAGCCCTGACTCTGTCGCTTACTGTCTGACCTGGGCCTCAGTTTTCTCTTCTTTAAAATGCAAGTGATTTTAGTGCCCAAAAGTCATTGTGAGGATAAGAAAAGGCACATAAAGCACTTAACACAGGGCCTGACAGTTCATGCTCAAGAAATTCTAAACATTTAAAATTTTGCCCCCTTCTCTCCAATCCTCCAAGTTTCAAGTCTACCCTGAATCTGTGTCTCCACAGTCACGTCTCTTTGTGGGCCTGAATATCCTCAAAAAGATTCCCCAGTCCACCAAGAGAAGGAAACAACGAGGACTGTGAGATCCTGGGATGAGCGGCTAGGATACTCAAGGGTGATTGTAGCTCAGGTAGAATCACTCAGGACATTCCTAACCCTGGGGCTTGGCTGGGACAGGATGGCAGGTAGGGAAGCTGGGACAAGCCTAGGTTTGTGAAAATGTCCCCTTGTGGGTCTCACCTTTTAATCTGCTCCTCTGCCATTTCTGAGGTTTCTACGATAGCCTAGTCCCCCAGCCCCAGATCAGATGTGTGACTCTATCCTCCCGGGAGGGGGTGGGGGAATAGGAATGGGACAATCAGAGTTTTATCCCCAGTCCTTGGGCTTTTAGAAAAATGTCTGACCTCTCCAGGAGACAGAGCGTTGGGGAACTTGGGCCCTCTCACCCACCGCCAAGAAACCGCCATCCTCCCTCCCCATCCAAATACTCTTGAACCCCCTTCTGCCGCTTTGAGCACATGCTCATAAATCCTCCACAGAGGACCTGTGGAGGGTGAGGTGGGGGTGGGGAAGGGATGACCGAAGGGAAGTTTCTGCCCTGTGAGTCAGAATCTCCTGGATTTCTCATGTTTCCCAGAAACCGCTCCCTAATTAGAGGACCCCTTATGAGCTGCTTCACAACTCATCAGCTAGCAGAGCTCTATCTGAGAGGTGTTGTTCCCAAGTCATTTCCTCTGGGGGTCATTTCATCTGGCCTCCTAGATGAAATGTGTACATCTTCTTTGGCAAATGGTTCTTTGTATCTAACCTGAGTCCCTCTTGCTGTGATTTGAGCATAAAGTCAATATTTTGAAATCCCAGGTTGTTACTCCTCATATGAAAGAAGAAAAAAGATCACCTGTAAAGCCAAGGTACAGACAGTTTTGTGCTAGGACACCCTGGAAGGAGCTTTCCAGCCTCAGCCTCACACCAAGACAGTCACCTCGCACATTTCAGGGGGCCAGCCTCTCCGGGGGCCCCAGTTCACCCTGGAAAATGTCCCACAAAAGAGTCTAACCATACCTCTATTTTACCGCTGCCTGGGAATGACCAGCTCCCAAGCCAAGTGGTCCCCTTCACAAAAAGGCTCTGGAATTTCCCTCCGGGTGAGCGAAGCCCTGGATGCAGAGCCTGTGTGGTGTGTGTCCTGAAGGAGAGACAGGCGCCCAGGACTGCCGGCCGCAGGAGAGGAGCTGCTGAAGGACAGTGGCAGGTGCCTCTTACCTTGGAGCAGGAGGAAGCCCAGGATGGCCCAGCACAGCTGCGTTTCTCCGACGCTCCCCATGTCAGCTGGGTCGGCGGCAGGCAGGCAGCCTCTGTGCGGAGGTTCTGTCCATAGTGGAAAAGAGAGAGGGAGTGCTGGGGCGGGATGGGGGTGGGGGCTGACTCTCCAGAGCTTCCTGTCAAAGAATAGAAGGAAACAGATTGGGACTGGCTCCAGGGGCCCTGCTCAGCCCGGCAGCCCAGTTGAGGATGTAAGGCTGAAACAGCCGCTCCTGCGCCCGGGCTCCTCGTGGCCTGGGCTAGGGCCACTGTGGTCTCCTCCAGGACCTGTGCCCAAAAGCCAGCGATGGCAACCTGGCCCCGTGCCCCCTCTCTTCCCCTCCGTGGGGATCCATCGGTCCCTCCGTACACCACCTGGAGGTTTTCTTGGAGTGTAACTCTGTTTCATTGAGCCCTATATCTCGGCCCACCGGCCGCCCACCCTCTGTAGACTGAATCCTCTACATGCCTCTCCCTCCTCAGGGCTCCGGATGCAGATGGGACTCCTTACATCTTTCAGGGAGACCTTACAAACATCATTGTTATTCTGAATAGAAAAACAAGAGGACCACGTTCTAAGCATCCCTCCCTCAGCCCTCCCCTCACGTTGGGGTCAGGTGTTCCCTGTGCTCCAGCAGCACCCTGTCCTTAGCATCCAGCCAGCCAGTTGCACTCACTCTGCAGGTCAAGTCGGCAGCCCAATGACCAGCAGCTTAAGCGAGCTTGGAGGTCTGAGTGGGGTCCCTAAACGTTAGGGTGTGTAGCAGCTGGGCTGAGAGACAAGGAATCAGGAGGCTACATCTTACTTCCTGGGATCAAATCACTGGGTGAGGGGAGTTCCTGGGGGGCCTCCTGGTCTCCAGACTGGAATAGAGGGTGGTGCATGCACAGCAAGGGACAGATTGAGGGATGGCTGGTCCCATGGAGTTAGTTGGGAACCCAAAATTATCCTTTATAAACTGTCTCCGGGGAGAGGAGAGACTGGTGGGCACTTTTTGTGTCTTGGATGCATTAAAGCACACACATTCACAAATGAAGTTATAGACAAGTGCAAAGAGACATACGAGAATTTATATTTGTGAAAGTCAAAGAACCCAAAGAGAAAAGAATGCCTTGCATGGGAATGATAAATATTAAATTCAACAAGATGTTTATCCCTACAGTGAGAAGGAGGGGAGAGGTCAGGGAGCGGGGCTTCTATTTTATTTGTAATGTTTTATTCCTTAAAATGTTTTGAAATCAGTGTGACAGACTATTGAGATGAACAGAACTAGTGGTTGGGCCAGAGAGATTTAGTATATTATAGTCTGCACTTTCCAGTGTGTTTGAGAAATCGCGTTTTTAAAAAACATCAAAGATAATGACTTCAAGAAATCAGTTGGGATAGAGAGCAGGCAAGTCCTGGTGGGGGGCGGGGCGGGATTAAGGCGCTGGCCAAGTGCCTGGGATCTTGTGGAGGAGGTACAGGCAGGCAGACCTAGGCTCCTGAAGCTGGCAGAGGGCATGAAAGGAGGTGCCAAGGAGTAAGATCAAAGCACTGTCAGAGTTGAGGGCTGGGCTCAGGGTAGTCCAGATGTTCGAGGAAGTAAAAGCGCAGGAGAGAGCGTTGAGGCTGCGCGTGCAGAGGGTGTGTGCCCCGTAAGCCCCATAGACGTGGCAGCTCCGGGTAGGGACCGAGCTGGGGAGGCAGGCTCTCCTTTGCCCGGCTGGCCGCCAGTCCCGAGGGAGCCTTGCGCAGCTGGACAATGCATCAGGTAGATTCTCATCTCACCCCCTCCTGCCAGGCTGGTGAGACTCTCCCCAGGGGCCCCAAGCCTTTCACCAGCCTGTGCTTCCCTTTTTCCCCTGTACATCCGGAGCTGCTTCCCCACCGCCTGGCCTGTGGCCTGGGCCCCAGAGAGCTCTGACTTTCAAGCAGGGTGGGGACGTAGGTATTGAGCTTTCCAGATGCCGAGGGACAGGTACTGGGGAGGGATGGGGTGGACAGTGTGACTCAGGAACTAAAGGGAGTGGGTTTGTTCTGGCCAGCCCTTCCTGGACCCCAGGTGCCTACCCATGGGGATGGCCAGGCTGAGGGTTCAGGGTTAGGGGAGGGGCTGCTCCTCAAGGGTCTGCTCCTCAAGGTCCAGCTGGGGAAGAGAAGACTAAGGAGATAGTTTCTTGAGCCTGTGATAACTTCGTCAGCTCTGGGGCTTACAATATGGCGGTTTGCTACCTTGATGGTAATCCCCCCAACCCCCTCTCAATACTTAGCAGGATAGAGACAGACAGAGGTAGGGATAGTGACCCCCAGCTTTTGGTAGAAGACCCTGAAAGAGAACAGAGGTTGGCGTGGGGTCTCCTCAGTCCATCTTGGACAAAGCCAGGAATCCACACTGGGCATTCCCTCCCCTCCAGGCCCCTGAACCTGATTCTGAGCAGGGTGTTTTGGGGTATAGCTCTTGCCTCACTCCAAGCCTCTGGGGTTCATGCCTCCTCTTCCTCTCTCCCTCTCCCCGGGGTACACCCCTCTTCCTACTGTGTATGGGGAGAGTAGTGGGAACGTAAGATGCTGGACAAAATGACTCCTTTTTCCTGGGACTTTAAGGAATAGCTGTTCACTGCCCCCTGGCCAGGACATGGGACAGCAGCCCATAGTGTGCTAAGATTCCTGACCCAGGACATAGGATCTATTTAGGAGTTTTCCTGAGGACCTGGGAAGAGAGCAGTGGGAGGGGACTTGGCAGGGGATTTGGGGGGGGGGGAGGCAAACTTTATATGCCAGCCTGTAATAAAGCCCCTCTCTTTGTCCCTTTCCGAATGACCTTGTTGCCTTATCTCTGTTTTTTTTCCCCCTCTGTCTCTGTCTCTCTGCATCTATCTTCACTTCCGTCTCTTTATCTCTCTCTTTTTCTTTCTGTCTCTCTCTTTGTATCTTTCTCATTCTCTCTGTATCCCCCTCTGTCTTTTTCTTTCATTCTCTCTATTGTTATGTGTGTTTATCTCTGTGATTCTGTGTCTCTTCTCTCTCTGTCTTTACTGTCTCTCTGTCTTTCTTTGTCTCTCTCTCTCTCAGTTCCCTTTGGGTGTCTATCTCTTTCTATTTTGGTCTTTTTCTGTGTGTACGTGCCCATGTCACCCTCTCCGTCTCCTGCTTCCCTCCCAGGCTGGCCACCATCCCTGGCTTTCTGCAGCTGTGAATGGCTCAGCGGGGCAGGTGCCCCAGAGGCAGCTTCCGGAGGTGCTGGGCGGGGCCTGGGAACCACCTCAAGGGGTCGGGCTGCCCCTGCTAACTGTCATTGTCACTGCCTTTGTCTTGCTGGCAGTCTGTATCGTGGTGGCAGTCCACTGTGGGCCAAGGCTACACAAGGGCCATGCCACTCTCGCCACAGAGCCACCATCCCCAAAGCCAGAGGATGGCATCTCTCTCACCCACTGGCGAGTGCTGGGCCGTCAGGACAGTCACGAAGATGCCCAGCAGGAACTTCCTGGCTCTGACTCCTGCCCTGTGCCAGATGGGCCCAGGTTCAGCATTGATGAAGTCACATTTCTGTAGGAGGGAGACTTTGGAAAGTTGGCCTGACCTGGCTCAGAACAAGAAACTGGACAGAGAATTAGGGCAAAAGCAAATTGGGGCCTGGGCTTCAGCGCTTCGGAAGGGCACACATGGACTTAGCTGGAGCTGCCCTCTCAGCAGAGTATTTATACAGAAAGCCCTGTTGTGGACCAAAGAAATAAAAGAAGCTTGAATGCTGCTGTGAGCATTCCCAGAGCCCAATTTGTCCTTACAAACTTACCCCCTCCTCTTCAGGGACCACCAGACCACTGAACCTTCTTCTCTGAGTTTCTACTCCCCCCTCAACTCCTCATCTCCTCCCCTTTTGGTGTCAAAGTGAGTCTAGCTTGGAAGATTCCACCACCCACCCCACCCCTGTGCAGGGATGTCAGAGGCTCCTGGTAGAGGACCCGTCCCCACAGCCTGTGAGGGCCAGCCACGGAGAGCCAAGGCAAAGAACCCAGGGGTCTGTCTTCTCTGAGACTTAGGAAAGGAAGGAAAATCTGTTACCCTTTACCTTTGGCTGCCAGGGACCAGGTCTTGCCAACAACTTCCAAGGCCCTTAAAAGCCCCAAGCACCAATCATAGCTCCCCAAATTGTCTTTGAATTGCCCCCACTATCTTGGAGCAAGACTGTATCTTGCCTTCCCAGGATGGGATAGAGGAAACTGGTGGGGGGAGCTCTCAATACCTCCCACTTTCTGTGCGCGTTGGCCTGTTAGAACTAGCCTAGCATTTACCCCAGGACATTTCCCAGATCCAGAATCTTGCAGCTGGTGGGAAAACAGGAAAGGAAAAGGCGCTCCATGGAGTTTGTCTGGGGAGAGGAAGGGGTGGGGATCCCTGCAGGGGGCGGGACATGGAGGCTGGGAAGATGCAGGAGGCCAGGAAGGCAGAACAGAGCCTCCCAGTGGCTCTCTGGAAAGGTATCCCTTTCCCTGACACCTTTGAGCCTCACTTATGTGCAGTCAAGAACATGCAGACAGACATTTATGGAGGAACTTCTGGGTGCTTTACTCTGGGGAACACCTCAGGGCAACAAGTCAACCCTGGGGACTGTCCTCGGTGAGACCCCAGCACAGTCAAGGACTCTGAGAAATAACAGAAGATGAAGAGGAACAGAGACAGGGATTGTAATGTGTGCAGAGAACTGGCTTGCCTCCACTGAGACTGGTAAGAGGCAGCTCTAATGTTAATAGTTGCTCCTTCTTGTGGGCCCACTATGTGCTGGGCTCCAGGCTCATCCATGGACCTACGGATATTATACTGTTTACTCCTCATAACAGCCCTGGGAGGAGGAGCCACTGTTATCTCCATTTACAGCTGGGGATATCAAGTCACCCAGGAGGGCACAAGTACTAAGTGGTGGAATCAGGATTTGAACCTGGAGCCATCAGACTCCATAGTCTGAGCACCATGTTGGGGGCCGGATGGGTAGGGAAAGGTTATGTTGGGGATACCCTTAATTCTGGGCTGGTTTTTAGGTGTTGGAATGACTGATGTGAAGCTGGGGAATCCTCAGGGGCAAAATGGGTGGCACAGTGGGGGAGGAGAGGAGACTGTTTCCCCCTTCACTCCCTTGGCTCTCTCTTTACTCTCTGTCATCCTTGGGAGCAGTGCGTTGCTTCTGGCCAATGTGTGTCTGTGTGTGGAGTTTTTTTCCACAGTAATGCTGTACTCAGAAATTTGCGATAAAAACAAAGCATTTGCGATAAAGACAAAGGTGGGAGGGAGGGAATAAGTCTTGGGCGGAATGGATGGAAGTGGCAGAAATGGGCGTCTGGCCTCCCAGATGGGGGCAATTTTGCCTCCACGGTGTCGTTGCAATGGCTCACGTCTAACAGTGATGGCACAAAGTATGGCAGGTGGCCAGCTGTGTTGTCCAAGGTCCCCAGCGTATATCCCATCACCTCACACAAACCCTCTTCCCCCCGTTATCCAGGGGACTCTCATCTGGAGACATTTAGCTCCTGCTTCTTTGAGCAGCCCCTTGCCCAGGACACATGTGTGTAACCGTCATGGCATCTGTGTGCTGCCTCAGGCCCCTCCCTGTCCCCCAAGCCTCCCACTGGAGACAAGGGCACTGAAAGGGCAGGTGGAGCGGGGGTGCTGCCCAGCTCTATACCCTCAGCCCAGCTGGTGGGCTCTGTCTACACTGAAATGATAGCTACCACCCTATGGCCCTGTACTAGGATGAGGAGGGGTGTAAGGAAATGTGTCTGTGCAAGCAGATTTGGACATTGCAGATAATAATGGCCAACCACCTGTATCAGTCAATCTGGCCAGAAAAAGATGGCATACTCAAATAATCTGAGGAGTGTTTAAAAAGGGGACTACTTAGGGACTTCCCCGGTTGTTCAGTTGTTAAGACTCCAAGCTTCCACTGCAGGGGATGTGGGTTCAATCCCTGGTCAGGGAACTAAGATCCCAAATGCTGCATGGTGTGGCCAAAAAATTTTTTAAAATAAAAATAAAAAGGGGACTATTTAGAAAGGGCAGGTGTAAGGAAATTACAAGTGAGAGTGAGCGCTCCAGACTGAGCATCAGTGAGGCTCCAATACCACTGCCAGGACTGAAGGGGCATGAGGAGGAGGAAGTTAATGAGACCTGGAGATAGACAGGGTTACTGAAAGGGTCCTTTAGGTCTAGAGAGAGCCCACAGTGACCTTGATACTGCAGGGAGGGACCTGGGGGAATAGATACCCCAAGCTCACCCTTCCCTTCCCCTCCTTCTCCCACTGGGGCTTCCCATTGACTGAATGTGACCAGAAGCCAGAGGGCAAGGGAGCCTATTGAAGCCATCCCAGGACAGAGGAAAGGTAGAGAGTAGGTCTGAGGGTCCAATGGAAGACACCTGGAAGATCCTTTAAGTTTACCTGGCATTTAGAGTTTACAAAAAACCCATACAGCCATAGTCCTCACAAAAACTACCCTGTGAGGTAGGTAGGGCAATGATTATAATCCCATTTCATAGATGAGGACACTGAGGCTCAGAGAGGTGAAACAACTTGCCCAAGGTCATAGGATTCATCTTGAGATGTCAAACTCAGGGACCTTCTCTGAGAGGCCCTCTATGGGAGGAAATGGCTCTGCTAGGCCTCTAGCTGCTGAAGAAAGAAATCCTCCAATCCAGCGTCTTGGGGATGGCCAGGGGCTCAGGGAAGGTGACCCTGGGCCTCAGAAGATATCCGAGCGGAGCGGGAGAGGCTGTTCCATGCCACTGATGAGGAGCTCAGGCTCTTGGGACAGTGTGGAGGAAACGGGCATCACCGAGGTCCCCGTGCTGCCCATGGTAACCTCCCTTTCCTCCTGCCGAAGGTGCTGGAGAATCTCCTGTGACAAGGAGAAGCTGCTTCCCTCTGCCGGTTCTGGAACGAGGGTAGGGGTGGGGAGTGGGGTGAGGGCCTCACACATTCCCACTCTAGCACACCCAGAGGGCTTGCTGGGTGAATCCTCCAACCCTCCCTCTCCCCTACCTCCCTGCACCTCCTCCTCACTCCTAGCCACTGGGGCTAGAGTTTCATGAAATCCTAGAGCTAGCAGTGGTTTTAGAGATAAGAGAATTCCACCCTCTTTCTTTTAGAGATGATACTCAGAGAGGGGCAGATACCTGCCTAAGGTCACAGAGCAAGGGAGTGGCATGGCTGAGGCTGCAGCCCTGGTCTCTTGGCTCCTGGCCTGGGACTATCTGTGTCCCTAGATGAAGTGAGAGGCCCCTAGAGCCCACCTCTTCACACTCCACCTGGGACCCACAGCCAAAGACCTCAGAAAGCAATCAGGTATCCCACGGTGGGGAGATGGGACCTCTCCTCTTCCTTCCAAGGGAGGAAGGGGCAGGGCTTGAATGCCCTGACCACTCGGGAAGACCCGGGCGTGGTGCTGCCATATCTCCTGCTGACCCCCTGGGAGACCCCTGGGGACCCCAGCTTTTCCTGCCCTTAAGCCTATCAACCCCTCACCCTGGTAGACAATGAGGTGGCAGTTGTTCTGAGACTCAGGGACAGCTGCCAGAATGTCTTCAAGTGTCCGGCAGAAGAGTTTGGCCTGCTCAAGCCGGTCCTCCCGGCTAAAGCCAGCTCGGCCATCCTGTGACATGGCAAACAGGGTCTGCAAGGGGGTGGCATATTCCAGGATACAGATGCCTGCCTGGAGGAGGTAAAAGGAAGACAAGACTCAACCAGGGGCCAGGCAGACAGATGCTGGACCCCAGTGCCGCTGCTCAATCTGTAGGGATGGAGTCAGGGGAGATGGCCACCTGATGGGGTCTATACTGTCTGGTTGGCCTTTGCCTCTGACACCCCACTCCTAAATCAGGGCCAGGGCTGCGTTAAATTTACCCTTCCCAGATCCTCCTCCTAAGATTCTCAGGGCAAGGCCTACTGAGCTAGGCTGTCAACTGCTCCAGCTGGCAGTCAAGTCTGGGGATGGGGCTCTGGGGTTCAGCCTTGGCTGGGTTCCCCATAGCCCACGTGAAATCCTTCACACATTCTCACGGCCTTCATCTAGGGCAGATTTATGGTCAAGAGCATGGTATACTCAAGGTGAAATTGTCCACTTTCTCCCTGGTTCTCTGAGTCTCGGTTTCCTCTTCTGTAAAGTAGGGGCTATAACAGTCCCTACCCCACAGGGTGGTGGTGAGGATGCAGTGAGGTAGTCAGATGAAGCACCTGGAATAGCACCTGGCATGCAGTAAGTGCTCAATTAATGTTACTTGTCAGTTTCGTCATTCAGAGCTCAATTGGTCCCAGCCCTGGCACCAATTGGAGAAACTGAGGCTCAGAGAAGGGCAGTGAATTTTTATCAGGGCTTGGCCAGGGCCCAGAGTTCTGGGTCTCTAGGCCTGACCCCTCCCCAGCATTCCCACTTCCCTGCACACTCACCGGCTGCCCATTCTCCAGAAGCTCATAGATGCTGTTGGTGTAAACCCGGCCCTTGATGCCAGCACGGTCAGCACTTTGCTGGGGCAGCTTGTGTAGGAATCGAATGTTAGGGTCAGCCATGCTCAGGTCGTCAGGCACCCCACAGTCCAACGGGAAGAGGATGTGCAGCCGGTGGCTTCCTGCGCCCCGTAGCACATTGTTGTGGAACTGATTGTAAATTTGGATCCGGGCCTGGAGCCCTGGGGTGGAGAGGCCCAAGAAGTCATTTCCACCAACTGTGTCTCCCACCCAACTCAGGACAGAGACCCACATCATTGTTCCCCTCAATGTGTGGGTGCAAGAGAACCGAGGGGCCAGTCCACTCATATTGCCTGGGAGGCCAGGAGGGGAAGAGCATGTGAGCATCCTCCCCGCCCCTCCACCTACTCCCACCACCCCTTTCTCTCCCTCACTTGACCTTTGTCCAGATTTCTGTCAGCCCCACTCCTTCCCACCACAGCTTTCACAGCTCTGAGAGGCAGGAAGAGTCCTGGGAGGTGACATGCCAGCAGGCCCACGTGCACTGAGCCAGGCCTCTAGAGGAAGCCCTGGTGTCAAGGGAAGGCAGCCATGAGACAGGGGAGAACCATGGCCTTGACCAGCAAGTCAGAGGAATGAGACACGACCCGTGGGCTCCCAGTGGGGTAGTCAAGGGTCCAGGCTCTGGACAGGCCTGGGTTCAAATCCTGTCTCCTCCTCTAACTAAGCTGCGTGACGGTGGACAGGTCACTGTATCTCTCAGAATAGCTGTGAAAACAGGGGTGATGATTATCCCTTCCTCACAGGGTGTGAATTAAAAGAGAAAGTACGTGTGAAGGGCATACAGCATGCAGCAAGTATTTATTGAAAGAATTCATGGGTGACTTGGGACAAGTCACTTAATGGATCTAAGCTCCAAATTTCTTCCTGTCAACCAGGCATAATAATAACAGCTTCATGCCTACAAGATTGCTTTGGGAATCAAATGGTTTGTTAGACATGAAAATGCTTTGAAAATATAGTGAGTTCTGGAAACACAAGGTTGTGTGTCTTACTGTCTGTCCTGTAGATCTGGAAATGGGGGCAGAGAGGATGGCTCACCTGGCAGGATCAGCCGCAGGTACCCAATATAATATGACCAGGCCAGCCCATGAGCCACATTGAAGTTCCTTTTTTCACAGATTGCAGAGATCTCTGCTGGGGCCAGGCCCTGTGGACAGCAGGGTGGGGCTGGGGGGCCTCCATGAAGAACAACATGAACCCTCCTCCTCCTCCCCCCAAGATTACCCAACCTGCTGCCATTTGGCTCCATTCTCTGCCACTGCTGAACCCAGACCATTATAGGCTCCATCCAAGGACCAGCCTCTAAACTAGTCCCACTCCCAGTACTAAGCTCAGAGCAGGTCACATGTGCCACGCCTCCTCTTGAACAGACCCTTCACCTCTCATTGTATCGTACCTGGAGGCCCAGGAGGATGTTAAGTGCCTGTGAGAGGCCCAGGAGAGCAAGCATCCAAGTGAAGGGCAGGCCAGCCACGTTTGGGAGGGAGAAGTAGAAATAGCAGGACAGCAGCAGCAGGGCCCCACGGTGCATGGGGCAGCCCAGGCAGGCCCGCACAGCCTTCCAGTAGCTGCCTTGGTACCTGCAAGTGACAGCCAAGCTCCAGACCCCAGCCCAGCTCAGCCAGAGAGATTCAAGGAGGGGCAGGGCTGGGGGTCAAGGGACTGAGACATGTTGGGTGCCTAATCGCCATGGGTACTGCAGGGAGTCACCTGGAGTGGACGTGGCACAGCTCCTCGGCCAGATTGCAGACCCCCTTGATCAGCAGTCCCATCTGCTGGGAGGCCAGGTGGAGCACCAGCCACTGGAGAGTGTAGTCTGGCAGCTCCCCCAGCCCCCAGAGGGCCACCAGGCAGGCACTTAGCAGGACCAAGGCTGCTTTTTGGGCCCTGTGACCCCTGGGCCGTGGGATGGATGGATGCAGACTGGAGTGGGGCATCTGTGGATATCAAGAAATCCATGGTTGTGTTCCCCTCACTCTCCTGTTGTTCTGGGCCTGAGGCTCTGGCTGGGCACTTGCCCCAGCTCTATGTTTCCCTGGTGCCCAGCCGTACCCAGAGGCTACTCTTGGAGGCACCTCGAGGGGACAGGCTGGACATACAGCATCCCAGAGCTCCGATCCAAGAGAGATTTGTTGAAAACAGAGCAGGTGGAGAAAGAAATGCATGCGCTCCACATACACACCCCACCCAAGCCCAGTGAGACCACAGGTGTAGCAAAGAAAGAAGACAGCGACTACCCCAGACCTAGACCTAAAGGGTCCCGTGAGGTACCACCCACCTGGGGACCCTTGGGGACCGGGGCTTCCCTCTCCCCACAATCCACCCCAAGAAGGACCTTAGTCAGCAAAGCTGAAAACTACAGTTCAGAGGGTAGGGGGCAGGGCAGCCAGAAGGTTGCCACCCACCTCTGCAGCTTCTGCAGGGGCCTCAGCCTTGGAACTCAGGCTGGGCTTCTCCTGATCTTACCTTCTGCCTCCCAGACGGCAGCTTGTTTCTGGAAGGCAACAAGGAGAGAAGGCCCGGCTCAAGGGCTCCCAGCAACTGAGGACGGCCTCTCAGGGTGCAGCCTGAAAATGAAAGGTTAAAAACAATGGAAGCTTCCTCTACAGCACTCCAGCCCTTGCATCTCACCAAACCGCAGCTGCACTGGGCTGCGCTGGGGAGGTTATTTCCTGCCGCCCAAGGAGGGAGGAAGAGCCTTCCCACCAAGGCCCTGGCGAGCCACGTCCCAGTATCGGGGCGAGGGAGAAAGCTTGAGAAATCCCTCATTCCACTGCCCATCCCCCAGACCAAGGGTGTTCAGAAACTCCCTCAAACTCCCTGCAGTCACAGCCCTGAACGGGCTGCCTCTCAAGCACCCACAATCAAGCCCACTCTACCAACACCCATATGGCACTTCACACACCCAGCCAAGCACATACACTACACCATGCTGCCCTACCTGCTTGTTTTATTCTGATTTCCAGATGCAGATCCTCTTTTTCTGAAGACTGTGACATCAGGCCAGAGGCGGGGAAAATGAAGAGTTATTTCCTGTAACGACAGCCTTCTAGTAAAAAGCTTAGTGGGAGCAGAAGCCCTGCAGAAGAGTGGGGTTTTGGGTCTCCACAGGAAGTGGCGACGCCTGTGACTTCTCAGAGAGAACCTGGTGCTTCCAGCCAAAAAGGCAGTCGTGTGAATAATAATAATAGTAATAATAATAAAGTGCTCACCGTGTTCCAGACATTATGCCAAGCGTTACATAAATTGTTTCACTTAATCCCCTCAGCCACCCTGTCAGGAAGGTATAATACTAACCTCATGGACAATCTGAGGCTCAGTGAGGCGAATTAACTTGCCCCAGTCCCCTGGCTAGTAAAGGAGGGAGTGGGGACGTGAACCAGGTAGGTGGCTCCAAAACCCAGCTGGCTCTGTGCCTTGATTTCCCAGAAAGGGGTGGAAGGTGCCAGGACCAAGTTTCATGATGTGTTTTCCCTTGGTGTGGGGAGTGTCTCTGGCTGCTTCCTGGTAAACTGGTGAGCTGATTGGATTCGAGGAGGGGGCGCCCGGGAGTGGGATTGGGGTGGAAGCCACAGAGCGGCAGCAGTCCATATGTCCCCAGGCCAGAGGGTCCTTGCCTAGACCCTTCCCCACACCCCAAACAGACACAAGAAGACACACCACGTTCATAGGTGCCATTGGCCTCTCAGGAGCAAGGAGGCTTCCAGAAAACTCTCATTTTTTAGAATAATTTTCTAAGAATGGAGAGAATTCAAATTCACTGTACTTTCTCTCCCCTGCAAGAGCTCACAAGGGGGCCCCCTGCAGTGGGCAAGGGCTCCAGTGCTTCAGAACCAAAGAAAGTCAAGGTTGCCAAACAAAAGGCCTGAGCAGAGTCCTCCCAGAGTGAGCAGCCCACAGCTGCCCCAAAGTCTCCCTGTGCCAAGCAACCTTGGGCCTCCAGTATCCTGCCCAGCGGCCAGCACCACCTCCCCTGGGTGATACCACTGCTGTCAGCTCCACTGTTCCACCCCTGAACCTGTGCTTCGTCTCTGCCCGCTTCTCCTGGAGGTTGGTTCTCTATTTTATAGGCCAGATTTGCACTATGCATTAGAAGCCTTAAAATGCACATAGAATCGTAGACCTTGCAATTCACTTCTGGGAATCATTCATCAAAAAATAATGAGACAAGGGCACAAAGATACCAGTTTTTCAGATGTTTGTGCCAGTGTTGTTTATACCAGAGAAAAACTAAAAACTATCTAAATGTCCAACAATAGGGGACTGAATAACAAAACCGTGGTTCATCTTATAATAGAATGTTAGGTAGCCACTAAAATGATGATGTAATTTTGTATGTTGACTCTTAAATACCTTTAGTATATTGTTTCTTATTGGAAAAAAGCAGAGTACAAAACAGTATAATTGCATTTTAAGAAATACACATTGCACGAGAAAAGGTCTGGAAGGCTACATGATATACAAAAAATGCTAACAATGATTACTCTGTGTGGCGGGAATGTGAGTGATTTTTAGTATAATTTTCCCTTTTTGCTCATTATGTTTTTTAAGGTTTCTTTTCCTGACATTGAACATGTATTAGTTGTTTGATGCTTGGAGTATGCTGTAAAGAGAAAAAATCCCAACATTGTCTTGGGGCCTCCTTCCACCCCACTCTGTCCTCACTGCCCTTTGCTGCCTGCTGCTGCTCTGGGCTCTTTTTCCTGAGTTTGAACCTGCTCTGAGGAAAGCCTTGCAGGAGACATGAGGGCCAGGTCATTCAGGAAGAGTAAGATGTGGCCTGGCTGAGGGGAATGAGGAATGATGGGGACCAGGGAGGCGGGGAGGCAGGGAGGCCATCCGGAGTGTGGAGTTGGGGGCCAAGTCTGACTGGAGAGAAGGCTGCTGAGGCAGCCGAGGCCCCAATGTCTGGGCCCTCAAATACCAGCCCAGGAGTTTCCACGTACCATGCAGCCCACACAGTTGTGTCCTGACTTCCTGCTGTGTGTGTCAGGGAATGTGCTAGGCATGGGACATGCCTGTGAACGTGTCAGGCCAGAACCCTGTTGTCACAACACCTATAGCTGGGCAGGTGCAATGGGCCGTGCATAACTGTGCAAGTCAGTACGAGTCACTGCAGATATGGTGAGGGCTTTGAAGAATGCATTCCTGTTGCTGCTCTGAGGGGAACTTGGAAAACCCCAAGTCCAGATTTCCCTGAAGGAGTGCCATTTATGCTGGGTTTGGAGGACCAAGAGAGAGATGTGGGGGAGGAGTGAGAGTCTAGAACATTCATAAAAAACAGCACAGCCTTCCCCTGGGGTGGGAAGGAGTTTGGCCTGAGGAGAAACAGAAATGGCTGGTGTGGCGGGAGCATGTAAGCATGTTGGGGGTCTGCGTTATTTTTTTAGGGCTGTTATAACAAAGTACCACAAGCTTGGTGGTGTGATACAACAGAAATTTATTCTCACACAGTTCTGGAGGCTAGAAGTCTGAAATCATGGTGTTAGTAGGGCCATGCTTCCTCTGATGCCTCTAGAGGAGGACCTCTCCTTGCCTCTTTCACTTTCTGGCAGCCCGAGGTGTTCCTTGGTTTGCAGCTGTAGCACTTCAGCCTCTGACTCCATCATCACAGGGTGACCTTGTCCCTGTGCGCCTCTGTATTCACATGGCATTTCCTCTTCTTATAAGGATACCAGCCATTGTCCCATTGGATTAGGGCCCACCCTAATGACCTCATCTTAATTCAATTGTACCTGCAAAGACACTGTCTCCAAATAAGGTCACATTCTCAGGTACTAGGGAGTTAGGACTTCAGCATATCTTTTTGGGGGGACACAGTTCAACCCATAACAAGGTCAGTGATGTAAGAAAGGGTACTGGAGAGTTGGTTGGAGCCTTGTGGGCTGTGGCCAGGGTCTCAGGGCATGGGGAGTGTCACAACGACTACACGGATGAGATTGTCCTCATCAGCTGTGCTGATGGCCAGGGACCTTGAAGCCCTTCCAGACTGGCCATCTGGCACACAAGGAGGAAGCTGAGGACTACAGAGGGAAGTTAGGTCTAAGTTCCAGACTGCCCAGCTCGCAGGCTGCTGCCCTCGGGTCAGTGTTGCTGAGTGCCAACACTCTGCTCCACAGCCTGCTCACTCCTGGGGCCTCCCCCCGTCACGTCCTGGTAGTTGCGTGTTCCCTCCAGACACCCCAGAAGTGCTAGTCTGGGATGGCTTTCATTTCCATTGCCAGCTTAGTTACAGTTCCCACGTGTCTTCCCTGAAACTTGTCATCAGTGTTCCTGGGAGAGAAGAAAACACTAAGCACTCATTCAGTGGACGCTGGTTCTGGGACAGACCACGAGTGGGATAAGGAGGCCTCTGACTTCTAAGGAGCCACTCTTTTGCCCATGCAATGCCTTTCATTGTTAAAAGTCCCTGATATTTGTGTGTAAATGTTCCTGAATCCTGCTAGCGCAGGGACATTGGGAGGATTTTGATATCAGCAGACCATGGTACACCTGGGATCTTGCCTCTGCCTCTCCTTGCTGTGTGACCTTGGCCCAGTTATATAACTTCTTTGAGAGTTAGTTTCCTCATATCTAAAGTGAGGGTGGTAATACCTTTTTTCTCATAAAATTGTCATGAGAATGAAAAGAAATAATGTGTTTGTAGGCCTGACTTGGAAGTGCTCAGTAATTGTCAACTCTAATCACCACCACCACCACCATCATCATCACCATTGACAATCACACTCTTGGAGGTGCCAGTCCCTGTCATCTTGGCCTCTACCCTGGGCTCAAGTCACCTCTCCGGCGGACACAGAGACTTGATGTCTCATCCATTGGTGGCTCTGAGTCTGACCTCAGCCACCTCCTTGTTGTAATTTTATTGCCCCATCATGGAGCTGCCTAGTGTGTCATGGGCTTTCCAGGACAAGATGATATCCTGGTAGATGTGATAGAGAAAGAGGGACTGGATGATGCATGATTGGGGTTGGGGAAGCACAGCTGGTTGAGCTTCTGTATCTTCAGGGAGTAAATAATGGACCTACATCCTCCTGGAAGGGGGTATTCCTCAGGGTGGAGAGATCTACTGCTGTTTTTTGTTAGTTTTTGGTAACAGCCTAATTGAGATATAATTCACATACCATACAACTCACTTATTTAATGTACAATTCAGTAATTTTTAGTGGGCTTCCCTGGTGGCGCAGTGGTTAAGAATCCACCTGCCAATGCAGGGGACACAGGTTCGAGCCCTGGTCCGGGAAGATCCCACATGACGCAGAGCAACTAAGCCCCTGCACCACAACTACAGACCCTGCACTCTAGAGCCCATGAGCCACAACTACTGGAACCCGCGAGCCACAACTATTGAAGCCCGCATGCCTAGAGCCCGTGCTCCGCAACAAGAGAAGCCACGGCAATGAGAAGCCCTTGCACTGCAATGAAAAGCAGCCCCCATTCGCCACAACTAGAGAAAGCCCGTGCGCAGCAACGAAGACCCAACACAGCCAAAAATAAATTAAAAAAAAAAAAGTCCTAAAGAATAAAAGACTTCCATTTCAAAGGCAAATACAAATGGGAAGATATGTTCATTTTAAAAAAATTAGTTTTTAGTATATTCACATCCCCACAATCAAACTTAGAACATTTTCATCACCTCAAAAGAACTCCTGTAGCCAACACCCCCACCCCACCCTCAGGCAACCACAAATCTACCTTCCTTCTTTATAGATTTTCCTGTTCTGGACATGTCATATAAATGGAATCATGCAATATGTGATTGTGTCTGTCTTCTTATGTTTTAGAGATTCATCCATGTTGCAGCATGTATCAACATTTCATTCCTTTTTATTGCTGAATAATATTCCATTGTATAGATATACTGCATTTATTTACCTATTCATTTACTGAAGACACTTAAGTTGTTTCCACTTTTTGGCTATTATGAAGAATGCTGCTGTGAACATTCATGTACAAGTGTTTGTATGGACATATATTCTCATTTCTCTTGGGTAAATACCTCAGGGTGGGGTTGCTGGGTCATTTGGTAACGCTCTGTTTAACCTTTTGAAGAACG